ACCAACATTTGAATACTCCACCAAACAGGTAAATTTGAATACTGGAGAACACTAGATTTAAAAAATGAGAAATTTTTTTTTATTAAAAACAGGATTGAAAGACAATACAACCAATTAAACTTGTTTAATATTTACATTTAAATGAATTCATCTCAATAAACAAAGAAGAGGCAGCGTGGTTGTAGCAGATAGAAGGCTGGCCTTGGAATCAATACTGTGTCTGTGACTGGGTAAATGACTAAGTCATTCTGTGTCCCAAGAAACTCTCTCCAAAAAAAAATTTTGGAACGATTATTGAAAAGCATTGCTTGTGGGAGCTTCTCTCCAATGATGAAGTCCTGAGTCCCATGAAGTTTCATAATTTCTCAGTTACTTCCCATGAACTCTCATAAAGATTCTTTGTCCATTTGTTCTCATTCACCTTGTCTCTGAAATGGTCATAGTTGGTGTGTACTCCATTCTTACAGATACGCTTTTCTTAATTTCTCAGTATTTCCTAAAGATGTTTCCAAATTTCTTTGTATCATTCATTTATTTCATTATAATATTCCATTATATTAAGGCACCACTGTTTTCTATTCCCCCATGTTACAATTTTATTTTCATCTAGAAGCAAATTGATATAGACCCAATATCAACCTAGGTATATTTTTGAATTAAATACTCACACTTTAGTGTTTATATAATGAAAATGGTAAACACCACTGGCAATTTATTTAGGGTCCCAGAACTACTTATAACACTTTCAGATAATGATTAGACCTTCACCAATCACTTTCATTATTAAGGTTCCATATTATTTTTCCACAGTGTAAACCTTTTCATAAATGTGGTAATTCATCTATTGGTTTCAAACAGAATGTCATATAGTTAGCTTAACAAAATTAAATCTCAGACATTTGAAATTATATCACTTAGTTCTTATGTTAATCCACTAGGGGGAGCAGCACATTATTGTTTGTATACTGGGGATTCTGTGTGTGTGTGTGTGTGTGTGTGTGTGTGTGTGTGTGTAGTGTGTGTGTGTTACACATACGTATTACATATTTAATGAGAACTAGTAAGCATATGTATTTTAAAAGAAATTTCTAGCTCAGTGTAATATATATGAATCTAACAAAAATGGATTCTATAAATAGAGAATATAATTCTTAACAGCAATCCTAAAAATATAAGATATTTTTATAATATAAAGCATATACATAGGTACACAAATTAAAACTACAAGCATATATTTGAAGAAGATAGAATTGAATTACTAATAGACACTTGGGTTAGCCCAAGTTCAACATCTTATTCAGTCACATGCAAAGAACTGAACAGGAGAACTAACTGAGCTGCCTCCTCCTACTGTTTGTCAGGGAGGAAGCCAAGAAAAGATGGAGACACGTGTGTATGGATGAGTACGGTTGTGTGTGTGTGTGTGTGTGTGTGTGTATGTATATGTACAAATACATATAACAGAAGACATGTGTGTACTTATTTACATATATAAACATTTAAAACAGGTAGGTTGAGTTCAGGTCTGACTTTCTACCGTACAGAATTTTAAAGTTCTGAATTCTGTTTTTTGGTGAGGCAATCAGGGTTAAGTAACTTGCCCATGGTCACACAGCTAGTAAGTGTCAAGTGTGGGCTGGATTTGAACTCAGGTCCTCCTGACTCTAAGGCTGGGGCACTATCCACTGCACCACCTAGCTGCCACCAGAGCTCTGCATTCTTGAAGACTATTGATAGACATTTTCTTGGCTCAAGTTTCCCTACACTTAAAAAAAATTCTGTTCATTTAACTTTTTTCACCCAGTTTTTATTTGTCTCTAATCTTTATAGTGCTCTGGATCCTTCATTAATTTCTTTGTAGCCTGAAATTGTGTATTCAAAGAAGTTATCAGGACCAGTTATGTGGGATGATTTTTTTTGGGAGGGGCACTAAAAGTCCCCTTGACTCAAAGATTCTCTTCTATTGGCCTTATATGATGCCTGAAATTCTTCACTTAATGCACTTTTAGTCATTAGTGGTCCATATTAAATGCAGTATTATCTAGGTAGGAGGAGATAACATATTAAGCTTTTCTCAAATCTTAATGCTAGTTTTAATCAGCTATTTAGTTCTAGGCATTAAACTTGGTCAAGGAGAAGTGAAAAAAAAAAAAGACAAACAGCTAACAACTGCTGGGTTTAGGCAGAAGGAAACAGAGATCCAGAAAGGTCTTTAGCTTCACCTTGAACAAACATTTTTGAACTGTATATGGTCTGCAGCAGACTGTGTAGTTACTGCAAAGTTATCCCCTTGAGCAGGGGAGTAATTTATTTTTAGTAATTCAATTTTATTGTCAGTTCCAAATTCTTTCCCTCCCATCTCCTCTTCCCCTATCCATTGAGAAAATTGAGGAAAACAAAACCCATTACAAATACAAATTGTCAAGTAAGACAAATCCCTATGTTAACTATGTCCCCTTCCCCGCCCCCCAAATATTCTTCAATCAACACTGAGTTCATTGGCTCTCTATTTGGAGGTGGCTAGCATGTTTTATTGTGAATCCTCTAGAACTGTAGTTGATTCTATTGTGTTGATCAAGGTTCCTAAGTTTCAAAGTTGTTTGTTTTTATATTATTGTTCATATTGTATAAATTATTTTCCTGTTTTTGATCACTTCATATTGTATAGTTCATACAAGTCTTCCCAGGTTTTTCTAAAACCTCATCATTTCTTATAGCACAAGTAAACCATTTTCCAATTGATAGGCATTCTCTCAATTTCCATTTCTTTGCCACAATGAAGAGTCATGCATATTTTTGGATACTTACATGGATCCTTTTCTTCTTTCTTTGATCTTTTTGGGATATTGATCTAGTAGTGATGTTGCTGGGTTTTATAAGCTTTTGGGGCGTAATTCCAAACTGCTTTGCAAAATGGCTGGACCGGGTCACAGATCCACCTACATACCTAAATGTACCAACAGTTGGGGGCAGGGAGAAGTACATAGCTTATTTTGTGTCATAGACCCCTTTGGCAATCCAATGGATCCTATGGATCCCTTCTCAGAATAATCTTTCTAAATTCATAAAATAAAATACATATGATTACAAAAAAATCCAATTATATTGAAAATACAGTTGTATTTTTTTCCCACCCAAGTTCATGGATCCTTTGAAATCTAGCCACAGAGCCCTCTGGGGGGTCTGTGGACCCCAGGTTAAAAACCTCTGTTTTACGGCCTTAACTCCATAAGAACAGGGATTATTTTTTATTTAAACTTTGAATCTATTCTAGGCCCTTTCATAAACACACAGCAGACACTTGATAAATATTTGTCAAATTAAATTTTTGATACAATGGAATTGGAACATAACATATTAATAAAACTTATGAAATTATCTTGGTAATATTTTGTAAAGCAAAACTATGCCATGTTTGCCTATATATGCATCCTGTTGAGAACCCTGGAGTGACTGGGACCAGTAGAGTAAGAGCACAGAGAGGTGATTATTGTCTACACTGTTCTCTCTATTTAGCTGAAGAGAAGGGTAGCACCAGCAGATGCAGAATCTAAAATAAAGACCATCAAATTGGGAGGGATGCTCATTTTAAGAGCATGATAAGGGAAAAGCCAAGGTAAGAGAAGAACCAGGAGAGCCTTTGATCTGAAGGCCACTGGGTTGGCGATGTCCAAGTATCTGGATCTCTCAACAAAATCACAAAGGCAGAACTAGCTGCTATAATCTGGCTGGAGGAAATTTTCTTGTGGTCAACCAATCAAGAACAGAGGGAGCTGAAGGTGAGAGAGCATTAGCTTCCAGGGGCTAGAAAACTAATTTCTAAAAGGTATATGAGAGGGGCAAAGACCATAGTTTTCATTCAGGAACACAGAGGAATACTTCCACTCTATCTTCAACTTTTTGTAATTAGGCTTCTGCCTCAACCATTCTATTAAATTTATTCTTTCAAAGGTCCTATAATCTCTGCTCCTGGAAAGGCTGAGGCTGGTGGATTGCTTGAACTCAGGAGTTCTGAGTTACAGTAGGATGAAGCTGGATCAAGTGTATTCATTAGGTCTGGCACCAATATGGAGAGCCCCTGGAATTGAGGGCTACATAAGGATGAGCAATCTGATCCAGGCTGGAAACAAAGCAGGGCAAAGCTTACAGACCAATCTGGCCAGTGTAGGTGAGATAAGACCAGAGGTTAAGATCACTGGATCTCTTAGGTCCTCTCTGGCAACCCAGGATGAAGTGCTAGGGACCTCAGAGTCCTTGGTCCTGACCTGTTGGGATCTGACCATTGTAGCTCTGTTGGTCAGTACCACTGTTAGTTATCCATTTTCCCTTCCAAGGTCTCTCCACCACTCAGAAGAGCCACCTCTAGCTATATAGCTTCATCACACTGGTGCTCACTTTGCTGGAGTGGTCCTTTTTCCTATTTTCAATGGGCTTCTGATCTATTTTTTTAGTGCAGTTCTGGGGTGGAAGATGTCACTTACTGGAGGTTCTCACTGACTTTCTGGATTATTTGGTCTATGGTAAACTTCAGGATTTTGTTGGAGTAGGTGTGTGGGAGTTGAAATCTGTCTCTCACTGAGAAAGCTATCTTGTCAAGAAGTTAACTTAGTGCAGATTGGTTTTGAGGCACCACTTTAATTCTACCACCTCTACTGTTACCTACACCACTGAGTGTACATAAATCAGTTTTTCCTAATGCTCTTCTATTTCCCCCTTCAAACTCATCCATATTGAAATAGGCAAAACAGAGAGGAGACCAGGCTGCTTCTGAATTTGAATGGGAGTCTAAGAAATCTAGACATGGACACATTTCATTCACTGAATGAACTCTCAATTGATGAAAATGGATCCATCAGAAATGTGAAGGATAGCTGACAATTTAATTTTACAATATTGATTAAAGATTTGAGTGTTTTAAAGCAGGTAATCCTAATCAGGGCAGCTGACCATTTTCTCATAATATGTTCTAGGCATAATGAATCTCAATATGGAAATAATCATTTTCTAAAAGAATTCCAAATTTTTTATTAAGAAAAACTCTGTAAGTCATTGTTACTGTACATATTTGCACATCTCCCACAAATACATTATTATCTTAGCTCTTTCAATGATATAGACTCAGATGCTATGTTGTACTATTTCTGGGGCAAAGAAACTAGTATGATGGACTTAAGGCATTTGTGTATTCCAATAAAACAAGATATTTGCAGAATATATTAAGACTTATTTAGAAAACTATTCACAACTTTAACATAATTTAATAGCCTTGGGAGCAAGCTATAAAATAAAACTATGCATATTTGTACACAAAAATTCTCAGAAGTGCAAATATTTATAAGTAGAATACTGAATAAAACATTTATACAAAATTAGCATTTCCAGAGGGTGCCATTATTAGAACTAGATGCCAAATTATAAAATGTTACAGCATTAACCATAGAAAATTAATGTTCCTTGACAAATTATGATATTAAATATTATATTAGGAATTGTAGTAATATTTTAAATCTCAATCTATCTATGTTCACAGGTATAGGATACATCCATTATTCTCTTCATTGCCCTAATTTCCCCTTTAAGGTTATCTTGTATATACCATCTACATATTTACTTGCTGCCTCCTCCCCAATTAGAATGGGAGCTTTCTACGGGCAGATACTGCTTTTGCCTTTCTTTGTATACCCAGTGCTCAGCACAGCCCCTGGAACATGATACACATTTAATAAATGCTTATTCACTGATGTTCTTAGTTTTTTTTTTAGGGTGTGGTGGGGAAGCAGGAGAGCAGTCTCAGTCAAAATTGTCTTAAAAATTAGCCCAGTGAGGTATACCATGTCTCATTTTCCAGTTGTTTCTGTAGGTGGTTCCCTCTAATGGGAAACAATGACTGTCAGTACATATATAATTATATAAAAACACTGTCATAGTAATGGGGTGAACACTAAATACCCATCTAAATGCCCATAGTGTTTTTCCCCCATACTTTAGGAAATGAAGAACCAAAGCCTTCCTAAGGTTAAAAGCTGTGTCATTCTAAGTAAAATTATGAATAAGAGAGGGATTTTTGAGATGAAAGAAATCTTAGTTATCATCAAAATGTGTAGCATAAGAAGCAGCTTGCTAAAAGTTGACACTTTTACAAAGCATGAGTCAGTCATTGTTTATTGTTTCACCTTGGGAAAAGATCTTGCCCTTTTCCCCTTCTCCCTGTCTTTAACGTCTACCTCTTAATCCTGAGGAAAATGACTAAAAATAGAGGAAAAAAACCACACATCTCTGGTCATGTTTAAATTTGGTTGCTCCCTGATTATACACTTTGTTGTACTAACCAGTGTATACCGGTAGTAAATTGATTGCATATGTGGAAATTACATTGTTGACAAGCCAGAATGTTCTAATACAATGCAACTTCTACCTTCAGTTTTTCCACCAATTAGAGATGTGACCTAGCACAATAGCATTCATTCATTTTCTTGTGTATTCTATATCCTCTATAGTAACATGGTTAGCTCAGATGTCCATTAAACTAACTGTCCTATTTGCAATTCAGTTTTTTCATTCTAGTCTTACCACTCTAATCATTAAAATAATAAAAAATGGCATGTGACTGTATGAACATTAAAAAAAAAACAATCAATCAAAGTTTAGAGACCTAAAATGTTCCTAAAGGCTTCAAATTTGGTCCATGTGAAGTAGACACATACTCCTTGCAATATATTTGAAAACCTACTTTTCTTCAACAAACGGCAAATCAATAAGCTTTTAGAATAATTCAGTCATGGAATGATGGAAGCATAATCTCATCTTCATTCACCCCATGGTCAAAGTGCACCAAAGAGAAGCCAGCCCAGTGAAAACGTTTCTTTTGGTAGAGGTACCACATCAGCACACAAACCAAAGCTAAGAAAGTCATAACAGCAATTGCTATAGCCACTCCTTTGTAGTTTGTTCCTGAATTAGGGAGGGGTTGGATGTTGGAGGAAATAAGAGAGGAAAAAGATAATCAAATTTTTGGTTTTATTAAAAGCATATAAAAGCACATTAATTCAGCCCAGTACTTATAAATCCTAAGCTCATGGTGCTTGTTTCAATCAGGTACTTCCTATTTGTATGACTGTGGACAAGTCACTTGACCTGTCTGACTCAGTTTCCTCATCTGTAAAATGGGGATAATAACAGCACCTACCTTCCTGGATTGTTGTGAGGATCAAATTCGATAATATTTGTAAAGTGCTTTACGAACCTTAGAGTGCCATATAAATGCTAGCTATTCTTTTTCTTAATAAATTCTAGCCATTTTTATATTTCAACAATTAATTTGGAAAAAAATGCATTTACTATATTTGTTGTTGTTCAGTCATTTTCAGTCACGTCCTACTCTTTGTTACCCCATTTGGGGTTTTCTTGGCAGAGATACTAGAGTGGTTTGCAATTTCCTTCTTGAGCTAATTTTACAGATGAGGAACTGAGGCAAACAAGGTTAATTAAGCAACTTGCCGCAGGGTTACACAGCTAGTAAGTATCCGAGGCTGGATTTGAATTCGGGTCCTCCCGACTCCAGGGCCAGCACTCTCTCTACTGTGCCACCTAGCTGCACCATTTACTATATATAAATGCATTTAATTAATATTCTCTTGACTTTTATGGCAATTTCTTCTAAAAAAGATCAAGAAACTTTCACAATTCTCATATTCTCAGAGCAGTCTTTTTAGAGTATCACACTTCAGGATATTTTTTGATCCTAGACAAGTTGCTAAAAACTACAATCTTCTCATGTTTCATTTGCATTGGACTGAGCTATAATTATAGAAAATTTTCCATTGCCCTGGTTAAACTGTTATTTGTGAATCAGTTAATACTATTTAATTTTTAAATGACCAAATCACCAGGGTGATTTAAACTGCAGATTTCTAGCTTTCCACAATTCAAGTTCTATACTGATTAATAAATCAGCATCAATGTTTCATCTTTAATATTCTGCTCACTGAAATGGGAAAGTACTCTGCCTCTCCTCCACCCCAACACCCACATGGAAAGAAATGCTGAATTGTGAAAAATTTAGAAGCTTTTCCCATGGAGATAAAATCACTAATGTGGTATTTTATACTATGGTATCAGTGAGTGATGAAACATCTGTGTAATTACGTTTTCCCCTGATGATTTTCAGTAGTTAGTAACAATTAAAAACAATCCAGGCACAGATTTAAAGTTACCATGAAATTTAATGGGTCTGAGGAAAAAAGAAAGTCAACAATGAAATAATGAAAGTTCAAGTTCTACACATTCATATGATCATAAATTTGGAGCTGGAAGAGATCTTAGACATCATCTTCTCTAACCTAATTTTACAGGTGAGGAAACAGAGGTATGGAGTAAAGTGATTTGTCTTAAAATCACTTAAGAGGGAAATTCAGGTTCTTTGATACCAAATTTGGCCCTATTTTATTATACTGTGCTGCCTCAATTAATTCACATTCTTTAAAAGTTTTCACAGTTAAAAATTTCTTTTAAAATGAAGAAGCTTCAAATTTTTCCCTAGACAGAAGTTTGTTACATGGAGGTTAATATTTTTGTTAGCTTTCAAATGAGTCTTAGCTTGTTCTTGCATTTTTCTTTGTACTTAATCAAGTTTCATCATAATATCTATGCAAAATAATTCTCCATAATTCAATGGAGTACTGCTTCCAGGACTGATAAGCCTTGGACCAAAGTCAAACTTTCACCCCTGTTTGATGTGTATGTTATTTTTCTGGAAATATGCTGCTTTACAGAAGCATTTTAATTTAGTATAAACCTCTATACAGCCTATTTAAGACTAAGTCAAAACTTACCCATAGGGACTTTGCAGACGACTCTTCCATGGCCTTGGTCACATTTAACTTTAGTCCATGTTTCACTTGAGGCCAGCAAGATGCTACAATTTCCACCAATATTGGTACTTTCATTTCCCCATTTAACATACTCTGCTACTGAACCATCCAACCAACTCCAAGACTCATCTGTAGGAAGGGATTATAGTAAGGTTTGGTTATCACCCCTAAAATTTCAAATAAACATATGAGAAGGTTCTGAAGCATGAAGATAGTTATATTTCTTACAATGTGTAGTTTGGATGAAAGCATCTTCACTACAAATATACTTCTAGCATTAGAAATAGCCCTGATTCCCTCTTTTTGTTCAGTCCAGATTAACTCAAAACCACATACCTTTTTTCTGAAAACTTCCACCAATGAAAGAGTGTTTTACATTAATTCTTTAGGGCCAGGGTGGAAATATCAATCATAGCATTTTGTAACAATCACTGAATACAGTGAAGCACTTCGAAGTGTGAGAACACAAATGTGAAAAATATCCAGTATTCAGAGGACCAGGCAGCCCAGTACTAGTGAGATGGGTCCTAGAAGTTTAAGACCCTTTGTCAGAACATATTCTTTCAACGAAAGTATAAACGATGTTGTTGACCCAAGACTCTTAGAAACAAGTGTCCATTATCACCCAAACTAGTTTATTATAATTTGGATTGAGATATTTCTCCATTATCACAAATTCATTAAAAAATTTATAAGTTATCAGGCCAGGAAACCTAGGATCACTTATCAGTAAAATCAAATCACAGAATCTCAGAAGGGACCTCAAAAGGCATTTAGTCCAAGGGCGCCTGACAAGAATCTTTTCTACAATGTATCTGACAAGTGGTTCTCTAGCCATTGCTTTTGGGAGAGGAAATCCACCATCTCCCTAACACCCCATTCCACTTTTGGAATTGTTAGGAAGTTTTTCCTTTTATCAGAGTGAAATTTTTCTCCCTCCTTTCCCCTCACAGCTTCCATTTGTAGCTCTGGATTCCTACTTTTGCTCTCTAAGGTCATGCATACCCAGTACAATCCCTCTTCCACATGACATTTCTTTCTTTTTTTTTTTCTTAAGTGACTTGCCCAGGGTCACACAGCTAGTAAGTGTCAAGTGTTTGATCTGAGACTGGATTTGAACTTAGGTCCTCCTGACTTCAGGGCCAGTGCTCTATCCACTGTACCACCTAGCTGCCTCAATGTGACATTTCTTTAGATACTTCAAGGCAGCTATAATCACACTCCCTAACTATAGTTATACACTAAGCTCTGTCTTGGACCTTCTCTCTTCATACATTCTACCTTAGTGACCTCATCAGTTCCAATGGATCTAGCTTCTCTAGGAGACAACTGCTGGATCTATATATCCAGTCAATCTCCTGAACTCCAGTTCCATATCACTGCTCAGAAGCTAAGGTGTCACAATAGATAGAATGCTGAACCTGAAGTCAGGAAGACCTGAGTTCAAATCCTACCTCGGATACTTTTTTTAGCTGTGTATTATTAGGCAAGCCATTAACCAGATGCTGTCTGGTTTTTAAGTTACCTTATCTGTAAAATGGGGATAGTAGCAGGTTGTTGTTACAGGTTGTTGTGAAGATCAACTGAAATAACACATTATAAAGTGCTTTGAGATCCTTAAAGCACTAGCCATTATTATTATTTATTGACCATTTCAAATTGGATGTAACATAGATATCTGAAACTTCACATATCTAAAATAAAACTTATTCTTAAACCCTCCGCTCTGCTTTCTATGTCTTGCATATTCCTAAATATATCACTCTTGTCATTTTCATTAGGATGTAAACTCCTTTAAGGCAGAGACTCTTTCATCTTTGTACCCTAGTGCCTTTCACACAGTAAGTGCTTAATAAATGTTTGATGATTGATTTGCACCTGGGTTAAATATCCACAGAACCTTTAATCAATGCTAAAATGGCAGGAGCCTGAGACTTTCCTCCAACAATGAAGAATTTTTTGGAAAGCGCACCAGAAAAAAGCACACCAGTTTCCAGAAAAGGCTGAAATTGAGACAAGTTTCTATGAGACTATTCAGGGATTTGTCTACAAAATGAACACAAAGAAACGTAATTCTTACCATTAGAGTGTCGAGATAATCCAAGCCAAACTCTCATCGTGACATAATTATGTTCTCTTATCATTCTGCTCACAAACATGTTCTCATCTTCATTTTTTATGTTAACAATGGTTGCTGCACTATCTGAAGTAGTAAAATTAGTGTGTTAAAGACATATCTACTTTAGGAGTTTTCAATATACACAAATGGCTAATCTGTAATACATTAAAGAAAGCTATTATGGAAAAATGTTGATACAGAAAGATATAATTTGAATCATGTAAAAATCAATCTTCACCTAAAAATCCTAAACCTTTATATTGAAACTAATCTTTTAAAGGCCATGTGTAACCAGTAGCTTTTAGAATTATGCAATAAATAACTCTATTTCCCTAAAAAGATAGCTGATATGAAAGAATTACCCTCAAATTTCCAGACTGATAATTTTGTACATAGAGGATTTTAACTTCTTAGAAATATTTTTATGGTGACACTTTTTGAGCCTGAATATTCAGTCTTCTGTGCCACAACAGTTAGAGGTAATGACTAGGGGAATAAAGTGGTAGAAAAATAGACAGCCATTTTTAACTTGACTAAAACATCATCTTTTGCTCATATCAGTTTTTAATTTGTTTCTATTAGGATAGAAATTAAATGTGTCTAATATTCTATGGGCCCCGTGAACCTTCCAAAATACCTTCTATTCATGATAGAATTTAAACAAGTACATTTGGTCGTGGAAATGGGCTTTCACCTAACCATTGCAGGTCCCTAAAACGGCACCTGATTGGTAAGTGGAAGACTAGGCTAGTCTGACCCCTCATATCTTTTTATCATCAGTTCATAAACATGCTGTCTTGTTTCCCAAGAATTATTGAATCTTGGAATAGAAACATTTAACTGGAAAGTTAAAGTACAGAACCTTTAAGAGGATTGTATGATTCTATGACAATTTCTCATAGTTTCCAAGCTGAGGTTCTAAAGGGACTATTAGAATGTGAGCTTAGAATTAGAGTGGAAGCTCCCCGAGGTCAATGACTATGCTCAGCACTTGGTCTACTGTCCTGTGCGTTGTATATGTGCTTAATAAATGCTTGTTGGTTTATTGGTTGGTCCAGGTTTGTAGTTAGGCTGTTGTCCTCTACAGGAAGCCATATCCAGTCTCCAAAAGGAGCCATGGAATAACAAGGACCTGGAACAGGTGATTGTGCAGATGATGTAGACACCCAAGAGTTAGTGCACTGTCAGGCCAACTTCTGGTAAGATGATAAACAGAAAGAAGGCACAGTATGTAAGTATTAAATACATTTCATCCTAAGCAATTAAACACTGCCATGTTGTCTCAAATTATACATAATAATGATGATGATGATGATAGCAAATATTTATATATATAATGCTTTATGGCTTTTAAAGTGCTTTATAAATATCTCATTTTATCATCATAACAGCTCTGGTGGATTAAGTGGTACTATCATCCTCATTTTACAGAGGAGGAAACTGAGGCAAAGTTTAAGTAACTTGCCTAGAGTCACACAGCTAGGAAATGTCTAAAGGTGGAATGAACCCAGGTACTCCTGACTCCAAGCCCAGAATGCTATTCAATGCCCCACCTAGCTGCCTTTAATGACAAGGCTATTGCTATGTGGCTAAGAGGTCCAAAGAGATCTTGAATTTTTTACATCCTTTAGAGTTAGAATTTTTTTTTAATTTATCTTAAGTTTTTTATATGTGGAATAGTATATCATAGATACAATTCTGTTACTCAAAACCCACCATGCATTAGAACATCTTTTCAGATAAAGAGAACTTGGAAGACTCCTCACAGACAGGAGCAGGATAATTGGATGAAATTTCCATTCGTGTGGTTAAATTGTTAATACAAGGATACTGACCAGATGGACACTATGCTAGATATGCAATGTAGAGGGCATTTTCCCAATCTGAGCAAATGATCTTCATGAATTGTGCACCCAAGGAGATACAACTAAATGACCATGTAACTTGTTACTGTTGTGACTAAAAATAATTTTTTCCACATTGCTATTTTCACTGAAACAAACTAGGTATTGTTACCTAGGATGGTATGAATCATTCTGAATTTCTTTGCTTTTGTTCTCTTATCCTCACCCTGAACTAGTCTAAATAATAAGAAGTGTACCATACCAAGTTCTGAACAGAGTTGTTTGGCCTCAGAGAAATTGTGCAATGCCTTCTCAAAGGTATAACAGGAATCTCCAAATGGAATCCATGGAGTCCCTTTGGGTGATGGACATCGTGATGAGTATTTTTGAAGAGTTTGCTTTTTAGCTGCAAAACAGATGGGTAAGATGATTACTTATAGGAATTAGGAGAAACTGTATCTTCTAAATAAAATTAAGCTTCTCTGTTTTTAGCACCGGACAGTCCTGTCATCAGGTGGCAATATATCTTGTGAAGGGCAAGGGCCCCTTCCTTCTCAGAGTTCACCTTTTTGAACACGTTTCTGGGATATAATTTTTTTAAACTATTGAAATTAGAAGACAGCCACCACAGGATCACAGATTAAGAGCCAGAAGAGACCTCAGAGGACAACTGATCCAGCTTCTTCATTTAATAGATGGGGAAACTGAGGCCCAGGAAAGTTAAGTGATTTGCCCAAGGTTATAAAGGTAGTAAGAGACAGAGGCAGGATTTGAACCTAGGTCTTCTAAATAGAGAGCTGATGTGCTTGCCATTATACCATGATGCGTCCCTGTCAAAAAAAAAAAGAAAGAAAGCTCAACATTTATATAAAACTGTAAAGTTTGCAAAGCATTTTCCTTACAACAACCCCGTGAGGGAAAATATACAACTAGTATAATCATCCTTGTTTTACAGGTAAGGAAACTGAGGCTTGGAGAGATTAGGATTGAAGATTTCAAGCTTGAAAAGAATTCAGAGGCTTTCTAAATAATTTGTCTAAAATACTGTAGGTAGAGACTTGCAAGCTATCCTCAAGTGAAATGCTTTGCTTTGGGAGGTAATTAAGTGCCTCCCACCCAAGAGGTCTTTGAATGAAGGCCAGATGACTATTTGTTAGGAATTCGGTAGAGAGTATTTTTACTTAGGTATGGGCTGCGATGGAGTCCAACGCTTTCTACTGGCCTTGTCTCACAGTTGTAGGTATTTTGTAATCACTCTGAAGTGATTTTCGTGTTGGGGAAAAATAAGCCAAGGTAGGGTACAACTCAGATAATTGCTGAAATTCTCTCCTTCTTTGGATTTTGTGACACAATGAGTTGCCTTCCTTATTAACCCTCATCTCTTCCACTAAACTAAATACTAAAAACTAAAAACTAAAGTTCTCCTTTAATCACTGAATGGATGTTGCCTCAGACAAACTGAGACCTGGGAAAGACCTTAGCTTTAAAAGGCCAAGGTCTCCCACTGCATTGGGACCATCTCCAGTCCGTCCTGATCTATGTCTTGCCACTGGACCCAGATGGCTCAGGAGCAGAGAGTGAGGCTGGGCACTTTGCACAGTCCTGCCTCACTTAAGTCCAATTCACTTGCAAGTCATGACATCACCTTTCTGATGTCACCGTTCTCTTTGAGAACAAAGGACAAACAATAATCACCAACTTGTAATTTGAAAACTTCTCCCAAGCTCAGTTCTTATTCCTCTGGTTTTTCCTCTCTGTGAGCATAATTTCATTAAGATGCTTATCCACTCTTGTGCCTTCCACCATCAGCTTTATTTTGAGGATTCTTTTCATCTCTAGTCTTGAACTTTTTATATCGCTAGTTGCCTAAAGGATATCTCCACATGACTATCCCTTGATCACCTGAAATTGGCTAGATCCCAAACTGACTATTTCCATACATAATGCCATTCTATCTTAACTTCCATGTCACTCTAAATGGCACCTCTATTTCCTGGCTGGTGAGCATAACACCTTGGAATCATTTACTTGTCTCTCACTTTCTCTTTTACTGTAAGTAACAAAAATAATTTCTGTGCTATGGAAAGGGAAGTTTAGAGGGTTTTTTATTTTTGTCTTTTTTTTTTTTTTAGGACAAAAGATGCTTAGTAGATTATGTTTAAATAGAAAAACTCTGCTGAAGTGTTGGGTCTGGAATCAAGAACCGAGTTCAAATTCAGCTTCAGATACTTAATAGCTGTGTAACCTTGGGCAAGTCACTTAACCTCTGCTTGTTTTGGTTTCCCCATCTGTAAAACAGGGATAATAATAGCACCTATCCCCGAGGGTTGTTGTATGGATCAAATGAGATAATTGTAACATGCTTAGCACAATGACTCGCACATTATAAGCACTGTATTTTGTTCTTATTCAGTTGTTTCAGTCATGTCTGACTCTGTGTGACCTCATTTGGGGTTTTCCTGGCAAAGATACTAGAGTGGTTTGCCATTTCCTTTCTCAGCTTATTTTACAGATAAGGAAACTGAGGTAAACAGGGTTAAGTGACTTGACTAGGCTCACACAACTAGTGTTGGAGGCCAGATTTGAACTCAAGATAATGAGTCTTCCTGACTTCTGGACCAGCACTCTATCACCATACCACCTACCTGCCCCAAGCACTATATAAACATCAATCATTATTTCTCTGAACATTTACAGATTGGGATCTTTACTATAAACTTCCAAATGAGAGGCAGCTTATCATTCCAAGCTATATTAAATGGTATTAAGGTAAACAGAGCCATTTGCTTACATTCTGGGGGCTAAAAATAATTGGCAAATGGCAATTTGAAAAGCTGTTTTAAATAACTTCCCGTGTAAGTTTTTCGCATCAGATCAAAGGACTTAGAATTAGAAGATATCGCAAAGATCACTGAATCCAAATTCCTCATTTTAAAGATGAAAGATCCAAAGTCATAGAGATGGTAAGTAGCAGAGCTGAGATGTGGACTCAGGTCCTCTGATCCCAAATTCATCTTTCTATCTCTTGAGGGCAGGGACTCTATCCTTTATTTTCATTTGTATTTGTGTCCCCAATGCTTAGCATAGTGCTTGCACATAGTAGGTACTTAATGTTTATTGACTCACAGACTTAAATGGAATATTTTTTATTTTGATTTTGATTACATTTAAGGATGTATGCTCGTTAACATTTTGGATCCATATATCCTATCAGAACTACCAAAAATTCCAGGAGAAAGACTTTTTGGGCAAAGTTTCTTTAACATTTTTTGTGTGTCTTGGACTCCTCCTTAGAGTAGGATAATAAAGGAAATCAATTATATCAAAATAAAGATTTTTTTTTCCTCATCCAAATTCATGGGTCCCTAGGCTCCAGGTTAAGAAGCCCTGCTTTAGGGGCAGCTAGGTGGCACAGTGGATAGAGTACCAGCCCTGGAGTCAGGAGGACCTGAGTTCAAATCCAACCTCAGACACATAACACTCACTAGCTGTGTAACTCTGGGCAAGTCACTTAACCCCAATCGCCTAACCAAAAAAAAAAAAAATCTTGCTTTAGAGGGAACCATCTATAATTACTGTCTTCCTTGTTCCTGTATACGAAGAGGAGAATTTCACATGTATTTTCATTTCAACTACAGTGTCTACAAATTGCCTAAATGTTTTCATGGATAAATAATCATTTAAACCTGTGAAGAGTTCCCACTATGTATAAAACTGGGACCTTGAACATTCATTCTACACGACCTTTCTGAGCTTCAGCTTCCTTACCTATAAAATGAGGAGAGGAGAGCACATAATCTCCAAGGTCCCCTTCCAGCTCTAACGTTTATGAGCCTCTGATACTTTTGCTATTGCTGATACAAATGTAGTAAGTTCCCTTCACCAGAAATCTAAGAGAGAACTGTTGTGACCTGCACATTCAGAACGGAGGGAGGGACAGGGAGACAGACAGTAGAAGTTCTCATTTAGTGGGTCAGTGGCTGTGGTGGGCAAACCTCGCTGATGCAGGCCTCCACTGTCCACAGAAGGCACAGCCAAGACGATGCTATGCAATACATGCATGCAAAAAACATAACATTCTAAAGCAAGACTTACCTTTTTTAGGTTTATAACAAATAGCACCATCCATAACAGAGCTGCATTTTTCATGTCTCCAAATTCCTTTAGGATCCAAGACAACACAATTTCCTGTAGAATATTGTTCCTTCCATGGAATATAGTCAAATGTGCTTCCATCAGACCACTCAAAAGTTGAGTCATTTCCCTATTTTAATGAGTAATAATGAGGTTCTGAATCTAGATCCAAATTTAGATAAAAAAACTACATGCACTTAAAAATGGAATGACATTAATTTTGTACTTCTTGGTACTCTAATGGAATATTCATTTGGTTTATTGATCTAGGACTTTTAATTTTAGGATTTTATACAAAACTTAGAACACTTTCTTATAAACAAGTTGAAATTGGGATATTCAACTTGAGGTTTTATTCTGTCTCTAGAGGACAAATGCTGGGAGCCATTTGCATGTGGTAATCTTAAAGAACTTTCCCCTACCTATTTAAAACACATCCTTAAGATAGTAGATAAGCTAGTTAGAGCAAGAAGGGACCTCAGAGACAATTGTGTCTACCTCCTTCATTTTACAGATAAGGAATTATGACCTGGAGAAATTAAGTCATTCGCCCAAAGTATCATGGGTACTAAGTGCCCTTGGACAAGTGACCTCATCTCTCTGTGCTTCAGGTCTTCATCTATAAAATGAAGGAGTTGGCCTTAATGGATGTTAAAGTCCCTTCCAGGTCTGTGATCCTCTGGTCCCATTTTAAGTATATGGGTAAAAATTTCTTTAAATTGTCATAAGCAATGGTCTCCCAGCATCTGTTATAATTCTAGAATTCCAATCTCAAAGTCTACTATTATCACTTATTATTCTACATTTGGCTTGTGTCAGAATCATTGTAGAGGCCACATTTTTCCCATGATTCACTGTTTTTGTATGTTGGTATCAGGTACAATTTAGACAAAAAAGGTAGAAATGAGTTTATTTAATGGTGTCAAGGAAGGAGGGGTAGGCACACAGGAAGAAAGTATCTGAGCCAATAGGGCTTGTGAGGGGGGCCATGTATGTTCCTTACGATATCTGACCCCCACAGTTCTTATCTGTTATCAAAATCTCAATAGATAACATAGATTTCTGGAGAGACAGATGCCATAATATAGTCCAGAGCTATAATAATTCCTAGGATACTTGGGTGCTTTGGACTGGATGGGGTAGCAGGGAAAGAAAAGGTTTTAAAAAGGAAATCCCCAATAGTGCTGATAACTAGACTCAATTTAACATACTACACTGAATTATCACGCCAGGTTTGGAAATCATATCCCAAAGACATCAGATTTAGAGTAATTTTTGGAATTAATTATTTATGGGCAGGGTCATTATCCATACATAATTTATGAGCTGAATGTTTCCATCTAGTAAATGAAGATAATGCTGATTGAATATGTGTGAGAAAGCTTTATATACATAATTCTGTACCATGCTACTTACATCGTGACTTGACAGTCCAGTCCATAATGGAAATCCATCACGTTTTGCAAGATCCTCCAAAAAGAGTTGACCGTTTTTGTCATGTACACTTGTTAAAGAGCTCTCGTTTTGGGAACATTCTTTCAATGCTTCATACCATGTGAATTTTTTTTGAACAACATTATATATAGAATCTTCATATGGAATTAATTGTGGCAGGGTACGATTGTATTCTTCCTTGTAGTCAACTATGATGTTTAAATAGGGAATTAGAGCTTGAATATAAACAAATTTAAACTATACTTCAGACAGTCAGTCAGTCAACTAGTATTTATTAAGTGCCTACTGTGTACAAAGGCCCTGTGCTAAGCACTAGTCAGTGCTAGAAATCAGGACTCAATTTATTGACTTGTTGAGTGTCTACATTTAAGAAAGTGATGGAAAAAATGTTAATAATGCAAATTAAATGCAAGTGTTGTTCATATACCCGGCCCCCCCAGAGTTGGTTGTTTAACATTTACCAGCATACCCCTGGATATCTACTCTGTGTTTTTTTTTTTACAAATGTGGACTGAGTAATGATATTTTAGATGATAGCATTCTCCTCAGGTCTCACAGTCCCAGAACATCAGAGACGGAAGAAATTTTATAGACCATCTAGTCTGGCTCCCTTTTACAGATGAAGAAACCGAGACCCTGAAGGATTAAGTGATTTGTCTAAAGTTACATAGCTAGTAGGTGGCAGAGTCAAGATTTTCATAAAGGCTTTTAGATGGGCCCCAAGTGAAGTTAAATCAACTTCAGCAATTATGTATTTACTTATAAGCAATGTGATGCAAAGATAAAATGAAATACAGTCCCTGATATTGACCATTTTCTCTTCCAGAAAAAAGAAGTCTAGGGCTTTAAGGAGATATTTAGTTTACCTTATTTCCTCTTAAAAGGTCCAGATCTGAACCATCTCTCTGAAGTGTGACACTGATGTCCAACTGATGTCTAAGACTGGTGAATATACTGTAGAGAGACCTAATGAGATGGTCCAAAGAAGGATACTTCATCCCCTCTACCATCACTGCTACAGTACTCTGATAGGATATTAAGTGAGGGAAGGAGGCTGCTAATATCCTTCAGCCAACTGAAAACTGACTCCATATTTCCATTAAGAGCTGTTTCTGGTCTAATCTACTCAGTAGTTCTAAAGGAAATTTCTAAAGTATTTCTAAAGGAAAGGCTAAACAATGTTTTATTTTCATTATCAGTAAGTTCTTAGAGCTAATTGAAACAATTCCTACTTAAATTTATGCCCCGCAATTTCAATAATGATGTGTCAGCTACTATTTGTAAGCTGTTCTGCTAGGTTGGAATTAACAATTGCTCACATAGATGCTTTCAAGTTTACCAAACTCTTTTCTTACAGCAATCTTGTAAGGTAAGTAGAGCAAGTATTCTCATTTTACAGATGAGAATTAAAGAGGTTAGTACAAGGGTAGGGAACCTGCAGCCTCGAGGCCACATGTGGCCCTCTAGGTTCTCAAGTGGGGCCCTTTGTCTGAATCCATACTTCACAGAACAAATCCCCTTAATAAAAGAATTTATTCTGTAAAACTTGGACTCAGTCAAAAGGCAGTACCTAAGGACCTAGAAGGCCACATGTGGCCTTAAAGCCACAGGTTCCCCACCCCTGTGTTAGTAAGTCTTGGAGTTGTGACTTGAGCCCAGGTCTTCTGACTTCCAATCCAGTACAATTGTAAAGAAGCAATATGGAAGAGTAAATGGATTGCCAGGCTTGAATACAGACCTGGATCTGAATTCTACCATATATATATATATATACTAGCCCATGTGATCATGGGCAAGTCCCTTAACTTCTAGGTGCCTTGGTTTTTAAATCTGTAAAATGGGAATGAAAATACTGCACAGAATTGTGAGGAAGATGCTTTGCAATCCTTTGATTGCTATTTATAGGGCAAAGACCATTTTTTAGCTTACATTTCATTCTTATTTCCTTTCTTCCCCTTTGGTAGTGGTTGCAAGAAGGACTGGACCTATGATTTCACTGATATAGAAAAAAATCCTGGTGACAAACTCCCTTTACCAGAGCTTACAGTGTTACAGCTTACAGTGTTAGAGAATTATTTAGGGGCACTGATGGGTTAAATGAATTAATCACCCAGAGTTCCATAGTTAACATTTGTCAGAGGCCAGACTTGAACACAAGTCTTCTCGGCTCTAAGACTGGTTTTCTATACCCTATACTTTGTTGCCTCTCCTTAAATTTAAATCTGTCCAACTTTTTTTTTTTTAAATCCAAACTTGAGCAAAGTACTAAGATTAAAAAATGTAGGCTAGTACTTGCCTTTTACATTTTTTAGACTTTCCACTTGAACTACCTTTAAAGCTCTCCACATTTTTCTAGTCAATATGCTGCAAATGGATTCAATTTCTAAGGTCCTAATCAATCACAGGATTTCATCCTTAGTATTTTTCTAGGCAGTTTTTTGGATCACTTCCCAATATGCTAAAAAACTGTCACCTGTGAATTTAAATTCTCCTTTTCTAATTATAATGAGAACAAAGCCATCTTAACTAATATTCAGCTCCATTTCATTTTTTCTCTTAATTATCACAATTAGACTCATTACTTACCTGTTTCAATTTTACAGGCAAGAATGCTGCGTTGGTGAAAATAAAGAGCTTCTTCGACACTATTATAAAGGTAGATATCCCAGACACCATCAGTATTCAAGCCAGCATAAAATTTCTTGTTTTTTATAGTTGGTCTTCCTGTTTTCCAGTTTGTATAGGACAAGGCAGTCTTGTCAGACCACTTTAAAGAGTCATCTAAAGAAAAGAAACATGTTTAGAAACAAAAATGTTAAGCCTTATGCACACATCTGAAGCTGCTAATAGGTCTAACTTGACACCTTCCTTTTCATACCCTTTTTTTTTATTAGTCTTTGATACTTTCAGAGCAATGGGGTTATTCTTTGTCTCTCAAGGATTCTGTAATACTCATTCCTCACCACAAGAGTACTATATGACATGCTTTTAATTGACCACATTTTGACACTAAGTATAATTTCACTGTGTGTCAGTACCTTAGGGTACTATAAGATGAAGTCTGGGAATCGGTAGTCTTGATCTGAACTATCAGCATTTGGATACACTTCAATAATCTTTAGCTTGGTAAACAGAAGTTGACTACAGCAAACAGGTGGATGAAATTTTACATATTTCTTCAGAAATTACTACATTTACTTACATGATTTCCTTTCTATTTTCATAGACTTTTGACTGCTAAAGTGACAATGAGAAAGTGTTCTAGGTTGCTGGCCAAGAGCCATTAACTTTGGCAGTTGTTACATAATTTTCTCAAGAGGAGTTGTCTTGGCTATCAGTTACAGCAACTATTGGAAGTATTTGAAGGCTTGATAAGGGAGACTGAAGAGTTATGAAGGGGTTGAATATTCTTGCATTTGCTTTTATGAAGAAAGGTTTAATTAACCAGAGCTTATACCTCTTCAACAAATCTTACCTAGGATTATTGCAGACAACTAGACTGAAATTAAACAGATTTTAAAGATTGCACCTTCTCAAAAGTGATGGTGGAGGGGAAGAAAATGCACAAGCAAATATGATGTATGCTAGATTCATGAATTTCAAAGTGGCTTTTGGTGCTGTGGTCCAGTCTTATAAGTAGTTTTCAAAGAAGGTGCCAACCTCATCAAAATTCTAATTGGCATAACAAATGGTGCCAGGTTCATCCATGTTCCAATTTTCTTACCAGTTTTTGGCCTAGCTATTCCCATTTCCCTACTGGTTCTCATTTCACTTGGCAAAGAACCTAAGCATCTGTCTATAGTAATTATGCTAAAGAGAAGCAGTACATATGTTTACATTTTATGGCCTGCTGCTTTATTTTTATGGTTTTCTTAACCAACAGAGAATAAGGAATATGCTTCAATGTCAAGGTCAAGGGTACCTCACTTCTCCCAAAATTCTTTGCTTTTTCCCAATTAGTAAACAGTTGTACATATTCCATAGTTCCTATGCAAAGAGAGCACTTGCTCACCTAGAATGAGTTCCACCAGGTGATGGGCAGTTCTTAGTGGCCACATTGTGGCTCTAGAACCTTGTTAACTTCTTTCTCCATCTCTGGCCCATGGCTTCATCTTGAGCCAGTCAAAATTTTTAAAAAATAAGCAACAAAATACCTTTCAGAATTGGACTATAGAATGAAAAAATATAACCTTCAGACTGATATGAAAATCAAGAATGTAATTGGACATTCAGAATGTTGGACTATCTATATTAGGAAGATACAGATTCAAGTATCAACTCTAATACCAGTTAGGTAATCCTGAGGGAGCAATTTAACCTCTCTCAGATTCAGTTTACTCAATCTGCAAAATGGGCCTAATATCCTATATATTGGGGGCTCAAATGCTGTAATGTAATTAAAGTGCTTTGCAAATGTTACAGGGCTATATATGTGTCAATTATTATTATTGTTATTATTCAGTCGGTTGATTAACATATTGACGTTGTTCTCTTTGAGAACCCTCACTAAAAACTTCTCTTCAGTCTTCAAAAGAAATATTTTCCATTTATATCTAAAAGGTATTAGGAGGAAAAGTATTAGAAGGCCAAACTACAGATCTGCCTTTTACCATCAACTAAATTCTAAACTCTGCCACCACCACCCCTACCCCTCAGTTGATGGCAAAGAGCAAATCCACAGCATGACCTAGGTTTTGTGCTCTCCATTAGCACTTGGCTACCCAATATGCATGGGGAAGGGGGAAAGGGGGTGATATTGTTTAGGGGTTTTTACGTGAAAGTAGTTGAGAGGCAAAGATATTATATATATTAAACAGTAAGAATGAACAAGATCCAGCATGTTGTCACATAGGATGTAGCTAGAAATGTAGGCTGTACTTCTTGGTTGTACTTTATACCAACTGATAGTCAAAATAACTGAATGTGGGATATTTCATTTAGAGGGAGGTAATTGCTTGCTATTCTGGTATTTCCTTAGGACAGATTTAAGTATTAGAAGAAATTTCAGAATGTGTTGTACATTCTTAAAATGGGTTTTTAGACTGATAGATTAAACAAAAATCTCCATGACAGTTTATATATGGGATGGGGGAGTAGAGATAGTGTATTAACATGGGGTTTATGAAATTTAAAAAATATTCTGATAATTATTTCAATATAACAGGTTTCCTTTGTAATTCTATTACTTTATGCATTTAAAAACATTATTTTGAGAAAGGGTCCATAGACTACCAGCTTGCCAAAGGAGTCCACAACACTGAAAAGGTTAGAAACCCTTGTTTTATCTAATGTCTATATAAAAAAAATGGCTATCAAAGACATATGAAGAGAAGTTTCTACTGATTGAGTCTCAAGAAAAAGTGGCTCAAAATTTTAAACAAATTGTATGTATATCCATTTGTATGTGTATGTATGCATATATGCACAGACACAATCTATTTATCTTATATAATAAATACATCTCTTGGGGTGTGTGTGTGTGTGTGTGTACACAATAAACCCACCTAGATGCCATAAAAACTCTATAGGAACCATCAATCATTACTAAAGAGGGAATAGGGATGAAATGCAGGAATTAATCTATTAGGCTTATTTCAAGAAAGACTGAAATAATCAGAGTTGATAATTTCTAGATCCTCTTTTCTCTGACATATTTTCATTATCTTCCAAAATCTTGGGCATGCACACAAACATACACACATCTGTATATACATATCTGTCTAGCCATCTATACACATTCATGTGTATATATAGGTATGTATATATATGTACACAATACATATATGTATTTGTATGTAGTGCATATGTATATATATATATTTTAGAAAGCTTATATTCTTTTATTATCACCTGCATATGATTCTCAAACCTCTCTTCCCCAGACCTCTTTTCTGCTATCCAATTCCACATCTTCCATGACATACCTAATTAAAGGAAAAATCATTTTCCATTGTTTGGCTCTAAGTTTTGGCAAGGGTAGAGTGTGTGCAAAGGGTGAGAGTGGGGCAAAAGATCTCACAATTTATATAAGACAAAGACATTCTTTCTTACTTCTTTGCCCTAAATCCTAAATATGGAGCTGTATATTCCATTGGTCACCTATACTTTTGTAGATTGACAAACTGGTAATTATGTAGAACAAGACCAGGCAAGGGGAAAAAAGACTTCAGACATAACTCACCATCATAAGTTATACCCAACAATATCCAGGAAGCCATATAATTGAAGTACAGAAGCTGTTCACGAACAAAGTCATTCTCTCTCTCATCTCGAATACTCAGAGCGTGTGCCTTTGGATCTATTAAATTAAAGGTCTTCAATTAACTGCACGTCAAAACTGTTAACATTTAATACTTAGGTTTACTTTGATGAATGAGTTCATCAAAGCCCAATTACAGTGAAAGATTATTCTAACATGTCAATATAAACACCTCCCTCTACACCTAAACAGGAATGGGAAGCAGGTCAAGAAGTTAAATTTGGTCTACATCCAGCAGAGAACTAGTTGTATAGGACAGAAATGAAAATATGTTTATACTCTTCATTTTCTAATATCAAAGTACCTTTTCATACTGTACCAACCCATCTCTATGGAGGACAACCAAACTATTTATATTGATAATATACTTTAAGAGTCCATGTCACAGAACGACTTTGTAGTAATTAACCCCTTTGAGTGGGGCGTGAGGCTAACTCACCTTATCATAAATTAAACTTAATAGTGAACAGTGTTCTATTTACAGACAGTTCTTGCTTTATGTAAATTCACATTATACAAATTTGACTTTATGTAAAGCATATGAATGTCAAGGCATATTATTTACTTACTACATTTGCCCAGGCAATTGCAGCTTTGGATGCAGATAAAGACTAGACATTGAGAGATTTCTGGAAGTCTTAAAATATTTACCATGCAATCTGGAATATTGCTTAGGCCATAGGAAGATATAACAGAAACATGTATGAAGAGCGTTTGGAAAAAAATGTGCCCGTAGTTTGTTCCCAATTTTTGTGGATTTGATAAACATGAAACATCTGAAGAAGTAAGAGATTGTAAAATGAGCACAAGGATGGAGCTAGAAGTAGATGAGAATGATGCGGAAGAGTTGTTTGAGTCTCATGGAGAACTATCAAATGAGGATTTGATTGAACAGCTAGCTGCAAAGATGGCAGAAAAAAGGTAAGTTTGAGAACCCAAGGTCAAACAAAAAGGGTTCACAATGAAACAGTTGACAGAAGCATTTCATCATTTGAGTGAATTTTTTTCTTGTATTGAAAAGACGGATCTAAATATGTCAAGATTTTTAAAAGTTCAACGTCTACAAAAGGATAATATTGCTTGATGTCATCAGATAATGCAATGCGAGAAAAAAAGAGAGCCATTGTACAAACATCTCTCAATAGCTTCATAAAAAAAATTGTGTAGCCAACCACAAGTGCCAAGGGCTAGGTGCAGTGGAAGGGGAGGAGGCAACATGCTACACCCCTCTGTTAACTTTTCTGTGCAGTACTATGCATACTTTATCATTAACTTTACCTTTCGTTTCACAATTCTGTTTTCTCTCATGGTACAATATTTAATAACAGCACTTTAGTACATTTTATGACTTGTGTAAAGGTATTATTTTGTGTATGCCTTGGTTATATAAGACTACGTGAAGTGGGTGGCTAGGAGCAAATGCATATGGCATAAAAATTGCTTTTACATAGAGGTCTGTGGAATAGTCCATTTCCATAAAGTGAGAACTGTCTGTAATAAGCTTTCAGCGTATTAGACGTAGGAAATTTTAAAATATACCATCTTCTTACAAATTACAGCTAATAAACCTCAGCTATCTCATTCCCTTTTCCTCATCACTCGATGTAACTTTCTCTCAAGGGAGACTTTCTGAGGAAATGTTCTCTCTCCGGGGTAAGAATACCAAAGTGGTAATAAGGGAGACCCTCAGAAAAAGTCTTTATGAGCCATGGACTCCTTAACTTCATTTTCTACCCGCAGGGATCTCGGCCAGATCAAGCTGATCAATGGGTTCTCTCTCTTACCCAGAGAAAAACACTGATTGATGAAACCTTGACTAATCAGAGAGATTTCACTCTCCTTAGACACATGCACACATTTAAAGCCATTTATAACATAGCTCCCCAACTACCTTTCCAGTCTTTTATTTTGTTAAATATTTCCCAATTATATTTTGATCTGGCTTGGGCTGTACTGGGGAGTGTTGCAGGCACACCTCTATTCTAAACGACTCAGGTTTACAGAACGAATACTTGCCAAGCAGTCAGTTAGATCCTCAGACAAGGCTCCTGCTGATTTGGCTCTCTGATGCCCTGGTCTCAAAGTCAGGGGGAATGATTACAGTTACGCTGCTACTGGAAGCTACAGTTACTGCTCCCTCCTTGGATTTTTATCTTGACACTGACACTTCTCATGTCTCCCTGCAGCTTTCATGCTACGACCAATCATTAGCAGAGCCTGTGGTCCCCCGTCTGGGTCATCTCTGCCTACTATCTGTGATTGAAGTATCTCATTCAAAAGTATCTCAAGAAATTACAGAGGTGTTCAGAGAATTTAGTCAAAATTGTTCTAGAAACTTGGTAAAAGTCCTTCCTGCTCATTTTTCTGACGTGACAACTATGAGATCTTCTATGGTGCAAGAAATATAAACATTCTAATTTAAAAGTATTCAGCCATTCTATAATGAATCCAAGAAGGTTGTACCACGCAACTTCCCTTCTAAAGAGAACCACTGTTTTTATACAGTGATTATACAATAAGGGGCTTGGATAGAATTATATTCATGCTTCTCTTCCTTCTCCTGCTTGCCTTAAATAGGGGCTAGTTGTGACGGTCTGGAGGAGCACAGCTTTTTTTTTTAATTTAAATAACCTATAAGCATAATTTTATTCTAATAGTTATCTCATCAAGAGTATTCTTCCTCTAATTTAAGCCATTTGCCCCACACTCCAGACTCCAATTTTTACCCAGACCCTATTAAACCCTACAATAACATCTGAATGATTTCTATACTTTGTTTAAAATACTTTGTAACTTATGTTACAAATATAGGACAGCCAGGTGGTGCAGCGGATGGAGCACCAGGCTGGGAGTCAGGAAGACCTGAGTTCAAATCCGGCCTCAGACACTTACTAGCTGTATGACCCTGGGCAAGGCACTTAACCCTGTTTGCCTCAGTTTCCTCATCTGTAAAATGAGTTGAAGAAGGAAATGGCGAACCACTATAGTATCTCTGCCCAGAAAACCGCAAATGGGGTCCGAAGAGTCAGACATGACTGAAATGACTAAACAACAACAAGCTTATGTTCACTTGTTTGTTTCTAAAACAGATGGGAGAAGGAAAGAGGTTGCTACTGCTTTTATCTTCTCAATACAGAAATCCTCATTTTTTGTTGTTGTTGTTGATGAAATGATGTGGTATAAAAGGAAAGACCTAACGAGAAATTCTGAGAAGTATGAGTACATCATGAAACAGAAATATAAACAACATGCTCCCCCCATTCTTCTCTTATCTGATTCTTTTTTGTGCATACAAGAGCTGGAAATCCTAGAATAAATTCCAAAATACAATATACTTACTTAGATTCTGACATTTAAGTTGCACATCATCATATGTTACTGCTAGGAACCTATTTTTGGCAATCATGAAATTGTAGCAACTGTTCTGAAATGGTATCCAAGGTGTATTGAGAACCGTAGATGGACATTTAACCGTGTCAGCTTTCTTTACCTCTTTTTCTGCCTCATCTAGAAGACATAATAACAGCAGTCATGTGATTATAATCACTCATATTTACATAACACTTTAAAATTTATGAAGCACTTTCCTCACTAGACCTCTATAACGTGACCAATGTAGGTATTTTTCTCCCAACCATCCTGAAAAACAACTTGGAATTTTAACAGAAAAATCACTAAACTGAATAACATACTCTTTGGCTCAACAACAGCACTACAATGCTATACTACAAGGACAGTCAAAGACAGTGGGAAAGGTGACATATGCACAAAAATATTTATAGCAGCACTTTTTATGATAACAATGAGCTGCAGACAAAGTGCATGCCCATTGAATGGGCTGAACAAATCGTGGCAAAGAATTGGAATAGAATATTATTGTGTGCTAGGGGAAAAGAAGAGAACCTTGGGAGACTTGAACTTGGGGAGACTTGAACAAACATACAGAATGAAATATGCAGAACTATGAGAACAATTTATACAGCAATCATAACACAAAGGAAAATAACTTTGAAAAACATAAAAACTCCGATAAATGCTGTTTCTAATTGTGACTTCAGTAGACAAAAGTGAAAAATGCTTAAGAGCAGCTAGATGGCACAGTGAATAGAGTGCCAGGCCTGAAGTCAAGAAGACCTTTCTTTCTGAGTTAAAATCTGGCCTCAGACACTTACTATGTGACCCGAGGCAAGACACTTCACCCTGTTTGCCTCAGTTTCCTCATCTATAAAATGAGCTGGAGAAGGATATGACAAACCATTCTAGTATCTTTGCCAAGAAAACTCAAATGGGGTCTTGAAGAGTTGGACATGACAGAATGACAAAAATGAATGCTTTCTTCCTCTGAGCAGAATGGTAGTTGACTAAAGGTGGGAAATGAGGCATACATTATCAGAAGGTCTTGAATGAGTATGTTGATTTATTTTGCTTAAGTGTAATAAGGGAGATTGAGAAGTCATTAGGAAGTAACAGTAATGTAAAAATATGAAACCATCAATAAAACATTTTAAAATAAAATATTTTTATACTCATACTTCAGAAAAAGTAGAACTATGACTACTGGATTATCCAATCCATTTTAGATACAAATGTTAAATACCATATACTTAACCTCCTAGACCTTATTAGGAAATTTCAAAAGCACCTTGATGTAATGGCCTAGAACTAAACAGATTGTTCATGATCACTTAGTTCTCTTGAACTAAGAAAACAGTGGTTCTCTTTAGAAGGGAAGTTGCCTGGTACAACCTTCTTGGATTCATTATAGAATGGCTGAATACTTTTAAATTAGAGTGTTTATATTTCTTGCACCATAGAAGATCTCATAGTTGTCACGTCAGAAAAATGAGCAGGAAGGACTTTTACCAAGTTTCTAGAACAATTTTGACTAAATTCTCTGAACACCTCTGTAATTTCTTGAGATACTTTTGAATGAGATACTTCAATTTCTAAATACATGCATTCTTCAAGAAAAATAAATCCATGAATGATATTTTCCCCACCTCCAGATATTGGGTATCCAAGAAAATCCAGTTACAATTTTCTTTAAAGGAACACAGTTTTTTAAGGGAAATTAATTAATTGGGGTGGATATACCACTTTAAGAAAAAACAATCCACACAATTGCAAAAACTAAGCTAGAAGCTGATTATTCAACAAACATTTATTAAGTAACCATGAGGTATAAGACATATTATTGACCTTATAAAAGGATTCCTTTAAATATCAACTAACCAGAGATATATAAGCATTAGTTTATACAAAGACGCAGAAGGAAGCAAAAATATTACGAGTTGATGCCATGTGAAAAATGAAGATAAAAACAGCTAAAAATATTATCAGTGGGAAAATATCCAGTTTACAAAAATATTATTTACACACAACTTTTCCGAGCACACATATTGCGGAAAGCAATTTACAAGAGTATATTTTCCTACCATTTTATAGTAGCAAATGACTTCCATGTATGAAATAAGATTTGTCACAGTGCTACTTAAAGCTTGTTACCCCTTAGAGATAATACATTTTAAGAATAGAAATGTTTAGAATTATAACTTACTTCCTGAGGTATAACAGATAGCCCCCGACTGGATGCTTCTGCAGCCAGAAGCTTTCCAGAAACCATCAGTGTCCAAAATTACACAGTCTTCAAGTTGTACACTATTTTCAGACCAGCGGCTAAAGCTGAAATGTTTTCCATCTGACCAGCCATAGTTGAGTTCATCCTATAAAAGCAAAGGTACATTTTAAAAAATGGGATCACCTTTCTTTCGACCCAGCAGACAAATCTAAGCAAGCATACCACAAATGACCATACCAAAGCATATTACACAAAAATAGTTAAGCAAAATAGCACAAAACTGATTGTGACTGGAAGTGCATGCAACCTTCCACTTTTATAGTTTACTTCTTTGTAGTTTGTTATCTTGTTAACAGAAAGGAAGGGTGTGTCCTTTGACTTTAACCAATTGGTACCAACATTGTTCTTTGCATCTGACCTGCTTTTTTGTCCCCTTTTAATATTGCCTTGATTTATACAGCTGTAGTCTACATATTCTCCTGTTGATTCTGCTTTCTTCACATTGTAGCATCTTATATAAGCTCTCACATTTCTTGGATTTTTTTTTTCATATTTAAGGGAAAGTGCATGTAAATTCCCTCCTCTCCTCCCACCCCCTCAGCTCCACATTGACTAGTTGCAGAACTTAGTCAGATAAGGTTATAACAATGTTTTAAACCAATTGGAAAACTGTAGCCACAACCAGTTATCCTCTGACAAAGTATGAACAGTTCTCTGAATGAGTCATAAGAGAACAAGAAGATAGTTTAAGCAAATAAATTAGAAATGCCCATGGAGGCTTTTTAAATAGACCTGGGAAGTTGGAGTGCTTTGTGGATATGAAGAGGGAAAAAGGGATTTCTTTCTCCTCTACTTCACAGCCTATGGTATCTAGTAACAACATGGCCAGATGGAGACGCTCTATTCAGTTGTTGAGAACATGTTGGTTCAAGAGATTTCAAGGTACAACTTATGGAGCAGGGACACACCTGCCATACACATACATACACATACACACACACACACACACACATACACACACACACGTATATAGACCTATGGTAACCATTTCTAGGTTGGGGTTGGGAGGAAAGAAAAAAAGTTACATGATAACTTCATTATATATTTAAAATGAATAGTAAGTGGGACAAAATCAATTTGCAATTTCATGTATAATAATTTTTTCTTCCTATTCTATGTTACGGAAATGCATGTTTTATTTCTTTAGTTCAGAATAAAATAAATAAAATTAAAAAAACATACCTTGATTTCAAAGAGCTTATGTATAATTTATCATATTCTAATCTGGAATCTCATAGGAACAGAAAAATAAGCCCTCAAATTACTGATGAAAGGGAGGAAAGGGCATAAGAAGAAAGTGTATATGTGTGTGTGTGAAGATCACAGGGAGGGGAGAAGCAGCTCCTAAATTGGGCCTTAATGAAAACTACTTCAGGAGGCAGGGAGGGTTGGAGACAGGCCATTACAGGAATGAGAAACATGTGCAAAGGCACAGTGACCGAAGAGGACAGGATGAAAACAGGGGAGGGAGAGTATTCAAGATTTATTGGTTACAGCATGAGAAGGAAGATGGACACTTTAAACTGGACAATCTGGAGACATCTCAAACCTTTCTTCCAAACTACCTTATTTCTGTCAATGGCACCACCACCCTTCTAGTACTCCAGGTTCTCAAACTCGGTGCTCTCCTTCACTCTTCACTCTCACTCACTCTACAGATCCAGATGATAACAGCATCTACCTCCCAGGGTTGTTGTGAGAATCAAATGAGATAATAATTGTAAATTGCATGGCACGTAGTAAGTGCTATATAAATATTAGCTATTACTATTATTATTAAAATAGCTGTAAATGTAGATTTCTCCATTTTGCTCTCCAACTCAACAAACTTTGGCATTGCTTTCTTTTTTCTTCTTCCTAGGAGAGGTATGTGGTACAGAGGAAAGAACAATGGATCTGATTGAGAGGTTCCAGGTTTGGATGATGCAGTCATTTACTACCTGTGCAAGAATCCTATAATCAACCTGGGCCTCAATTTTCCAATAACTAAACTAAAAGAGTTGGACTAGATGATTTCTGAGGTCCTTTTTAGCTCTAAGTCTATGATCCTATGTTCTCTTTATCTTCTCTGCAGTTGGATGTAAAGAACTTTCCTAGTTCCTACTTTTTATTCTCCTCAAGTCTTAATCACAAGTAATAAGAACCATTCTGGGTGGTTACTAGAGATTTCTCTCTCTACTATGTGAACAGAAGGAATATGGCTCTATTCCTTGGTGGTAATTGTTACTGAAGGCCATATATATTTTGAATTTCTCCCTCCTCACCTTCAACACTGCCTCTTCCTCTTCTCTTTCCACTTCCTTGGCTTCAAGTCCTAGCTAAAATCTCATCTTCTACAAGAAGCCTTTCTTGATGCCCCTTAACACCATTGCTTTCCCTCTATCGATCATCTCTAATTTATATGTGTATATATATAGTTTGTTTATATATATGTGTATATGTATAAAAATGTATTATATATATATAAATACATATGTATATAGTTTGTTTGAGCAGAGTTACTTGCATGATGTCTCCCTCCATCAGACTAGGAGCCTCTTGAGAGCAAGAACTATCTTTTGCTCTTCTTTGTAATTGCAGCACTTAGCACAGTGCCTGGCATATCATAAACGCTTATGGATTACTGACTGATTGTATTGTAATAAAATTCTGGACCCTATGGATAAATTTAAGCTTTCATTACAGAAAACACTTCTGAAAACAAATGTTTGCCCAATTTGTACAGTCAGGACAGTATACTTACATCTTGGCTTGAGAGTCCAATCCACAATGACGAATTACTGAGAACAGTCTGCACAGTAAGGAAAGCTTGTTGATAAGGATTTGTGATGCTCACTAACTGCATGGTTTCGTTTTGGCACTCCTTCAGGGCCTCATACCAAGTCATCGCTTTCAGGATTATTTTGTAGGAATAATCTTGATACTTTATAATGCTAGAGGTGTTTGGCAACATGCGATTATCTTGAATTTCTGTGTCAAAAATAAAAAGAAATTGCTTGAAAGCCTTGGGAATTTGCCTTTTATTTTTTAAACACTGGTCATGAAGGGCTCAGTTCCTATATTCCCTCCTCTACTTCCCCTCCCTTCTTCATCCCCCCAGCCTGCAACACGGGACTACTTGGAGGTTTTACAGCAGGAGTGCGAGGATGAAAGAGAAATCACTTGTCACTACAAGTCAAATGTTTGACAAAGAATTTTTCTTTTCTGGAAATAAAGGAAAACTCCATTCATCTGATCTAATGTTTTCTGTGCAATTTTTAAGTCCTCAACAGAGTAGAGAAGTGGCTTGAAATCAGATTGTTGCTCAAGGTCGATGGCAACTAATTCTATTGTCTGAATTGCTTTATTAAGGGGATAAATCAAGTGTCCTCTCCACACTAGCACTGACAACCTACTTAATTCCTGAAAGGATAGCCAATCTTTACATTTCAAGGTTCCCACTGGAAAGAGCACTTATTATCAGATCTCCAAAGTCATCCTTTAAGGTTATGTTTCAGTTTTTGCTCTATGGTCAGTGCCTGGGAATGAAAGGCAGTAGTATCAGATTGCGGGACAAACAGTTAATGGCTTTAATAATAATAAAAAATTTAATAATAGCATTTATATAGTGCTCTAAGGTTTGCTAAGTACTTTATAGACATCTCATTTGATTCTCACAGTAACCATTTGAGGTAGGTACCATTATTATCTCCATTTTACAGATGAGGAAATGGAGACTGACAAAGGTTAAATGACTTGCCCAGAGTCATATGAAAGTGTCAAGTAGGATCTGAACTAGGGTCTAATGAAATCCAAGCCCAGCACTATAACCACAGTGCCTCAATAATTACTATCAGAACGCTACTTCTCAGTGTATGGAGGCACTTTGGAACATGGCTTTAGAAGCAGAAATCTGCCTTGGACAAGGCAATCCATCTCTTTCAACCCCAGTTTCCTTGTCTGTGAAATGAAAGGGCTGGACTAGACGTTCTACCTCTATGATTCTTCGACAGTGTAAGGCCACTCTGGTTACATGATGAAGCTCTATTTACTTTTATTCACTGCTTCCTGTTAAAACCTCACCGTACTCTACGCGAATAAAAGGAACTACAAAACTTTTTGAAAGGATACTGGAAACCCATTCTCAGACACCCGTCTTACTGCTATTTAGAATAGAAGGCAGCACGATTAATGAAGCGTTGGGTGTCCCTTCCATTCTCTTCCAAGCGGAAGCTTAGCAAATAATGCTTGTCTTTATAATAGAGTTAATCATTTGACATTTGCTGAAGTGGGGTAGGCAGGTCATAAAGGATAAGAAAGTGATTTGTTGCCCTCTACAGTCTACAGACTGTAATCTGATTCTCACATCACTTTGCCATTTCCACTACAGGTCACCATTGAAGCAGGTATGGGCATATGTGGGGGAAGCATGCCTCTTTCCCTTCTGCTAGTGTGACACTCACATCTATGGGTGAGCATCCAGATCTGCATTTCCATGGTAAAATTAGAGAAGTGAGATAGTGTCGTATATTCACAACTTTTACTGGAGTTTATGTGTTCTTACTCAGATTCACATATTGTATCCCATGATTAGGGAGAGATCCGATTGAATAAGACGTACAGAGATCAAAAACTAGAAAAAGCCACTGTATAAGTGAGTTGCTCAGATGGATATTCTCAGTGATGTACTGGAATGGGCTCTGCACTTTAAGTTAGAAGTTAATTTTTTTGTATTTGTTTTTGGTGCAGCGGATAGGCCTGGAGCCAGGAAGACTCATCTTCGTGAGTTCAAATCCAGCCTCAGACACTTAGTAACTATGTGACCCTGGGCAAGTCACTTCACTTTGTTTGCCTCAGTTTCCTCATCTGTAAAATGAGCTGGAGAAGGAAACGGCAAACCACTCCAGTATCTTTGCCAAGAAAACCCTAAATGGGGCCACAAAGAGTCAGACATGATTGAACAATTAACAACAACAATAACGTATGATCAGAGTGCCATCGGGTCACAGAATTTAAATCTTGACAGAACCACAGAAGTAGATGTTTTAGTCTAGCCCCTTCATTTAAAAGACAAGGAAACTAAGGTTGAAAGAGATCAATTAACTTGCCCAAAGCAATCTTTTGATGACAAAATAATGTTCCATAGTTCTTTATTTTTAAAGAAAATCCCATCTATAGCTATCCTATAGCTATAGCTAGAGGTAGAGGCAATATGGCACAGTGGATAGAGAACTGGCATTGAAGCTAACTTCATTTGTTGACATATTCTTTTTTTTTTAAGTAGATATCTTGCACTGAAAAGGTTGAGTTTAACTTAACCTCTCTGATGATTAGTTAACTAAGCTATAAAAGGGATATATTTGTACTATCAAGTTTGTCCTCTGTAAAACTATAACTGTTACATAAAAGTGAATTATTAATTATTTTTGTTGTTCCATCATTTCAGTCATGTCTGACTCTTGGAGTTTTCTTGGCAAATATACTGGAATGGTTTGCCATTTCCTTCTCCAGGTCATTTTACAGATGAGGAAACTGAGGCAAACAAGGTTAAACGATTTGCCCAGGGTCATATAGTGTCTGAGGTTGAATCTGAACTCAGGCCTCGCACTTATCGACTGTGCCACGTAGCTGCCCTATTAATAATTAGCCAATTATTAATGTGATGGGAGCTTGCTTTGCACATGGCTAGATATATACCATGGAGGCACTCTGCTTCTGGAAGGAAACATCTTACTTCTTGTGCCACATAGGTGGGAATAGGTGCCTTCTTCATAGTTGGAAGAGGCTGTGTCTTTAATACTGACAGACGGGGATAGTCTTTCTATTTTGTGCGCTCTTTCTTGCTGTGTCCACAGGGTGATGATCACACAAAGCTCACCCACAGTTTAGGTGCCATAAATTGAATTGAGAATGGGGGAGATACATTTTCTCTTCCTTCCTCTTAGGCCCTGGGACTTGGGGTCCCAGGTGTTTCTGTTTATGTTTCCTTTGTCCTTCTCAGTTTTAGGTATAGGAGGTAATACCTGTGGGACCTGGGAGCATGAGCCACGTTGACTCGGAAAGCAAGCATCCCAGGCAAGATGTTGCAGCCAGTCAGCCCAGCAGAGAAGCCATGAAAAGTCAGGGTGCCTGGGACTTGAGACCAAGGAGGCGTCTTGGTGTTGGAACTGGGGCTGTACTCTGTAGGAAACCAAGCTAAATTGTAAACCGAAGTCTCTTTACCTCTCCCAGAGACTGAGGTAGTAAAGGGAAGGGAAGGGAATATGCTTTTCATGTACTGAGGAATGTTTGTATATCTGATTATTATACTTTTGAAGTAAATATTTCTTTGTGAAAGTTAATTCTACTGTTAGTAGCTATATGGAAGTGGGATAAGGGGACCCATTCCCTACAACTGAGGGAACATCACTGGTGGGGCCACTGGCAGAAAGTCTAGACACCTCCCCTTGAGGCTACCCAAGAATCTTGGGGAGGGGTAAAACATAACATACTTGGCTTTCAGGTAGTGGGGGCGAGGTGGTCAAGTGTCATATCAATAATAACAACAGTAGTTACACCTAGTACACTGCTGTTCAGTTGTTTCAGTCATGTTCCGACTGTGTGATTCCATCTGGGGTTTTCATGGCAAAGATAATGGGGTGGTTTGCCATTTACTTCTCCAGCTCATTTTGCAGATGAGGAAACTGAGGCAAACAGGGTTAGTGACTTGCCTAGGGTCACACAGTAAGTGTCTGAGGTCAGATTTGAACTCAGGAAGGATCTCCTTGACTTTATGCCCACTCTATCCACTGAGACACCTAGCTGCCCCAAGTACACTATTGGCACTTAATAAACGCTTATCATTATTGGCTTAGGGTTCAGTCTTCATTCGTTTTTAAAATGTAGCCAATGGTGATTTGATAGATTAATGCACATCTTTGCTTTGGGATATAGTTGTGGGGTATATGACATGGGGTACACAATGATTTTCCTCTAAAAATACCAATTTCAAAACAAAATCTGATGGCAGAAAAACACTTTGTATCATTTTGATACACCATTCCTAATAATTTAACGAGATTGCAAGATGAAACTCTGTTATGCAGGGCAACTCTTAGGAAGGCAGATCTATAGCACTAAGTACCTTGCTAAAAGGACATGGGACTGAGTGGTAGTCAGGTGAAGTGGACTCCTGACAGAGAACTCATCTTCTTTTGTGGTCTCTAAAATTAAACTGTGAAATGGATTGGCCTTTTTTTCCTCTCCACGATCTCTCCTTCTGAGACATCTAGATTAGGGTATAGTGAAGAGAAGAAGGGATTTCTCCTAATCTTCTCCCATTCACCCTCTGGAGCAGAAATGGTGAGAGTAAGAAGCACGTAACAATGGTGGATAAATGTTTACACACAGATGGAGAGAGGAGTTCTAGGAACACTGTTCCTGATCCCCAGCCTTCTGCAAACAATGAGACTTTGAATTCCCTAGCGAACATGATCCTGGACTCTAACCTTCTAGCCTGAGAAGCACTACCCCTGGGAACTGCCTTGTAGTCATCCCAAGTTTGAGTTTCTGAATTCAAATGTGTGAGCAGCAGCCTCTCAGCACACTTCCTCAATAGCATACTTCTTGGAGCAGGAAGAAGGTCATTCTGCAGCTGAAGATCTACACCCATGTCATGGAAGGGTCAGACATGTAGATCTTGCCAAATTTTCTTACTGTTGCTATGAGTTTTCCTGATAGTGCAGGTATGAGGTGAATGATGAGTCCTCTTCAGTAGTCCCAAAGGTCAACTTCCAAGAGGAAGGTGATGTTCCTTTATTGTTCATGGGCTTCTGTGAGTTATTTCATTACTATGCATTTTTATGGTGGGTAAAATAAAGGAGATCCTATATCTGCTAGGGGTAGGAGCAGTATGCCCTAACTACATTAAAATGTAATTGGGCAATGTTTAACAACATAAATCAAAAATATGATACCACATAGATAATGTTAATTTGTGGTTTCCTAAGTCAAGATGCAGCTGGCAGGGATGTCCTTCTATTTGTGTTTGACATCACTGCTCTTGATCAGAGGTGTCCACTTAAATAGAAATGGGGGCCACTAAACTATACATAAGGATCAGCAATATTGACTTAAGTGGTTTTTTTTGTATTTTATTTTTTTCTCAATTACACATAAAAACTTTTTAACATTCTTTTTTTTTCAATTTTGAGTTCTAAATTATCTTCTTTCCCTCTCCTCGTCCTTCCTTGAGAAGGTAAGTCATTTAATATAGGTTATACATGTGAAGTCATGCTAAAAATACTTCTATATTAGCCATGTTGCAAAAGAAAATGAAGACAAAAAAAACAAGAAAAAAAAGAAAGTTTAAAAAAACTATGCTTCGATCTGCATCCAGACTCCATAAGTTCTTTCTCTGAGTGGAAAGTATTTTTTGTCTTAAGTCCTTCAGAATTTTAAATGTAATATTTTCTATATTTAACTCTAAAACTATCAGGTTGCAGAGAAGATGTTGATTTGAATTGGTAGAGAGATTTCTTCATCTTGGAGTTCCCCATGCCAATATCATGACAGGTTCAGTATCTATTTCATACCTAATGCCTATATTCTACATTGTATATTGTATTGTGCCTATATGGGTGTTGGAACCCTATTACCCACACTTGGAGAAACCTAGACTTGAACTATAACTAAGCATTATTTTTATATTTTTCTAGAGAATTCCAGGTAGGGCAGGAACCAAAGAGAGAAATTGATCCTTTAGAGCTTACCTTCCAGGATCGAACTGATTTTGTGTGATCCAAGTTCTTGAGAGAAAGGGGCTGGCTATGGTTCACATATTGATCTAGATTTTGTTCAGCTTTATGAACTATATTTGATGAAGTCCAGTGATAAAGAGTTGATGCTTTAGTTTAATACTCTGTAATCATCTTCAAATACAGCAATAGACACAAGACTTAGGGGGCACTTAGCAGTACTTTTTCTCTAGATTCACTGTCATGGAGCTCCAAACTCTTGACAAGGTGGGGCAGTGGCATCCAACCCACATGGTACTTATATCTGTGACAGCACAATGCTTATGCAGTGTAGTTGTAAGCACAGAATGAAACACAGCTTGGCTAACCTCTACTTGCTCATCAAGGCTTTTGCAACTCATTTCCCATACTGTAAACCAGGATTGTTGCTGTTGCCCATTTGTTTCAGATGTGTCTGACTCTTCCTGACCCCATTTGGAGTTTTCTTGGCAAAGATACTGGAGTGGTCTTTCATTTCCTTCTCAAACTCATTTTGCAGATGAGGAAACTGTATGTACGTACACACGTATGTACGTATGTTTGTGTGTATGTACATTCATATATGTGTATGTGTGTATATGTATGCACATATATGTGTATATACATACATACACACATGTACACACATATAGGTGTGTGCATGTTATCTATATGTCTTGCCTACTTAAATCTGTATTTTTCTCAGTGCTTAGGACAGTATTGGGAATACAGTACTGACAGTAATCATTTGCTCACATTTAAAAATAAAAAGCAGATATCTTGCCACTGCAAAGGATGGAAGGGATTACATGAATTTTTGTTTCTGCCTACCACAGGTGATAGAATGCACCCAAAAGGGGAGGGTCCCCTTGGACCACTGGGGAAGCCTCTGAAGACTTGTCAAGAGCAGCTAAAGAGGTATGAAAGATGGTTAAGTCAATCTAACCCTAAAAAGGGATACTGATTGGGGGAAAATGGAATTGGGTAAGACAAAGGTTAAGGAATGAAAGCATATGCATATATGTAATGAGATTCTCTCAATTCCCAAACTGCTCCATTGTCATTTTTAATTAAGAGGCTTTAGGAACTACATTAGTTATATTATCATTATCATTCAGGTTCTGAGAAGACTATTTATTTAATAGTATCACCTATTAAATAAGAAAAGGTCATAGTGTGGAAAAAGCATTCCTATACCAAAAGACTTAAACTAAACCATTCCTAAACCAAAAGAGTTTGTGAAAGCTATTCAGGCTAGACTATTTTAGATCCTAGAATTATCTGCCTTGATAACTCAATCTGCTTCATAAAGTTGAAAAATATCTGAGGACATTATTGCACCAAGTTAAGCTACATAAAAACTACATTTATGTATTTCAGTGACAAACCTCTTCTGCTAAATTTCATCTTTACCTTTACCTTTATATCTATCACACAGGCAAAACATTTGCTACAAATAAAAAAAAACATACCTGAATATTTTTGACATAGAGATAAATTATGCTGTTCTTGACAGGAAGTTAAATTCCATGTCCCAGTTAACGTCGAATTCTGAAGGTTGAGCATCACAGCACAATGGCTGTTTGCGTCTTCATCAAAAAACTAAATAAAAAGGCAAAGTATTCATAACACTGAAATGTGAAGATCAAGGACAGTTTAAGTAATTTATTTTTTCAGAGACACATGATCCAGGCCCAAAGACTTTCTGAGTTTTAGTTTTTAACGTATTTCATCAAAGAACTAAATTAATTGGATTCAGAAACCCTACTGAATTCTCCAAAGCACGGGAAAACAGAATTAATTTTAAAACACCCCAGTAAAGCTTTAGAGAACACCCAAATCTCCTATAATGTGATTACAGCAATTCTTGTGTAATGCCGGTGTTTGGTGATCCTAATGTGGAAAATATTATGGCAGACACAAGTGCTTTGAATACTCTCAAAATCACCTTTTAGGAATTGCCAATGACTCAAACTTTGCCTACCGTGTTAAAGAATGGGAGCTAGTTTTAAAGTGTGTGTGGGGGCAGGGAAGGATGTAGAGGGAGGCTAAAGATGTGGCTGGTAGCTACTGTAACTGACACCAATACCATTGTTGCTTATATCTGGCGCCTCTTTTTGTGATTTATGTCCATTTCTTAGGGAAAAATCATTGCTCATGATTGAATTGTTATCTGCCTCACAGAATTTTTTATGGACTTTGAGCCCAAGGTCAAAAATTTCAAAAGATTAAGTAAAATATTGTGTCTGAATTCACAAAAAGTCTATGAATTTGGTTAGGAAAAAAATTTTAATTTTCTTTTTCATTAACTGGAATTTAGCATTTCCTCCAAATAAAAAGGCAGCTACAGTGGATAGGGTGCTGAGCCTGGAGTCAGGAACATTCAACTTCTGAGTTCAAATCTGGCCTCAGACAGTTACCAGCTGTGTGATCCTGGGCAAGTCACTTAACACACCTTGTTTGCCTCAGTTTCCTCATCTGAAAAATAAACTGGAGGAGAAAATGGCAAACCACTCCAGTATTTTTGCCAGGAAAACCCCAACCAGGGCCATGGAGAGTCAGACAGGACTGAAACAACATGATTCTGGGAAGAGTTCCATAGGCTTCACCAGACTGACAAAGGGGTTCATAACACAAGAAAGCTTAAGAGCCCCTTCACTGGAATGTAAACCTGGAAACTAGGATTCTACAACGTTGTTGGAATGAAGCAGAGATGTACAGTGGGGGTCCTTCTGCTCCTGTGACAATATTTTATGGTAAACCTGGGCATGTGATATAACTGTAGCCACTCTGAAATGCTATAAACTTACATCCATTGGTATCCTTTGCTCCCGTCCCTGCAATAATGGGTGAAAGTTACTGTATAACAGCCTGTTATTATCAGTCCATTTACTCATCTTTGTCGTGGTGCTTCTGGACAAACCAATCCAAACATTATCTCCCAAGTCGGGCAGTAAATATGTAATAAAGTCTGTTAGGAAAGAGACTGATTCAGAATTTATGCCTTATTTAAAATAAAAATAGTTTTAAAAATGAGTGAACACTTGCCCCCTTGCTTACTCACCTAACTCAACAGATACTAAGGCATGAATTTTTTGTTCATTAAGAAGTCAGTAATATATTTTAATATATAATTATATCATACAATACAAACTTCTACATATTAGACTATTTTTCCCTGCTACATATTCTGAAGAATTTTTAAAATTGTAAATTCTTTTATTTGCAAAATACATCAAATCCTTAAGTGTCATCTAGGTTTTTTACTGTGTCCAGGATCTGACCTATTGTCCAATAGAACTTCATTGACTTTGCAGCCTGTTTCTACATTTCCCCCCCTGCTTTCTCCTGTTATTATTCTGTTACACTTCCCATTATCCCTATCAGCCACATTCTAATCATATCTGGTTTCCATGTGAGAGGTTCTTAACCTAGGTTTTGTGAGCTTAAAAAAATACTTTGACAACTGTATTTCAATATCCAAGACAAGTAAGAGTGCTATAATTGGTTTCCTTTGTAATTTATGCATCTAAAAACATAATTCTGAAGAGGAGTCCATAGACTTCCCCAGACTACCAAAGAGATCCATGCCACAAAAAACTTTAGAAAATTCGCGTTAATCCATCATCTTACCTTGTTCACTTTGGCTCAGGACTGAAGGAAGGGTACCGCCATAGGTATGACAAGCTTCCTTAGCTTCAAAAAATGTACAAAGCTTTGGTTTAATCTTTAGAAAACACTGCAAACAAAGAGCATATATCATCTATAAGGGCCAGGGACATGAAAGCTCTTTTTTTCTCTGTCTAAATAGTTTACCTTCCAGAGGACTTATTTTTAGGCCATGAGGATACCATCCAGATTCACCATTTTAATTTAAAGGAGGAACTCTCCTCAAAACCAAACCAAAGCAAACCCCTCTGTATACCAAATTATATATTTTAAAGATATGGTTAAAAAAGATATGGTGATGTTTCTTTCTTTCTCTCAGTAGTGAATTATCTGCTATGAAAATTTATCTAAGCCCAGCACTTCAATCAATCAATCAACATTTATCAAGTGTCTACTATGTGTCAGGTATGACGTGCCAAGTTGTTACGGATAGAAAAAAAGGCAAAAGAGCCTTCAAGGAGCTTAATATGGAAGATGTAAGGCTAGCCTCTTTCTTATTATGAACAAACACAAATAATTATACTTTGAAGAATCTCTGAGTTGGAAGAGAGCTCAAAGGTCACATCAAGAATCCACTTTATAGCACAGAAGATAAATTACATAAAGAGGGAAGAGCCTACTGATCTTTAATCTCCATTTATATCCCTTGAACTTTTCAGAACTTTTCTGATGTACATGGTTCAATTTTGCTTCATCGTAGTTGTACACGTATTATTTTGGTTTTTATAAAGATAAGCAGTTGTTAAGTAGTGGATAGAGGGGTAGTCTTGGAGACAGGGAAACCTAAGCTGAAGTTCTGCTCTGACACATACTAGTTGTGTGACCATGGGCAAATTACATTACCCTTCAGTGACTCTAAGCCTATAAAGCGGCCAATGAGTTGCTGCTTCATTTTGGAAGATGGAGTTTTCATGCCAGGAATTCTCTCTACCCATGAAATTGTAGGTTATAACTCCACTCCTCCCTCAGACTTTCAGATATACCTTTCCATGAATCGAGAGCTACGAAATACACTGCTTGTTTTAACAGTTTTATTAAATTTTTATCATATTGATAGGCCATAGTTTTTGTTTTCCTACTTCCTTATTACGGGATATTTGGGTTATTATTTATTTATTTATTTATTTTTTGTCTAGGCAATGGGGTTAAGTGACGTGCCCAAAGTCAAGCAGCTAGTAAGTGTTACGTGTCTGAGGCCGCATTTGAACTCAGGTCCTCCTGAATGCAGGGCTGGTGCTCTATTCACTGAGCCACCTAGCTGCCCCATTTGGGTTATTTCCAATCATACACGTAAAACTCTACAGAAGATCTTTGTGCTGATCATTTTTCCTTCCCTTTTTGATCATTTCCTTGGGGTATAGGGCCTGAACCAGAATTATTAATGAGTACATTAATAGTATTAATGAGTACAAATAATTTGTATGTGTGTGTGATGCAATATTCTAAATATTTTTATTATTTTTACCAGTTTACTAGTTACATAATGATCCTTAACATTTCTTTAATTGTTAGTGAGGTCCTACATTTTTGCATGCAAATGCAATATATCTCCTCAAGCATAAGCTGTCTGGGCTAGTGGATATTTAGCAAATGTTGGTTGGATTAGGTAGCCTGAAACAGAGGTTTCACTGCTGCAGATATTCCTTCTACTAATGCAGCTCACACAATCTCAATGCTTTTTCTGCCCTATTCATTTCTTATCCATATTTTCCACAACTCTTCCCCACAGAATCCACTTCCGAGTCATTGAACCACCTCTAGGGTGAGTTTGGAGGGGCGAGGGGAGGGGAGAGAAGAGGAGAGAAAAAAGAAAGGAAAAAAAAGAAATTTACATGATAATTTTGTTGTATATTTGAAAGGAATAGCAAGTTGCTCAGAGTAGATTTGCAGTTTCATGTGCAATCATCTTTTTTATTGTACTATGTTATGGAAATGCTTGTTTTATTCCATAAATTTAAAAAAATTAAAAAAAGAAAAATGTCCTGATTAACTAACAAAAGCACAAGCTTTCGAGTCAAAGGACATTGGTGTGAATCCTGGCACTGCTAATGTGACCCAAGGCAAATTATTTAAACTTTTTGAGCCTCTTTCTTCATCTATAAAATCTGTGCTTGGAATAGATGATATCTAAGGCCCCTTCCAAATCCTGTGATCCAATGATTTCAACTTGTAGTGTTTATAAATATACAAGCAGACTTTAAAAAGATAATTGTAGTTTATGGGTTGACATCCATTGTAGAGTATGAAAATTGGAGGAATTGCATTAAGAATTTCACAAGATCCTCCAAAACATACCTTGATAGTGATTTCAAATTCACACTGATGCTGAAATATTTGGTTTGCATCATGAAATGAAAGAAGTTCAAAATTTGTAGACTACTTAGAAGCTTCCCAAGAATCACATGAATTCTTTTTTCAAGGGGTATTCTTAAAGCACTTAGTGCAATAGGCAAACATCATTAAAAAAAAAAAAGAAATACCTGTACTTCGATGGATAGGAAATAATTGGTTACAGTTTCATTGGAGAATCACTTCTTTGTGTGCAATTAGTTTACTAACTGCTAAGAATGTAAGTCAAAGTAATACCAAATTAGGAAAAAATTTAAAGATAGGAAGACACTCCACGTAATTACAGCAACTCCAGCCAAGCCTATTTAAATAAACTTTTGATTCTGAAATGAAACTTTATCCCTACTTAATAAAAGTAAAGACATTTATTCAATCGCAATTACTTAGAAGAGTTTAATTATGGTTAAACTGCCCCCCAAACTGACAAAATCGGGAGGCCTCAGGACTCAGAAACTGCCTTTGCCCACAAACATTTAACCTCTTTGCTAAGCAAGTCAGTCAACAAGCTAGTAATTGTTAGTGACAGGTTTCAAGCCCTTCTTTCCATAACCTTCCTAAATCCAAGTTCAGAACTCTTTCTAAAATACTATACTGCTTCCCAACAGATCATCTCTAGAATGTTCATAGATGAACCTAGGATAACAACAAATAGAAGGGAACAGATCTGTTGTCATTCTTCAAGTAACCTATTGTCATTGTTAATGAGAATGAAATTGCTACAACTAGATTCTACCAACTCAGTGCTGAATACGTCATTTAAGATGAGATCGGTCAGATATAACTGCTCTTCCCCAACACACGTTAAAAAAAAAAATCTGTTCCTAAGGCAATAAGGCACTCAGGGATCTATTTTAAAGAAATCTCAAACAGAAAAAGATGGAAACATTATGAGAAAGATCATAGATGGTACTATTACAAAAGGTCAGATAAGAAGACTAACCTAAATAACTTCTTTCTCATCTCAAGAAAATGAGAATGATCTATGTATGTAAAAAGGGGGTCTCTTATGAAAACATGAGGATGCAACAGGTAGATTTGTACAGATGATTTTTTTGGCAGCTGATTACATTTTTAAGGTCACATAATTGAAAAGTATAGAAAATCTAAGAACCTACTGTGTTTATTATTTATCAATTTAAAAAAAATCAAAATATTTGTATCAATACAAAGTCCAGAAAGTTTCCAAGTTTCCTCTCTTCAGACAAAGTTTATGTGCGTGAGACACACACACTTTTCAAATATACATATATGTATATAGACATATACACACATACGTGTGTACATATACATATACACACATATAAACACACAATTACATATAAATTATATAACAAACTCTACAACAAATGCAACTATGGAGGTAACATTGTTTACTGATCTAAAAGAGTTTTCATATCAAGAAGTATAAAAAAGAGAGAGAGATTCATCTACTTTGTTCTACTTTGTCATGAAAGATGTCCTGTTTGCAGACTAAGCAAAAGACAAGTTTTTCTATGGAGCTTGACCTTTTCTATATGATCTTATTCATAGATGACTCAGAAGTACACCAAAACATTACAAAGCCTCTTTAATCCTGAGCAACACAAAAGCAATTTTGTAATTATCCACACATGAAGTATAAAGTGGATGAAAATACATTGTACAGATTATGACAGTCAGAGGTATAGAGAATCTACCAAATTGGTCCTGCAATACATAAAGTTTAAACTGTTACTAGGGATGGACAGTGAACCCTGGAAGTGGTTGGGGAAAAAAATCAGAGGATCATAGATTTGCAAGAAGATAGGACCTCAGCAGTCATCTCATCCAATCTTCTCATTATATAAAGAAATTGAGGCCTAGGGAAGTTATGTGATTTGTCCACAAAGGTAATAATAATCATAGCTGGGACTTGATCTCAGGTCCTCTGATTTCAGAGCTAATATTTTTTTCACTGAACCACACCACATAAGGATAGACCAGATTAAATTTGGTCAATCACTCAGTCCTTTCAATTTTCCCAAATTGTCATTGCAAAATCCTATCTTTTTTAAACACCAATATTGTCCTAATGATGCTATGTGGATGTAATCAAAAGGTGAATGAAGATTACAAATGACCCAAAGAGTACTGGAATGATTCATGGTATGGAGTAAATGCTTCAGGATCTGACCAAAATTGATTTGTCTCTGAGAAGTTACATAAAAGATACTATGGAAGACATGGAATACCAGAAAAGTAACTGTACTGATTATATAGTAGGAATGACAATCACTGACGGACCTGAGTGGTGCACTGGTACCTCTGAGATATTAAAAGATGAAGAGGAAGGCCTCCACCATCTTTGATGGAATTTCTACGAGGTATGAAAAAAAAAAAATGACAGGGACAATAGTTGATCAGTGTAAGAAAGCATGGAACTAATACTATCCTCATCAATGGGAGCAGGAAACATTCATCAAATTACGATATGTTGAAGTATCAAAGTAATTATTTTCTATATTGTGCTTTCTAGTTATGCTATATTACTTCTGGCTCTATTTGTTCTATCATATCTGGATGTTTGTTGTTGTTTAGTCCATTGGCTGACCCACTTGAGTTAAAATTGTTTTTTTTTTATTTGCTAATAACAGAAAGGAAGGAAAATTTACTAAACATTAACAACTTATTCTCATCAGTCCTCTCAAAGTACCTACTGTTAATGATCTCCCACAATTTCTACTATTGAAGTCCAGGTGGTGTTTTTAGTTATCTAGTAGTTCTTCCAGGACATTTATTTGCCCAATTAACATCCTGCTTCATTCATCAAAGGTTCTTGTTAATGTTCTGAAAGCAATATGTGATTAGGGGCACAAAGTAAGTTTTCCCTCTTACCTTATCCTTAAATGAAATCCATTCCCCAGAACACTGGACTTTAGAAGCTGACTGTGGAGTATATTTCTCTAATGAAGATATGATATTTTTTTCGCATATGAAAGGAAGCTTGATTCTGCAGTGTGATGGCTTGTTTAAGTCTAAGAAATAAGAGGTAAGCTTGCAGCTGCATTCATTTCCCATTCAGTACATTAAAAAAAATCAGTAGGAAAAGACTTGTCTTATTTAATTCATTCCTGTCTCAATGGATGGTTATATACCTGTACTTTTCTATTGATTCTTACCTTTCTCTGCTGTTACCTGTATATCACTAGATTATCACATCACTATTTGTTTAGAGATACCCCATCAATACAATTGGTAGTGGGGGTGGAGTGGAGAAAAATGGAGGTTTATTTTGGACCCGTTGGCTGATTTTATTTGTAATTCTGGCCATTAAGGCAGTTATGAAAATAACTGACATTTTATTTCCAAATGACCACTTTAGAATAGCAAAGCAAGCCAAAATGTTGACAGAGCAAAAAACTACTTTCAGTGGTAGCTTAAACTATGGAATCTCATGTCATCATGTATAAGTTACATAACTGATACAGGATATAAACTTGAGTGATTCATAATGAAGCTACTAATTAGAACTTATTCAGTTTATCACTGTATACCAAACATTCAAGGATTCAGAATCAACTTTACCTCTAAACCAATTCTTGGAAGAGACGGACCAGCACTCCTTTTCATATATCATAGGAAAACGATGCCACATGTGAAAGCTTAAAGAAAAAGGCAGATAGATCACCCATTTCCCCATGGAACTTTTGCCTAAAACATCCACTGTTTTCTACTATCACTGATTATAATTGTAAATTCAATACATTAGTGATAAAATTACATATGAGCTTCTTCTTTGAAGACAACATGTTGGAAAGAAGTCTTGGGCCATCTTGGACCAATAAGGTTTTTTGGGTTTTTTTGGGGGGGTGGTTGAGGGAAAGAAATGTATAGTCACCCAGAAATTAATTTATTTAGTAACATTTTATTTTTAAATGCTCAAAATTATCATATCAAAACTAGCCAACACCAGTCTTCTTAAAAGGATAGTTTTTTTTCAATGTAATATATTGTGTTACATACCTTATATCATGATAACTTCTTAGGTTATTGAGACTTTTAATCCACCACTTTTGTTGGTCATTAGATAGCTAAAAAATAAAAAAAGGAATATATGGGTTGCTATATGATTGTATCAGAATGCTAACCTATGGATATCTAGTTACTAACAGTTGTAAAGTTACAACATAGGAGTAATCAGAAATGGTCATGAGAATAACAGAATTTTTGAATGCTGAAGCTGTGAAGTTGCCTATGCTGCACAATTAATTCCCGTTTCATGACAGCTCAATCCATGGGGCTTTGCACATGAATACAAGGTGAAAAATGTTTGTTGAATTGAATTCCTAAATGAGTTTTCTCGCAGTGAAAAAAAAACAAAACCCTAAAACCCTAGAAACAAAGAATTATCCTTTGACCTATTCTTTACTTATTCTTTAATATTAGTGTTTCTCTCAGATGATTATGTATTGCATTGAAAAGAGTAAATTTCATAGTAATATTTAGAGCTAATAAAATTATTATGTCTTTTAAGGAAATGGAGGTTTTAATTTTTCTAGGATATGGAAATGCTGTCTTTACGATAACCTATGAATTTAATGTAGTCTACAAAAATTCATTAGAAATTCTGTTTCCTCAAGACTTTACCCAATATTTAATTATTTAAAGACAAGAAAAAATCTGAATACAGATCCCCAGTGTGACAAACTGAAGGATAGAGTTTGGACAGTATTTTGAAAAAACATAAGTAAAAAAATCAATCCGGTTAGTAACTGCTAATTGCCTGACATTTTACAATAATATTCATCATTGCCCCTTAGTTCTAAGTCTTTGGCTTAATTTCTAATCTGAAACCTAGGTAACATCTTGATAAAGTAGTTAAATTTAGTCAGTTTGCCTAAATTTATCATAAAAGCTATTTCTTAAAATTGGTTTTTAATATAAAAATAATGATTTCAGTTTGGAGCAGAAAAAAAAATTTTTTTTAGCACTATAATACTACATAAAAATAAAAAGTAGCCTAGAGGCACTACTGATATTTGGTAGTGCTCATTTGCTTAATTATCATTCATTATACTGTCTATTCACACTTAAGCAATCATGAGTCTGGATAAGTACTGAGCAATGCTATCTGACCCTTCTTGAATTTGATTTTGGGGGTCTCACAAATTAGTTGATATTGGAATAAAAGTTCATGGAACAATAGATTTTGAAAGTTTTAGGGGAACTTGAAGTTAAAGAAACTATCCCTTAACATTTACAGGTTATATCTGGCAGGTAGGTGAGATAGTATACTCTGGACCTAGAGTCAGGAAGACCAATGTTGAAATTTGCCCTTAGACACTCAATAGAGGTGTGACCCTGGGCAAGTCACTTAATCACTGTCTACCTCAGTTTCTTCATCAGTAAAATGAAGATAATCAGAGTATCTACCTCACCAAATTGCTGTGAAGATCAAATGAGATAATATTTGTAAAGTGCTTAGCACAGTACCTGGTTTGCAGTATGTGCTTTATAAATGTTATCGATTATTATTATATTTAACATAAGAAAAATACATATGCTATGTATTCTTACATTTGCAATTTTGTCTCGGATGGCATTTAGTGCTGTGAGAGACTTCAGAGAAGCAAGAGAGCTTTGATTACTTGCACAATATAGGACTGCTTCATCATAGTTCAAGTGAGTATTGGGAACAAACCAATATTCACTGCCTTCAATAACAACTGGAGGTCCATGAATTCCAGCCCGATCTAAAAGTAATGGGGAAAAAAAGTCATTAATGGATGAATAAAAAAAAAAATTAAGGAATCTACACATCTGAGGAGATTATAGAATCCTGGGAAATCCTGCGATAAAGAGCTAGAAGGCATCTTAGAAATCTATTTGTACCCTCTTCATTTTATAAAAGTGAAACAGGTTTAGAGAGGTCAAATGACTTGCCCAAGGTCACGGAGCTCACAGAGCAGAAATGTGGCTGAGAAAGGGCTAATATAGCTATGGCTGGACTTGGCATAATAATATTTTATCTGTAAGGCAAAAATACTTTACATTATATTTTACAATGTTTTTAAAAAAAAAAGATATTTTATTTGTAAGGTATAAAAGCATGGCATACTTCCTCAACTTACCAGGGTTGAACCACTCTGGTGTCTTCGGAGTATATCCTATACAAGAAAGAAAACCTCTTTTAGTATGTTTGTGATCACATATCATAACTAGGGTCTTAAAAGTATGTCAAAAAGGATTCCTGAGATTATTCCACATCTGGTTAAACCCCTTCATTTGGCTTAATGGCCTAATATGACCTAGGACAGGGGTCATATTAGGACTCAAGGCATTTGTTCTGTGAAGTTTGGATTCAGTCAAAGGGCCTCACTTGAGGACCGAGAGGCCTACATGTGGCTTGGAGGCCATAGGTTCCCCATCTCTGACCTAGGATTTTAATCTTTTTAGTGAATTAAGAATGGCCTAGTTTATCTGGAACATGGACTGAAGGAAGGGTAGCATCAAGAGAGAAAGTGTGAAAGGCAGATTGATACCACGATGTGGAGGACCTAGAGTTTTAGGACCAAGAATTGATCATCTATGAGAGGCAACAAGGAGCAATGAAAGCTTCTGTATTGGTCGTACTAAATTTGAGATGTCTCTGGGACACACAATTGGAAATGTCTAATAGGCAGTTGGTGAAGTAGTGCTAAGGCTCAGAGGAAAGACTGGGTATGGACCGAGAGGGCTTGGAACGATCTGCACAGAGGTGACAAAACACACGGGAGCTGATAAGGTCTCAGAGTGTAGAGATGCCAGTTCAGCTGATAGGGACCTCACCCAAAGTTAAAGGTATGTGTAATTCATATAGGTTGGCTCAAAATAGTTCTCAATTTGTTTTGGTTTGTTTTAAAACAGAAGGCAATCTATTGTTTTCATTTCACTTGATGGCATTCTGATTACTAGAGTACTCATGATTTGACCACGTGCACACGTAAATATGGATGTCTTATCTCTCTGTCTGTCATATTTATCCCATTCACCTTCTCTCCCTTACTGTGCAATGTGAGTTACTGTGACAAGTTACTAAAGCTAAGGTCTTCACACAAGGAAGTTATCTAACTGAACTAACGTCCATTTGAATAATTATTGAATATTTATTAGAGTTATAATTTCCCCAAAGTGACCTAAGTGTAGTTTAATTCTGTGTATTTAATAAATTGGTATTTCTATAGTATTTTCAAATAAGAACCTGTGAGTATGTGAGTGACCAAGTGAAATATGCCAAGATGCTTTACTGACCAAGGTAGAAGATCTCAGGATTACAAGACTTAAAAAATGAGACCTGTGAATTCATTCCATTAGGAGCACACACTGAGGAACTTTCTCTGCCAGTGAAGATAAGTACATATCCTGCAACTTATAGTCAATAAGAGGTTAAATTACTTGCTCTAGGTCACATAGCCAATATGTTAGCGCCATGACACATACCCAGGTTTTCCTGACTCCAAGGCCAGTTCTCTATCCACTACACCATGCTCTTTCTCTTTATAGGACTCTTAAAATGTGACTTGTTGCCTACCAACTTCAAACTACTTTGACTAGCATTCAAAACCCACCACAACCTGGTGCTATGATGTTTCTACACTTATCTCATTCCATTTTCTTGTATTAAAAATAAATTTTTATCAAGATGTCTTTTTAACATCACCATAGATCCCCTTCCTCTCATCTCTGCTTCCTCCTATGCCAAAGAACCATCCTAAATAACAGTGTATTTTTTAAAGACAAAAAGAGAAAAAAAAAACATTATAATTGATTAATACATCAAAAAAGTCTAAAAAAAATGTGCAATGTATGATTCTTGTGAACCTCTTACCTCTGCCAAGGGGTGAGATGGGAGTGTCTTCTCATCTTTTTTTTTCAAGCCATGCTTATTCTTTATAATATTGTAACATTCATATTTGATATTTTTGGTGGATGTTCTTTCTGCATATATTGTTTTATTGAATACATTGTTTTGTTGGCTCTACTTACTTCTCTTTGCATTATTTCATGTAGAACTTCATGCTTCTTTATATTAATCACATTTGTAATTTCTTTTTTTTTTAATTTTTTTTGGGGGGTGAGGTTTTTGGGGTCAAGTGACTTGCCTAGAGTCATACAGCCAGTGAGTGTCATGTGTCTGAGGCTGGACCCGAAGTCGGGTCCTCTTGACTCTAGGGCCGGCACTCTATCCACTGTGCCACCTAGCTGCCTCCCCACACATTTGTAATTTCTTACAGAGCACTAATATTCCGTTGTGTTCACATATCACAATTTGTTTAGTCATTCCCCAATTTATGGGCATCTACTGTATTTTTAATTCTTTGCTATCACAAAAAAAGTTGCTGTAAGTATTTGATGTATTTTTTTTTTTTTTGCTCTTATCAATGGCCTCGTAGGGTGTTTAAATACTATCAATGGAATCTCTTGGTCAAAGGATATGGGCATTTTAGTGAATTAGTATAATCGATACAACTGTTTAGTTATTTCCATAACTCTAAATTGCTCTCCAAAATAGTTGTACTGATTCACAGTTCCACCAACAATGCAACATTGTGCCTATCTTCCTATAACTACTCCAATAGGGACTATTATCGTCTTTTATCATCTTTGACAATTTGCAAGGAATGAGGTGAAATCTCGGGTGGATAGAAATCTACTGTGAATCAGAACTAGGAGGTTCCCTTCTGTCTCCCCATCTATCCCTCCCCCCCTTTAATAGTTCCTCTATAGCTAGTTCTTTTTCTTTTTATGAGATTGGATTAAGATCTCTATTTGATCCTGTGTTGTTTGTATAGTTTATATTTTTGAAGGCATACCTCTATTTCTGCCATTCTCATTTTTGTTAGCATATAACTGCATGAAGTAGGTTCTGATAAATTATTTTTATTTCCTTTGGTTTTGTTGTGATTTCTCTTCGTTCATTTACTATTTTGTTGATTTGATCTTTTGCTCTCAAAAAAAAAATCAGACTAGCTAAAGATTTACCAATTTTATCAGTCTCTTCAAGAAATGACTTTTGTTTTATTTATAATTTCTATAGTTGTTTGGTTTCCAGTTTATTTCCTCTCTATTTTTTATTGTCTCTTCTTTATTTTATGTTTGCTTTTTAGTTTTTTAAAACAAATATTCAGTTCATTAATGCTCTCTTTTTCTGTTTTGTTAACATGTTTGTAGGGATATAGTTTTTCCTCTGAGGACTATTTTAGATGCATCTCAAATTTTGATATGTTATTTCATCATTATAATTTTCACTCACAAAATTATCAGTCCTCTGATTTGTCCTTTGACCCTTCCAACTATATTTTCATACACTCTACACTTCATTCAAATTGGACCACTCTCTATTCCCTGATCATGCCCAGTGCTTTCCTGCCTTGGCGCCTTTGCTAGTGCTGTTCCCTTTTGTTGGAATGTCCCCTCTTTGTCTTCTTTGATTGTTGAATTCCCACGCATTTTTAAAAACACAATTGAAATGCTACTTCCTCCATGAAACCTTGTCTGAGCTCCCCTTTTAGCCAAGATCATCCCTATTCAGTGCTCAGTTTTCCATCTTCCAACTTCATTGTGTATTGCAACTATCAGGTATGGACCATATTCCTTTACCAGACTGTAATGACAATACTTTATCTAACTGCTCATTCCCGCTTAGCACAGTGTTCTCTGAACATGGTAAGACTTAATACATTTTTGCTGAATTGTATTAAAGAATCACAGCCTATGCATGGAGGTTCGGTAACAGGACGCTGCTGTTTGGGGAACTTGTTCTGTGGGGTTAGACTCCCAAGCTTGAAGATGATTTTCAGAATGTCCCTAGTTCTTGACTTCAGAGTCTATGCTGATAATGTTATCATGAACATAAACCAGCACTTACTATGTAAACCCTCACTTTATAGTGCTGGGACTGTGTCTCAAGGCTCTTATGTTGTTAGACTTTCTGTAGGGGAAAAATCCCAAACTAGAAAATATCACAGGATACAACTAGAGAAACTCAAAAGGGAAAAACATGCAACCAGGAACTCACAAGGAATAATAAAAATTAAAAAAAAAAACCCACAAACTCTATGCCTCCCCCCCGCCTTCATATGAAACATTCTTCTATCTAATCTTTTATCTAATTTTATCTAATCTTTTAACCAATAAAGAGGCAACCAAACACTATACAGACCTCTCGCTCAAGAATATTTCCTACTCAAACTTTACCTGATTGCTAATATATAGAATCTATATTTGACATATTTTTAAAAGCTTATTCATATTGTAAACCTTGAAAAGATTTTATTTTTTTTTTCTTATCCTGCTGAATTTCTGTTCCTGCTTCATGGCTTTATGGTCTTCCAAGTAGCCTATGAATTATAAGATTCCCTCATTCTGCCCCATTTTTCTTATCTTTATTCATTTTGTTTAGGGAAAAAAACATATATTCCAACTCCTTTATCCCATTTTACTTTCCAGTGAGAAGAGTCTTCCATTACAAATTAGAATCTGTCTAAACTCACTTTAATCCAATCAATTAAACATATTTATGAAGTATCTGCCACGTGCCAGTTACTGTGCTAGGCACTGGTACTCTCAGAGAATTCACATTGCACTGAGAGGGGTGTGGAGGTGGAAATTCAGCATGATATAAAGATAAGTATAACACAGATTAAGGATCAAAGGAGTCAAAGGAATTATCACATAAAATGAAATAGGAATATTTGAGGAAGAAGGATGAGACCAGGTAAAAAACAAAACAAAACAAAATAACGATTCTAAAAAGTGAAATTGAAGAGGGAGTGTATTCTAGCCATGGGGGAATGGCTTGTGCAAACGCACAGAGGTGAGAGATGACACATTTGTTTCTTAGAAAAGTAGTCATCTAGATTAGTTGGAAGTTGTAAAAAGAAACAATGTGAAATTAGACTGGGAAGAGGTATAATGAAGCCGTATGTAAGGAGTCTTAAATGCCAGATGAGGCAATGGAGATTCACTGAATATTTTTAAGCAGGGTATGTGTATGGTGTGAGTTGGGGAACATTATCACACCTGTGCCTTATGGTAAATGTATACCGTGGAAGAGAAATATATTTGGCAAAGATCAATTAGTAAGCTATTACAGTAGTCCACAAAAGTGGTGTTGAGGACCTAAACTCGTGGTGGCAAGGGGAGTGAAGAGAAAAAAATGAAAGTAAGAGGTGCTTTAGAGAAAGAATTGACAGAACATGGCAACTAATAATGTGTTAGTAGAAAGGGAGAGGGAAAGAATTGGTGATGATTTCAAGGTTTTGTGCTTGGGTGATGCTGATAGGACATCTAGGTGGATCTCAGACCAGGAGCTCACAGGAGATCAGAGCTGGATTAGATTTGGGAGTCATTTGTATAGAAGTGATATTTGAACAAATGGAAATAGAGTTGGAAAGAAAGCAGTGAGAGGAAAGAGGTCTTAAAAAAAGAGCCTGGGGCTAGACCTGTATTCAGAAGATCAGAGGAAAATAACGACCCATCAACTGCAGAACAAGGAGGAGGAGAACCAGTGGAAAACAATATTGGGAAGCCAAGGAAGAAGAGAATATCCAAGGATATTCAAGAAAGTGGGTAGATTTGTCAAATTTTTCAGAAATGTCAAGAAGGATAAGAACTAAGAGAAAAGGCCATTTAGCAATTAAGAAGTCAACAATGACCTCTGAGAGAGCAGTTAAGGAAAGTGGTGTGGATGGACTACATAGAAGTTTCTTTTCCCTATAAATCAAAATGCCAACCCTTGTTGAGAAATTAAAAAAAAAAACCCACACACTTTTTATCTGCACCTCTAGTCTTTGTCTTTTAACCTAAAAACAGGCTACATATGTTTTCCTGGTTCTCTACAGCATGCACAATGTGAAGACCAAAGGCTTAGTAAATCAATACCACAAAAACTTACCTTTTGGTATCTGGCATGCCCATTCAAGTTTTATATCACAAGCAAAAGGTCTTAAGTAAATAATCAAGTCCCCGTTTTCATACAAATACCAACGTCTTCTCCACTGCATTTGGCTGACCTATAAAGAAGGGAAGTAATCACAAAATGCATTAACATGTCCAACAGACATTTCATTTTATTTAGTATTTGCTCAAAATATGTTCATACAATATGCATGGTTACCATCACCTATATGATCCAGTGGTCATTTCTGTTTGAGATCCTAGTCATAAAAGACATTTTATCTTTTCCTGTGATACAAAGTGAGAGGCTGATAAAAACAGGACTGCTCTACACAGATAATTACAACATCTAGCTTTTTTTTTCTTTTCCTTTTTTTTTTTTGCTAGGCAATGGGGTTAAGTGACTTGCCCAGGGTCACACAGCTAGTAAGTGTCAAGTGTCTGAGGCCAGATTTGAACTCAGGTCCTCCTGACTCCAGGGTCAGTGCTCTATCCACTGTGCCATCTAGCTGCCCCCCACCCCCAACATCTAGTTTTAAATAAAAAGAGCCTAATAATGACCATGTCATAATATTTTTTCTCAGGCCTTAGCCTCCTTGACCTCCCTGTTGCAATGGATGTTGTTGAGGAGGCAGCATGATACACTGGGAGGAATGCTGGGTTTGGAGCCAAAGGATCTCATGTTCAAAGGCTAGTTCTGTCGCTTATTACTTGTGTAACCATGGGGAGTCATTTAATTTCTCTGGGCCTGAGTTTTCTCATCTGTAAAGTTCGTGGGTTGGACTAGTTGACCTCTGTGGTTTTTTTTCCACCTCTAAATCTATGATTCCATGACTGCCTCGTTTTTCTTGACTCTCTTTCCTCCTTCTGTTTCTGATATATTACATTCTTCTAGATTTCCCCCTATCTTGATCATTCTCTTTAGAGTTCTTCTTCCTCCTGCTATTCCTAATGGCCCCATCATTCTCCCAGTCATCTGGCCTCCACCTTAGGCCTCTTTACCTTTTCCTTCTTTCTTGTTCACCATCTTCCATCAATCATCAGGTCCTGCTGATCCCTTCTTTGCAAAGTCCATACCCATCCTTCTCTTTCTGTCACCACTATCGCTATTCTATTTGAGGTCTTCATCACCTCATGCCTAGACTACTGAAATGGCCATTCAACTGGCCTCCCTAACTCCTGGATCTCCTGACCCTGCAAATCGAAAACAGATTGAGCTCTCTAAAATTACCATTTTGATTTTTAAAAAAAAAAACTCTTTGGCACACAAACTTTCTGGACCTCTATTGCTTAAAGGACAAAGTTCAACCCTTATCCTGAGATTTAAGGGTATACATAACCTAAACTTGGCCTCCCTTTCCAAACATCTTCTGGTACTACTCTGTGGGATCCCTTTGATCAGCCAAGTTGGTCTACTCCCATCTCCTGTTGAATATAGATTATATTTTCCTGTCTTTGAACTTCTGTTTATGTCATTTGTCATGACTGGAATACCTTCCCTTGTATTCTCTACCTATCAAAATCCCTTTCATCTTACAAGGTCAATTTCAAGGGCCATCTGTTTTATGAAGACTTCCATATGGAGTATCCTCTCTTAGCTCCTACAGCATTTACTGTCTGTACCACTTACCTGGCCACTTTCTTATTGTGTTACACAGATAATTATCTTTTTACATATATGCATCTTTTCTTATAAACATATGTTTATGTATATATATGTATCTTTTCTTATAAATTTGATTATAAGTTAAATGTGGACTTAGACTGTCTTTTAAAAACTTCTCAGATGTCTTGACATAGGGTCCTTTCACATAGCAGACACTCACTAAATATTTTTAACTGAAAACAACCACCATATTTTTAGTAAGTATCCCATGGTATGCCATCATTCAACTTACCTTGAAAGCAGCACAATCTCTGATGTCATAATCTTCCTGAAACTCATTTGATATGACCACAGTAGATACCTGTAGAAGAAAGAGAACTCTGAGAATTATAAGTTTATCTGATAAAGATTTGCAGTTCAGAAGAGTAGTTAGTACATGGGGTTCCAGATAGGGTATATTCCCAGAATTTGGGATCAAGGTCAGAGGGCATAGTCTATAAAGCAGAAATTAGTAAAATCAACTGGCTGCAAATGTAAGCCAATTGCAAAGATCATTTATTAATGGGTTTCGGATAAGTTGATAAGTATCTCTCAAGTCTGCAAAGAGAGCAGAGTGTCTCCTCCCCAAATGTCCATGAAGAAAACTGAAGTAATACTATATACATTTCTATACTTCTTAACAGCCATAGAAAGCTTTACAAATATCATAGGATCACGGATTTCGTGCTGGAAAGGAAATCATGGACTTCTAGACCAAGTCCTTTCCTTTATAGATAAGGAAATTGAGGACCAGGAGGTTAAGTGATTTGCCCAAAGTCACACAGGTAGTTAAGTGGCAGAACCTAGGATTTGAACAGAGATCCTCTTTCTTCAACTCTTCTTCCCACTGTACCATGCTTGCAATATCTATATAAGGCAATATACGTATCATTTTCCCCATGTTATAGATAATTATTACTTTGAACTTAAAGGGAAAACTCATACCTTGATCACTGAAGCAAGTGTTTAAGTGGCTTCTGCAAGATCACAGAGCCAGTAAATTTTGCAGCCAAGACTTAAACTCAGATCTTCTGATGTCAAATCCAATACTTTTTTCTAGTAAGCTAAGTTATTAAAATGTAAGTAATAGGATATATTATGATGTAACAAATTACAACATGTCACAGGTAACTGTGTTGTAAACAAAGAGTGGTGATTTGCATGGACACTAGTAAAAGGAGAACCAGAAAGCAAGAAATCATCTGTGTATGTTCAGCATGGGAGAGGGAGAGGGAAAGAAGAAGAGAGGGAGGGAGGGAGTCTCAGTTTCATCATCTGTAAAACTAATCATAGCAATAATACTAGCTAGCATTTATATAACATTTTAAGGTTTGCAAAACACTTTACAAATATTATCTCCTCGGATCCTCATAGCAATCCTATGAGGTGAGTGCTATTATTATCCCCATTTTATAGATAAGAAAACTGAATGCCTATTCTACTAACCTCACAGGGCAGTTGCACTGAATCACATGAGAATTTTTTTTAAAGGGCTTTGCAAACTCTAAAAGGGATAGCAAATGGGGCTGGGATTCCATTATTACAGGGAATTCTTTAGAAGGAAACTCCTTCTACCAATATAAGTCAGCACCTTCTCTCCAACTTGGAGTCCTGAGACTCTGAGAGCTACCCAGAACACTGAGAGGCTAATTAACTTGACCAAGGCCACACAGGTAGTATGTCTCAGAGGCAAGACTTGAACTCTGGTCTTCCTGGTTCTAAGGAACCTTAAATGATAGTCTCACCTCAAACTATAAAACATGTACAAATATGAAATATTTATTATTATAAATCAGACTCATCAACACTATGGGGATCATAAAGATTCTTTGAGGCTGATATGGATGAATTACCTTACTATAATTAAATTACTCCATTAAAACAAGTTCCTCCTCCAAAATGCAAACTAACCCTCAAATTACCTCACCAAATGTAGTTTTCCAAAGAAATCTAAATGGACAAAAAGAAAGGTGGAAGATTAACTCACCGGTGTACTGTCACTCCATTGCCATGATCCTTGAGAATCTGGACTCCTTTTATTTAATCCTACCCATATCCAACGCTGGTCACTATGCAAGTAGAAGGGGAGAAGGGTTAGGGGAAAGAGTGGGGAAAATTTGATTAACATCATATTTTCCAAAGTATTTAAGGAGGCACTGTCTGAAGAGTAAGCAGAATTCAACTTGAGTATTGCATTTGTTTATTGTTTAACAACAAAATTTTGTGTAAGGCACTAACGTTAGGCACTGTGGTTATATAGGGTGTCCCCAAAGTCTTACAACGTTTTAAATTTTAATAGTAATAAGCTATAATGTCATTAGTAGCTTTAAACTACATCAACACTTTTGGAACATCCTACATAACATGACCCACCCCTTATATGAGTTTACAATCTAGTTGGGAAGACAAGACATAAAGAGATAACAAAGACAGTATGCATTGTGTGATAAGTTAATGGTATGATACAGGTGTTAAGAGTCCAAAAGAAGAGATTGCTATGGGCTACAGTAGTCTGAGGAGACTTCACAGAGGAGGAGGTTGACCTTGAGTTCATTTTTGAAGGACAAAGAGCATTCAGAAAGGAGGGACAAATGGGCATTCAAACAAGAGGAAATCATAGATGCAAAAGTAATTACAATATTAGACAGAATTTTGTCTATTGGAGTCTTACTGGACAGAGATCAACCCCTGAAATGTATTAGAGGATATAAGGCCATAGAAGTGCCTCAGTCACCTAGCATAATCAAAGGATGGCATGTTTGTGGGCAAATTATTTTCTATTTGATTGAAGATTTAATTAAATTCAAATCAACAATCATTTATTAAGCCCTTACTAAGCTAGGAACTATGGTAGTAGGCACTGGGAATACAAAGACAAAATGAAACAGTCCCTGACTTCAAGGAGGTTGCAGTTTATTGGTGCAAACCAACTTGAACATGATTTAACCTTCTGATGACTACCATAATGACCAGTTATTATACTGCACAAGAGTTTGATGTGGGTTGCTGGCCTGAATCTCTATTGCTCCTGGGTTACAGGCAGAAGGTGGAAGGCACATCTGCAATGCTTCCTGAGCAATAGAATATGCTCTCCTTTCTCACAATTAATTACTGAATAAAACGGCTTGGACAAACTTCTCTTACATTGGTTTTTTAGCCTTAACAATATAAAAATCTTAATTTTAATAACAAAAAATCATATTGCTTAAGCATTCGAAACAATTTGATCCACTTTGATGACAAAATTATTATGTACCTCACTTATCATGTGAACTTTTTCCTTTGGAAAGTGGGAAATTGACCATCTCATCTGGATTGCCACTGTGTCCATCCTCTTTCATGGGAAAATATGCCTAACCTATAATCTTTTAAGATGTTGCCAGTTTGAATCATTAAGACCAGGTGGAATTTTTACCACTAAAAGCAATAAAAAAAAAGATGGTATCATGTTTTTTGATGCTATGACAGATGTCAAGCTAGAGAAAGTTTGTGGTATATTAGTTGCTTGAGAATGGCAATGCATTTCAGGAAGATGCTGGAAATGAAAATTTAAGTTCTACAAGCCAAATTATTTAGTCCTTTTTCACAGTCAATAGGAAGTGCCTTTGGAGGGTTTATTTATTTTTTAAATTAGGGGAATGAGTTATATTTAGGTTTATTAAATTTCAAATGGGATAAAATTAAGACAAACATCAAGTAATAAACTACTGATAATTAATCTTTTAGATAGTTTTTAGACTTGTCTCCTCAAAATGCACATCCCTAAGATGTTTGACATCTTTTCTCTTACATAAAATGGTCCCACCTCATTTACCCAACCTTGTTTCCTGTTCTTTTAAACACCAAATTTCAATTCTCACTGGGTAGTTGCCTCACTTTCCCCTTAACATGACTTGACATGGCCAATCTAGACTTTATCTCTTTATTCCTGCTTCTCCACTCAGCCTTGAATGCCCTCTTTCTATCTATTTACCTTTCTAAATACTAAGCCTCTTTCAAGGCGCAGCTCAAGTACTGCTAAATCCTCCTCTGACTTTTCCATTCTGCCATGATCTCTTCCTTATCAGTACTCCTGTAGCACTTGTTTTTTCCATCTTGCTTTCTAATACAATTAACTACTGCTGTGGATCACAAGAATCATAAAATATTAGCCCTAAAGGCTACTTAAAATGTATTATTTCCCCGCCCTCCCTCACCCCCAAAATAGATGAGGAAATTGAGGCCATCTCTGGGTTTAATTTACTTATCTCCCATAACCATGGATAACAAAATCAGCTGTACAGTAATAAGTTTATTACTAAAAAAGAAAGTAACATTCACCAGCATTCTGGTATACAAATTAGCAGAATACCTTTAAAAAAAGACACAACTTTCTTTAGTCAAAGAGACACTTATTTCCATATTCCATATATAGGAAGGCAGTGAGCTGTGGAAAGGCAATGGGCTATATAGTCCATTCAAAAGAGTAAATTTCTTAAAGTCATGAAGCCCTGGGCTTGACTTTGATATATAGGAGCTGTGTAACTACTCACAAATTACTGCCTTGCTCAGTCTGTTTCCTCATCTGAATAATACTTCTACTTCTCATAAGGTTGTTGTGTGGATCAAAAGAAATAATGTATGTGAAGCCTTTTGCAAACCAAAAATTACTCTCTACGTGTCAGCTATTGTAATGTAATCAACAGTAACATTTACAGCCTCCCCCAAATACTACAAATACAAAATGGACATAGCATCGCTATTGAAATATCTCATTTCTGATGACTTAATTTTCTCAACCTTACTTTTCTTCCTTCCCAACTCTATCACCCCCTTTGAGAAAAAATGCTGCCCAAATTCTCCAACCACTCATTTATAAAACCTTTCCCATCTTTTGAGAATGATCTTTATTTTGATTCAAAAAGTTATTATTCCATCTTTCATTCTAATTGACTCAATCTACAAATTTAAATGTTTTGAATGTAGAAAACAATAATAATTCAGTTTCTCATCATGGTCCCTGGTCTTTCCCTGATAAAGGACAATCAAGAGTTTAAGGTTAAAAAAGGAAATACGATGGTTTCCTCCAACCCACATAAACTCAAAATGCCTCTTCTTTACTCTGGGCTTTGGAAGAGATGAAGGAGAAGGGAAGAATATAGGAAAAAGGCAATCTGAAGAGGTTTACTCAAAAATGGGTTGACAGACATTCAAAGAGAAAACATTGTCTTCTTTACTTACCCTTTGTTACTTCAATGGCTTGGTATATAATTTTAGGGTATTTGTGGTCAAGCAGTTATATTATAAACAGGCTAAAACATTCAATAACACCCTTGCTCTCATCCCAAAATGAATTATCTATAGCATCTGATTATTAAGGGAAACTATCTCAGCTATCACCTCCAAAATACAATTTGATGAGGAATTTTTGTCTCAAAAGCCTCAGATTTCTCTCTAAAACTATTTCTGTCACATCATAGAAGGCAGTGGGTACCAGTGTGATATGATTGCAAAACCTGCTTTAATCCTATGAATATTTTTTTCTACAATGACTTTCCCTATCGTGTTTGTCTTTAAGAGTTACAAAGACCATATAATGTTAATAACTCAGTGCATCATGAATCCTTTTTATTGCAATACAAAAAGAGGATTTAAAACTTCCATATACAAAAGTATTATAGTAATCAGACTTAACTCAGCATGCTATGTACAATTTGGGCAATAGAGATCTTGCTGTGTAAAGTTTAACTCCTAGAGTGAAAAGTTAAAGGCTTTCAGGAACTAAGATTTAGAAACATAATTTGATACAAATAGTTTTACCTTTTTTCCTTTTCAAGAGATAATTCCAATTTGGGTTTAATTATTATCTCTTGCTTACCTCCAATTCTGAGAAAAAAATATATCATATCATTTCTTTTTAGGTCATGCTACGTGTCTTATGTATGGATAGATGATGGATACTGCCAGCATGATGTGACATGTTCCATATGGTTGAATTTTCCTGACTACTCATTGTGTTTAACAGATTGGAAACAATGGGATTATAAGCACAGCCAGAGAAGTCCTCTATCACTTAAAAGAAATGTGGGGAGTTGAGAAAAAAGATTCTCATCATTTTTTTTGGTGAAGTAATTGGGGTTAAGTGACCTGCTTAGGGTCACACAGCTAGTGTCATCATTTTCATCACCAGACAAGCAGAGATAATCAACATGATTTTAGATAATCCAACATTTACTTCCACTTCACTTGTTCATGGGTAGATAATTTCTTCACTAGGGTGATTTCTGAGGAATAGCTAACACCCCTCTTGGCTGGTATCCCTGACTCTATCCCAGTAGATGTTAAGAGGTTATGTAAGACCTCAGAGAAGAAACAGACCAATTGCTCTCACATCACATCATCCTCTTGTTTATGATTTTATATTAGTCTTCTATTGTGTCTAGAATTATCCATTTTTTCTTAGTCTAACATTCAGGGTCTTTCATCACTGGACCCCCTCCTTCTCATCCCATCTTCCCTTCCTATCTCCCCACCAAGCCTCCAGCCTTGGTCTTTCTGGTCTTGTCAGATCTGTCTCAACATCCATACGATTTCTTATTTTTACCTCTATGCTTCTGCATATACCATTTCTCCACTGAATTACCCTCCTCATCTTTTATCTCTCTTTGTCTACATATAAACATTTTTACACATGTGTGTATGTGTGTATGTATAGATAGATACAGATACATTTCCCTAATTTTCTTTAAGAGTAATCACCTTCTTGAGAACCTTTCCTTGATTAATTAACTGATTATTCCCTTGCATAATGCCATATCAATCAACCAACAAATATTTATTAACTACCTATTATGTGTCAGTCACTACGTTATACCCTGATGATACAAAAGCAAAAGTGAAATATTCCCTGCCCTCAAGGAGCTCACATTCTATCGGGGAGACAACATGCACATACATTGATACATACATGCTACATGCAAAGCAGCTGAGGTAATTTGTTGGAAGGCACTAGCAGCTGGGGAGGTTATCTAATATTGGATTTTAGATTTTGGTACTTGAGCTAAATCTTGAAGGAAACTAGGGATTCTAAGAGGCAAAAGTGAGAAGGGAGTACATTCAAGGCACTGGAGGCAGCCTGTACAAAGGCTCAGAGAGGGGAGTGTCATGTATGAGAGACGACAAGAAAACCATTTTGGTTGGAACAGAGAATACGTGGGAGTAATGTGAATGAATATAAACTCCTTGGGGGAAGGAACTGTTTCATTCTTTGTTTTTATATCCCCAATGCCCAGAACAGTGCCTAGCAAATAGTAGGGACGTAATAAATTCTTGTTGATGACTGGAAAGGTACATTGTAGCCAGGTTGTAAAGAGTATTAAACGCCCAATGGAGGAATTCCTATTTGATCCGAGAACAGGGACCCACTGGAGCTTGAGTAGGGCCGTGACATGGTATTAATAGCTAATCAAAATAATAGCTAGCATTTATAGAGTGCTTTAAGGTTTGCCAAGTACTTTCCATGTGTTATCGAATTAGATCTTCACAACAACCCTGTGAGGTGTACACTATTATGATTTTTATTTTACAGATGTGAAAAAGGTGAAGGTTCTCAAGGTTACAGAGCTAGTCTCTGACGCAGAAACTGAATTCAGGTCCAAAACACTATCCACTCTACTACCTAGCAGCTCAAGGTCAGAGCTGCCTTTCAGGAATGGAGGATGGAAGGGAGTAGACAGAGACTGGGGACAGGGTGACCAATTAGAACAGTCCTGAAATAGTCCAGGGAAAATATGATGAAAGCCTGAACTAATAAAAAAATAGTGCTTCTAAAACAAAAAAAAATGAAAAAGATTGGGAAAAAGATGTATACTATGAATCAATCAGATAAAAGATCTGTCACCTCGAATCCACAAGGAACTGAGAAAGCTATAACACTTCCCAATGAAGCAAGAGTCAAAGAGCATTTTCAGAGAAGAAAATGAAAACGGTCAATAACTACAATGAAATGTATTTAAATTCCCTAATAACTACTAATAATATGTTATTATAATAAGTATTAATTCTATTAGAATAATTAATAATATTAGAATAATAAATAATAATAATTTCCCTAACAATAAAATGCAAATTAAGACAACTGCAAAAAATGGCAAGATTCACGGATGAAAGGGCATAGGTGGGAAGGGCATCCTAATATATCACTGATGGCAATGGTGGACTGGGTGGACAAATGCTATGGAGAGCAATATACAATGGGTACTAAACTGATCTCAGCACTAAAATTTCAGACAGACTTGGAATAAGACTGAAACCAAACATTTTTTTCCTTCATTATTTGTTAATTTATTTGGTTCCACTTTGTTAAATGCTAAGGGGTATAGTTAAGAATCAGTCCTCATTTTGTATGTTTATTTCACTGTTTGTGTCTGATAGTACTGTCTAAAATCCTTTTATCCTTACCATCTTTCTCTAATAAATTCTATAATTTGGTTAATGAAAATCTCTCTTTTACTAATAGTTATGACAAAGATGTTATTTCTTTATTATTATTATTTTTTAAATAGTTAAATCACTGATCCAATTATAGTTAACTGTGTATCCTAGGCTTTGGGAGATCATATTTCAGTGATTCCATTGCTAAGACGTTATCCTATAAATGTCCCAAGAAAGAAAAAAAAAAGACTTAAGTACTCTATAAAAGCAAAAAACTTAAAACAAACCACACACCCACGGATTGGAGAACTGCTTTCCATTCCCACAGCCCCCATGCCTCAGTAATCTCCAGTAGCTCCCTATTACCTCCAGGATCAAATATAGTCATCTGTTTGGCTTTTAAGAGCCCTTCACAACTGTCTGCCTCCTACCTGTTCAGTCCTACAACTTAATCAAGGGGTGGGGAACCTGCGGCCTTGAGGCCACATGTGGCCCTCTAGGTCCTCAAGCGTGGCCCTTCAATCAAAGGTACACACACACACACACACACACACGTATGTGTGTTCCTTATATGGATAACACATCTCCCCATTCCATGCATTACCACTGGCTGTCTCCATGTTTTGAACCTTCTCCCTTTTCACTTCCTCTTAACTTCCCTGGTACCATGGTACCACCAATTTGTCCATGGTTTGTTTGTCCATGGTACCACCAATTCCCCTCATTCCCCAGGCTCAAAACCTTAAAACTACTTTCTATTCCTCCCCCTCTCCCTTGTTTTCCACATTCCATCAGTCACCAAGGCTTGTTTCTTCTATTTCCTCAATATCTCTTTTACTTGTTCCTTCCTCCTAATTCTCACTGTAAACACCCTTGTTCCAGGACTCCTTATCTCTTTTCTATATTTGTGCAGTAGCCTCACTGGTATCCTCATTTCTAGTTTCTTTCTACTCCATTTCATCCTACACATTGCTGCCAAAAATTACATTCCTAAATTATAGCTCTGATCATAGCACCCTAACTTGCCTTTCCCTCCCATCCATTTCTCCCTATCCAAATTTTATTTCTCCTTCTATCAAGGCTCAACTCAAATGTTACTGCTCTCATAAAGCCATCCCTATCTGTCCCAGTGAACTTCACCTCCACTGAATGCTCACAGCCCTTTTTTATACTCTGCTCAGGATACTTGTTACATTCTGCTACTGTAGTTTTTTGTAGTTACCTACCTTACAGTGAGTGCTCCTATGAGGACAATGCTTTATATTCTAGAATTCGGTGTCACTATTATGATTATCATCATCACTTTTGCTTCTCTTAGCTTGTAATTTCCTTTAGGGCTGGTGCCATATCTCATTCATTTTGTATCTTCTCTAGCTCCTACCACAGTTTTTAAATATAATTTTAAAGTGTACATATATAATATACAATTTTAAATGCTAGCTATTATTATCTATCAGGCACTTAATAAATGCTCTTTGAAAGAATACTCTCCCAGAAGATGAGAACACAAATGCACAAAGGACATCATTATTATATTTACTTGTTATAATCTGCCTTTAAAGTTATTACCTTAGCTGGCTCTTTAGAAAACTAAGAAATTCCTTCATCTCCTCCATTTGGTTAAAACTAGGAAGATGTGCTCCAAGTGCTTCGCAAAATCTTTCAGCCTCTTCCCAAGTTCTTTTTCTTACAACTCTCTCTTTGTGAAACAGCTTAAAAAGTAAAAAAAAAATAAATTTATTCCAATTTTATAGAAATAAAATGATTCACAGAACTTTCAAAGTGGGCCGCACTAAAACATGTGGTCATTTTACTTGTTTCTAAGGTTTCAGGAAAACAAAACAACCAAGAATCTGATAATAAGTACTCCACACTTTAGAGTGAGGAAGCATTTGATTTTCAAAAGGTTTAAAAATGATCACACTGAGCATCTGAGTTATGAGGAGCATACAAGACAGTAGAAGGACAGTGCGACAATGTTATCATACAAACATGAACAATGACAACAGAAAGAGGTTGTTGATATTCTTCAATCATTTTTCAGTCGTGTCCAACTTTCCTTGACCCTGTTTGGGGTTTTCTTTCGTGTGTGTGTGTGTGTGTGTGTTTTGGCAAGGCAATCGGGGTTAGTGACTTGCCCAAGGTCACACAGCTAATGAGTATCATGTGTCTGAGGCCCAATTTGAACTCAGGTCCTCCTGACTCCAGGGCTGGTACTCTATCCACTGCACCACCTAGCTGCCCCTGTTTTGGATTTTCTTGGCAAAGATTTTGGAGGAACTTACTATTTCCTTCTCCAGTTCATTTTACAGATGACGAAACTGAGGCCAACAGGGTTAAGTGACTTGCCAAGGTCACACCTAGTAAGTGTCTAAGGCAGATTTGAACTCAGGAAGACAAATCTTCCTGACTCTGGACTGGGTACTTTATCCACTGTGCCACCTAGCTGCCCAGAGGAAGAAGTAAGTCATGATTTAATAACGTTAAAGGATTAATTTAATTAAGAATGTTGTTTTACCTTATAACAGGAAAGCCCTGTTGGTAAACTGTGCCATCCACTGGGACAGGGATCATCAGGTTTAGGAACTGCTTCCTCATGCTCTGGGGGCCCAATTCTTTTCTTGCAAATAGAAAGGGCTTTGAAGCTTTTACAATCCTTGACCTCCCATTTTCCAAGTGAATTTCCACTTGCAAGAGCTACACATCCACCTGGTGAAGCTACAATTTGACCAGTGAATGAAAAGGTTAGTTTTTGTTTTTTAAAACAAAACAACACGCACAATTTCTAGTGTTTCTATTCTTTCTTTTGAGGGGGAAGAAGAAGGAAAAAGAGAGGGAGAAGGATGAAGGATGAAGTGAAAGGAATAAGGAATTGACTTATACAAGAGGACCAAGAGATCTGTTAACTAGGGCACTTAGATTGGTCCAAGCAGGAGGATTCAGACTTCAAAACAAAATAACACTCAACCATGGGACCTCTGGAGATGTGATCCAAACTATTTTTTTGAGCAAGGTTATTCTGGCAGCCATGTGTAGGAACTACTGGTCAAAATAGGGCAAGTGAAGGCTCAAAATCTGGAGAAGGTAGCAAAGATGAACCATGGTAAATTGGAACTGAGATGTCAAATCTTTTCATTTTAACACTTTATAATTACAACTATTAAATCTAAGGATATAACAGGGCTCCCCAACCACTGAGGATGAGCATATGCTGATTTCCCTCAAGTCCTGAGATCAAGGGGGCTGCTGATGGGAAGTGAAATCTGAGCTAGGGCTCCCCTCCTGTCTAGGACTCAAGGGCTCATGGCGGCGGCAGCAACTTGCTCAGACATCTACTGGTTAAGGCCTGGGAATCTACTTCTAGCTCCCATGGAATGGCTGGGGATCCCTGGAATAGAAATTCCCAGGTCAGACTGATTTTCCAAAATATCACAACATATAAAATAAAAGAAAGAAGAGAACTTAGAGATCACTCAGTCCAACCATTCCTTGTTTTTACATCCTCAGTACCTTGTATAATACCTAGTATACAGTAGGAACTTAATAAATGCTTGCTGATTTTTTATTAAGGAAACTGGGTGACTTTTTCAAGGTCATATAGCTAATAAATGGCAGAGCTTGGGTTTGAACACAGGTTCTTTGGTTTCAGATTTAGAATTATAGTAATTACTGAACACGAGTGGGAGAAGATTCTTGGGATTTGTCTCTAAATCACAATTTCATGGGAACTCATGACTCTCTAGACCTGGACCTAGAAAACTTTCTTAATAGATTTACATAGCACATTAAGGTCTACAGACTATGTTACAAATATTATTTTATTTTCTCTTCACCACAATTGAAGTAGGTGCTATTATTATTCCCATTTTACAGATGAGGAAACTGAGGCAGAAAGACATCTTCCCAGTGTCACAGAGCCAGTTAAACTCCTGGCTTCAGGTCTAGTACTTTATCCACTTCCTTTCCCTACCTCAATCACACCAACCTCACAGGGCTATATATTCCCTCTCCTACCCCAAGAGAAATAGAAAGTTTGGTAATAATAATAGCTAACATTTATATAGCATTTACTGTGTTCCAGGAACTGTGCTAAGTACTTTACAATTATTATCTCATTTGACTCTCACAACAACCTTGGCAAGTAAATGTTATTATGCCCACTTTATAGTTGAGGAAACTGAGGAAAAGAGGGGTTGACTTGCTGAGGGTCATGCTGGTGTCTGAGGCTGGATTTGAACTCTGGTCTTCCTAATTTCAGGTCCCGTGCTTGATCCATTCTACCAAGTAGTGGCTTATTAAGTAGGAACTTTCCAAGTCTACCAGGTAGAGGTCAAACACTGCTAATAGCTTCCATTAAGTCCCAACTACAGTTACTATATCAGACAATAACAAGTGAAATTCACACAATTCAAAGATTAGAGAAAGTAGAATGTTTTGTAATTTAATGCTATGGATCTAACCAATTATAATCATAGTCAGTGCTCAAAATCATCCAGAGATGGACTAGCTCACCTATAGATGAAGTAAAATCCTTCCTATCTTGGTCCTGCCTTTCCACCTTTTATGAACAGTTGTTGTTGAATTGTTTCAGTTGTGTCTGACACTTTGTGACCCCATTTGGAGTTTTCTTGGCAAAGATACTGAACTGCTTTGCCATTTACTTCTCCAGCTCATTTGGCAGATGAAGAACCTGAGGCAAACAGGGTCAAATGACTTGCCCAGAGTCTAACTCTGGATTTGAACTCATGAAGATGAGTCTTCCTGATTCCAAGCCCAGCACTATATCCACTGAGCCACCTAGCTGTCTTCTATGAACAGTAGGGCCCAGCAATTATCTGATACTGGAGAAGGAATTAAGAACATAAGCGGCAATTGAGTAATGAAAACAGGTGTGCTATTTCACAGCAGCATTTCTGGATTTTGGCTGAAGTAATAAAAGAGATGTGAAAATCAGCTCTAGTTATTAAGAGTCATGTCATTAAGTGATAGTCTATATGAGAAGGGTTGATAGTCTCAACTGCTCCACTGCAAAGCAGATTTTGTATCATATAGCAATCAATCAACAAATGAGCAGTTATAAAATGCCTACTATGCGTCTGCCAGGCACTATTCTAAGCACTGGGAACGAAAAGGCGAAAATGACACAGTCTCTGTCCAGAAGGAGCTTACATTCTAAGGGTAGATAAAAGATTTAGAGATGGAAGGGATGTGAGAGTTTATCTGGGCCAACACTTTTATTTCATACATGAGGATACCCATAGAGGACTTGACCAAGGTCACAAAGTGTCAAAACTGGAATTTGAACCTAGGTCCTCTGACTCCAAATTCAATGCTTCACCATACCACACTGCCTCAAACACTCTAGTGACTATTACCTTTGGTTTGATGGTCAAGGACTGAATAGATAAGACATAGTCAACTGCTCTTATTTAAGGAATGTCATTAGATTTTTGCCTAAAAACGTTGTATTACCTTCAGAATTCAATACAAAGCTTTCCATACAAGAATCCACTTATCACAAACACTTGTTCAATTAAATTAAATGTTATTATTAGCCAAAAACAAATTTCAGCAAAGTTGTCAAACAGAGAAGACATTTGAGAAAGATTCAATTTAACAAGGTATCTTATTCTACTCCTTTCAAAGTGGAGGCATTTACCTGGCTCAAGAGAATTCCAGTTTACGTAGGTCACAACTGGCTTCATCCCATCTACACTGGCCCATCTATATTCTCCTCGTGAATCTTCATCTCTCAAGCCAGCCCAAAAGAATTTTCCTCCACCTTTACTGTACTTTTTAATCATGTTGTTTAAGAATTCTTGCTCAAATCTGTAAAAGAAGGTTCAAATGGCTTGTTCATGATAATTTTCAGTATCAAATTACTATACTGGTGAAAGAGACTACCATCTCCTTAAGAACGAGGGGCAGCTAGGGGGCTCAGCGGATAAAGCACTGGCCTTGGAGTCAGGAGGACCTGAGTTCAAATCTGGCTGCAGATTTACTAGCTATTTGACCCTGGGCAAGTCACTTAACCCTGACTGCCCTCCCCCAGAATCAATCAATGAGTATTCATTAAGTGCCTACTGTGTGCCAAGAACTGGGCACCGGGACAAAAATGAAATATATATTCTGTCGAGAGAATAGCAAGTGAGGGGTTCACAAAATCCCTCATGAACAAGCCAACACTTGAGATGAGCTCTGAAGGACACCCAGAGGTAAGAAGGGAGAGCATGCTGAGTATAAGGACCAACTGGTGCAAAGGCAAGGGTACAGCAGACGGCGATCATGTGTAAGGGCCGGTAAGAAGGCCGTTTTGGCTAGATTGTAGAATCTGCAAAGGGCAGTAATCTCTAACAAAGCGAAACTGTGAAGGGCTTTAAATGCCATCCAGAGGAGTTTGCTTTTTCACAGTAAAGGTAATAGGGAACTAGGGGATTTATTGAGTAGGCAAGTGACAAGGTCAGACATGGACTTTTGGAAAAACACATTGGTAGCCATGCAGAGAATGTCTTTTCCCCCCCACCACTCCAGAAGGGAAAGACTTGAGGCAAGGAGACCAATCAGGAGACAATTAAAATAATCCAGGTGAGAAGTAAAGAGGACCTGAACAAGACTGTGGCCATTTGAATATGGAGAAGGAGGTGAGAGATGTTGCAGAGGAAGAAATCACATGACTTGGCAAAAGATTAGAAAAAAACTGATGCCTTCTTAGATGAAGCAGACAGCCCACTGGCTTCTGAATTTAGAGGATTTGCGCTCAAAATTTGCCACTAATGCTTAAGATTTGTGTGATCTTGGACAAGTCACTTAATTTCCCTGGGACCTCAGTTTCCTCACCTGTAAAACATGGGGGTTGAACTAGATAACCTCTGGGGTCCCTTCCAGCTTCAGATCTATGCTCCTATGAACATACAGCTTACCTGATGGCTGCCATACCTGCTAGTTATTGTGAGATTGCAGTGAGTTCCAAAGGGGACCTCATCCTTAAAGATCTTGTAACATGCTTCTCCATGCCTCTCCCAGCCCTAAATCAGAGCAGGTTATTACTACTACAGAGTATTCCAAGATAGGCAACATCTCTCTGACTCAAAGTACTGAAGCATTAAACATAAAATCCTAAACTCAATTTAATTGGGGTGGAGGGGGGAGCTAGCAGTTTAATGTCTCTACATGCTGAGGTAGGAGACAACAGAATCCAGACAGAGGAAGACATATGACTAAACCAACCCCAGAGTACAGTAGTATATGAAGCAGTGATCATATATATGTTTTTGCATGACTTCTTGGGTGTAGTGATATCCCAATATATAACTCTCCAAATGAAAATTTTGTTTTACCTACTCTGAACCTTTGGTTTGGTCTGGTACAAGGGTTCTTAACTTTTTGGACCCCTTTGGAAATCCAGTGAAGCCTATGGATCCTTTCTGATAATAATGTTTTTAAATACATAAAATAAAATACATAGGATTCCAAAGGAAATCAATTCTTGAAAAACAGTTAATAAGATACTTAGAAAACAAGTTCACAGACCCTACTATTAAGAACTCCTGGTCAAGAAACAACATTTTCTCCTCATTCCCCCAACCTCCCGCCCCCTCCAAACACCATTTCTGGCTAAGACAGGCTCCATGTTGGCTTAGAGATTTCAATATACCTCTTCTTGAGGGCAGTCCTTATCCAATCTTGTTTCATTGATCGTCTTTCCTGTTTTCTTGCATACATACTTGAGTTTCTTTTCACAGGACTGGACTCTCCAGTGACCTAACTGTGATAAAACAAGTAGAAAAGTTGCTTAGGGGAAAAAAAAGGATTTGTTTTAAGCTTTAAAACTGAACTCTGACTTGCTTCTCTTCTCATCAAATAATAAAGATGAGAGCCCCTTAGAGAGGCTCTCATTTGTTCTACAGGGACACTGCCCCAGATAGGCTGTCAGCATCACAACAAGGTCCTAGGGGACACTAATTTCGTCTTCTCATGAGCTTTATCATCACTCTTAATTGACTACATTATCCTTTGAGACAGGAAAAAAAGTGGGAAGTCTGTTTCAAAGAGAATAGAACACTAGATAATCTTCTTCCACAAGACATCTAGGATGGCCAAGATTCACCCACAAACAGTATGGCCCTTGGGCATTCACTTACTTAACCTTTCTGGGTCTCTGTTTCCTCATTTGTAAAATGAGAATAATATGTGTACTACCTAGAATTCATATGTAGAGAAGCACCATGGTATGGGGGTAGAGTTCTGGAGTTGGGGTCAGAAAGATTCAGGGTCAAATCCTGCCTTTGACAGTGGCTGTGTGACTCTAGCCATATCAAGCAACTTTTCTCATCTGTTAAATGAGGGTGTTAGAGTGATGACCATTAGGGTCCCTTCAAACTCATAAATTTAGGCTCCTATGATCTCAAAGTGATATGGTAAGGAAAGTACTTTGTAAACCTTAAGGTCCTATGTATTTGAGCTCTCATCATCTGTCATGTTGCCTTAAAAAAAGTCTGAAAACAACTCATTCTCCTTAGAATTGTAACTAGAGATTCTCATAGATGCTTGGAAAGGGGATATTTTGTAGGGCCCCTACAGCTATGATGGCCGCAATTCATTTCATAGTGTCTGGTTTATGGTTTCCTTTCCACAACCCTTCTGATTATGTATAAGGATCTCTTTATTTCTTTGAATTTTTTGACTGCAAGTACAATATTTTCCTTGGGGAATGTGAACAAATTGATACTGCTTGCTAAAAAATAAACTACATGAATATACACATTAATACATGGCTATATTATTAAAAATTAAGACTTTTATCTCCCTGTTAGGATCTGTTTTAGAACTTTATTCCCTCCTGAATCTCAGTTAGAGTTCATATATAGAATTCCAAGGGAAAAAAATGAAAAAGCACCTTCAGAAGGCCTTTGATCCTCACTTGAAAGACCAATCTAAGGCCAGGAATGGCACTGGACAAAGAATTTTGAATTGGCTACCATCCCATATGCCTATGTAGTTTTAAGTGCTTTCCTTTCACCCTTGAAGCCAGTCAATGTCTCCCCCAATTTCCCCAATTATAACTTCATAAAGAAGTATTAATTAGGTTCCAAAGTGTCCCATAGCACTGGGATGGTGGACAAGACCTTCCACAGTCCTTTGTTAACTAGCCACAAGTCCCACAGGTAAATGAGGAAACATCACAGTTCCACAGTCACATAACAACTCAACTAATTACTACACTCAAAGCACAGATTTTAAAAACAGAGATAATCGAAAACCTTGCTCCCCCCAAATGGAGGGAACATTTCTTTTTTTAAATTAATTAATTTTTTTAACATGCGTTTTTAAAACTTGGGGTTACAAATTTTCTCCCTTCCTCCCTCCCCACCCACCCTCATTGAAAAGGCAAGCATCTCGATACAGGTTATAGATGTGTAGTCAAGCATAACACTTCCATAGTAGTCATGTTGTGAAAAACTAAGTATATTTCTGGAGGGAACGTTTCTAACACACACCAGAGATATAATTTTTCCTGTACAAAAATGAAACTTAGAAACTGTTTTTGGAGGGGTTACCACATCATTCTATCAATCAAGACACAGATTTGGAGGACTGCAATGGGCTCCCCCCCTCTTTAGCCAGCTGGTAAAGATTATCTTCTAATAAATCTCTTTTGAACTCATAATGTTTTACATGGTGTTTTTCCACTTCCTCTTACTGGTGTGGATGCCGAGTTACTCAATTTAAGAGGTATTAGCTGCCAAATGGAGGAACAGAAATGGGTAGCAAAAACTGATCAAGTTTCCTCATTTTAATTAAAAAAACTCCAAAGACTCATATAGAGAACCCAAAATAATTCCAACTGCTGTAGTGAAAGTGATCTAATGTACAGCTACTTATGTGTGGTTGAGTTGGACTAAAAAGAGGTTATAGGAATTGAGAATGAAGAACTGGGAGGTGAGGGTATGTGAACAGGGAAGAATTTAGGGTGGAGAAGCAGACAGTAAGTGAGGTTATTGGACTTACTGGAGAAGAGACTGACCTGGAGGTCCACAGGTAAGAACAAAGATCTGGCCAGAATGGGATGGATTTTAAAGTGAGAGGTAGTTGCTAAGTGAAGGTGATGAAGTCAGGGTGTAAGTGGCAATAGAAAGTTAGAAGTATGCCGACTCCTTTCCTTGGCCCCATGTGTCACAGAGCGTGAGAAAAAGAACAGTCAGCCTTGAAGAGGATTCCAAAAGATGTGGTAGCTTGAGGGAAAAAAAAAAACCCTAGGTTTCAGTGAGCATCAGAATACGGAAAGAGTATGAGAAGAGAGCCAAGTCAAGGGGAGCATGATAACCACGGAGGAAGATTCCAAAAAGCACAATGTAAAAGGAAGTACAGAGGAAGATGGTTATGGAAGAAATTCTAGGGGGAAGGGGTTTTCACCTAGGCAAAAGGTAGTTCTAAAACACAGGGATTAGGAATTCAGTAGTTATAGTGAAAGAGAATGCCAAGTACAGGATAACAGCAAAAGCAACACAAAGAAGCACCCTCCCCCTGTATAAAAATTAACCATGCACATGATGTGACCAGATCATCTTGAATCTGCTCCTATTAGTAACAAGCCTTTGTTTTAAGCTCTTGGTATGGTCAGAATTTAATATTACCACAATGACTTAAAAGTTCTTTTGAGTTTTTGTGCGTATTATAGCTTTTTCAAATGAAGTTTTACATATAGTTAGTATTTATGCTGCAATCCTGTTTTAAATACCAGAATAATTTCTAAAAGTGCTTAGCACAGTACTTGGAACACAGAACATACTTAATTAATGCTTGTTAACATGAATAAAAGGAAATTATATTGGAGATCTCTGTGGAGGGATCATAGTCCTATGATTACAGGACCTTAGAGTTAGAGCTAAAAGGAACCTCTGGTGGTTGCATTTTACAGCTAAGGAAACTGAAACCCAGAGAGGTTAAGTGATTTGCCCAAGGTGACACAAATAGTAACTGTTAGAGTTGGAGTTTGAACCCAGGGCCGCTAACCCCAGAATCAGTGCAGAAACTAAATTCAGCTTCAAGGTCCTAAATAGAACGGTGCATAACTGGTTCTATAGGTGAAGATTGTGGTAGAGCCCCTTTAGCTTATTATAGGTAGAAGATTATTTAGGTATTATTTGTTTGATAGGACACCCTTCATCTGTTGTCATAATTATTGGCAGATCTGTATCAACTATGAGAGGCATTGTGCTCAATGGCTGGAAGACTTAGAGTGAGTTGCGACCGTTCCTCCTCTCAATGTGTTTACTATGTGAGGAGCCAGACAGCATTTATTAAGGGCCTACTGTGTGCCAAAGACTAGGCACAACGTTCTAGGCACTAGGTATACAAATACAAAGAATGAAACAATCCCTACTCTCAAGGAATCCTATTCTAATTGGGGGTAGGGGTGGGGGTAGAGGAAGGCAAGTATTTTATACACACATATACATATATAACATACACATATGTATATGTGTAAATACACAATAAGTATAAAGAGAATAAATAGAAATAAATATAAGATAATTAAATACAAAGTATTTAGGTAGAGAGGGCAGGGATAGCTTAGTCTGTAATTAACCTTTACCTAATGGGGTCGCGAAGACTCAGACACAACCGGACAACAACAAACTTATTGCGGAGATAGAGACAGGGAGAACCCTTATCTGCTTGGTGCTGATTCTTTCTCTCTTTTTCCAATTTATTTACAAACAAATTGAGGCTCCCACTCATTTAAAAAACATTCTTGTGGTCAGATTACACAACAGTATCATAAACAAACCCCAGATGCTTCCTACCTTTCCTGAATAGCAAACACAGTTAGGAGTTTTATTGTAGGGAATATTTGGTTCATTTTGGTCCCAGTAAGTAAGAGTCACTTCAGTGCCATCTGACCACTTAAATAAAGCTGGTGTATCATTATTCTTAAGACCTGTCCATATTTCTTCTTTGGTTTCTAAAAGAAGAGGGTTCACAGATTAGTAAATCCTTAAATAGGTGTCAATTTTTAAAAGATTAAATGTCTTCACATTTAAACTAATTCATTTCAGTGAATAAAGTATTATACTTTTTTTTTAGTGTCTCCCTCAAAGTCGCCATCGGGGTTCTCTGTTTATTCTATCTCATTCACATTTCAGTCAACCAACAAGCATTTATTACAGATCAGGTATTGTGCTAAGCACACAGGGTTACAAAGATAAAAGCAAATAACATTCCTGCCTGCAAGGAGTTTATATTCTAATAATGAGACAACATCTAGAGATGTAAATACATATTGATAATATACAAAATGAATACAGGATAGTTTAGGGAAAACACACTAGTAGTTGGGGGGAATTAGATGTATCAAAAAATGGAATGGGCAACTTTGGAAGGTGAATTCTTCTATACTAGAGGTCTTTCACTGATGACTTGGTGGAGCAAGGATATAATTAGTATAGTACTAGACATCAAGTCTGAAAAAATGGGGTAACTGTGTTCCCCAGGGCCACTTAACCCACCTCAGCATTAGTGTTTTTTCTTATTTGCTAAATAGAGATAATACCTGTATCAATTACTTCACGGAGTTCTTGTGAGTGTCATGGTGTATATGCAATATGCACTTTTTTAAACTTTGAATGCTATATAAATATGAATCATTATTAGATGGAATTCCTATCCAGGTATTGGCCTCTTAGAATACTCCTGTAGTGAATAAGAGCCATGTGTTTGGACTCAGAGAACTTGGGTTCTAATTGCTGCTGATACTTAACTACTTGTGTGAAAAGTCACTTAACCTTTCTGGGAAAATGAAGCCATGGAACTAGATGTCTCATAAGGGTCCAGCTCTAAATCTATGATCCATTAAAATGATATCATTCAAAGGAGCTGTGGAATTAGATTTAAAAAAAAAAGACAGAACAAGAGGAATACAATGTAAGTGAAATCAAGATAGCAGAAAGGCTCAAGAATGATAGGGTGGTCCATGGCAGCACAGTAAACTCTATGAAATCAGAGAAGCCTGGTCCAAAATCTACCTCTGCCATTTTACCACCTCTGTGACTTTAGGTCACTGAGTGTCACTGGGCTTGTTTCCTCATCTGTAAAATCAGGAGAATGGACTAGATGACCTCTAACTCCCCTTCTGGCTTTCAATGTATGTATGATCCTATGATTTTCCCCTACTTCACACCTTGAACAACTCTATATCGTAACCTCTCCTCTTGTTCCAATTTCTGTGGAAGAAGCGGCCCTTTGTGAGAAGGCCACCGCTCTGCTTATGCTCTCATTCACCAGGCCCTCCATCTTCCCACTTACCCTTCTATAGCTTCCCTCCTCATCTTCAATCTTGCCCTAAGCATGCACCAGTCCCCCTTATCTTTAAAAAACAAAACCCCTTTACAAGACTCTGCTATCCCTTACATTTGGTAATACTATGATCAGCAACTGATACTTTCTAGCATCCAAAGATGGAGATGAGAATGGTCGAATAAACTGCCTCTCCCTCACCAACTCCCAGCTAAAGGAGCAGGTTCCTCAAGGGTCACAGGTTGAAAGGGGAAGTTTTCTAGGGCATGACCCTCCTGATCTAGAAATGTGGTCCCTAAAGAGTCAAATGAACTAGACAGGGAATGTGGCTTTCTTTTTACTTAATAGGGGACATAATCCCCTTGTTCCAAACTGACTACTTCAATGGCCAGTTTCCAGTATAGATAGATAATATTTCATTTCAGGAGGTAGAACTGATGAGCATGTAATCTGTACATGAATGTGCATGTAACCTAGTTTGATCCCTCCTGGATATGCTTTTTGAATCTCTCCAGTCTTCACCATCATGACTCAGCTGCTTTCTTAACCTGGAACATCCTTTCACCATGCTGCCTGCCTTCTCCCCTTGACTGGTGGGGGGGGGCATCCCCAAATGACCTAGGTTGGCCATGCTTCCTTCCCTTAATGCCCATGCTTTTAACTCTTTCTGGACTTTGCCGCCATGACTCAGTTGCCTTCTCATCCTGAAACATCTCTCTGCCATGCAGGCCCCTTTCTCCTATGGTGAGCTCCTATTCCAAGAACTCCATTTGGAGATGGGTCTAGGCTGACTATGCCTTACTCTCCTCCAGCTGTGTTTCTGCCTCAAAGCTTCACTACTATGTATCCACATGGGTAACTTCTCCTCCCTTCCCATCTTTGCTGGCTTTTCAGCTCCTTTTTTAGCACCCACCCCACCTCTTGATCAAACTGGGGAGTTAGCTATCCTAGTGGCACAGTGGATATGGATAGGGCATTCGACTTGTAGTCAGGAATAATTGAGGTCAAATCTTGTCTTCAACACTTGCAAACTGCATGATTGTAAGTCCATTAGCTGTTGACTCCCTGATCTGTAAAATGGGGATAATCACAGCACCTTTATCCCAAGGTTTTTGTGAGGATAAAATAAGATTATATTTGCATAGCACTCTGCAAACCTTAAAGTACTACATAAATGCAATTATTATCATTATTGTTAGTTTTACAGGTGTACTAAGACTAAAGCGAGAAGATCTAGAACTCTTGATTTCTCAGTGGATCTGGGGGTATATCAGACTTAGTAACTGTTAGAAATGGGGAGGGGTTCCTTTTTATTCTTGTCTTGTTAACATCTTCCTTCTACCAATTTCTCTTAAGTCTTGATAGTGGTATATAGAAATGCAGGTAATTTTTGCAGGTCTATCTTATCTCCCACAAATTTAAAAAATTCATTGATTGTCTCTATTTTTATTGATAGTCTTAGGTTTTCTAGCTATATAATCATGCTGTCTGCAAATATACATTTTGACTTCTTCATTACTGATGTTTAATTACTTTCATTTTTTCCCACGCTTTATTGATTTTGTGATTTTAAAAATTATATCAGAAATGGATCTCTCTAATCTATATGCTTTTTTCTTTTAAAGAAGAATTTTTCTAACATTTCTCAGTTGTATATGATGATACTATGTTGTAGTTTTTATATATACTTTCAATAATATTATTAATAATCTTTCAATATGGTTTATCACTTTTAGCAGGATTTCAAAAGTTATGTTAGGAGTAAAGAGAGTGGACATCCTTGTGTTGGTTTCTCTTCTCTCCCCCCCTTCAAGAGAATGCTTTTAGCATTGCTTAGTTACATATAATAATACCATGTTGTGGTTTCAGATATACATATTTTTTATAATATTATGTATAGGTCTTTTTATTCATGTATTATATCTATCTATCTATCTATCTATATCTCTATCTATCTGTCCATATATATATGGGGTAAAAAGAGTGCTTTATTGTTATCTAAGAATTTCCCTGTGTATTGTGATACCATTATAAAGTCTTTTTTCTTGAGGACAAAATGTATGATATTAAACGTTTTTCTGGTTTATACCACCTATCTATAAATCCTACTTGGTCACAATAGCGCAATGTTTTTGATGTACAGCTATATCCTATTTATGATCCTATGTTTAACAATTTTGCATTGATATTCAGTAATGACATTGGTCTATGGTTTTCTTTCCAATTGTCCAATGGACATTTTCAAACTGGATATCTCAGGGATGTCTCAAACTCAACATGTCCCAAATTGAACTGGTTATATTTGAATTGAAGCTTCCTCTCTTCCAAACTTCCCTATTTCTATCGAAGATACAACCATTCGTCCTATCTCCTGGGTTCATAATCCTAGCATCTCCCTTGACTCCTCACTTTCTCTCATACCATGTATCTAATCAGTTACCAAAGCTTACCATTTCAGCTTCAACAACTTCTCTCAACTCTGATCCCTATTCTCTATTCACGTAACTACTACCTCAGTTCAGATCCTCATTACCTCTTGCTATTTTATTGCAACAACCTTAATAATTGCCTCAAGACTTTCTCTCCTCTGGTCCACATTGCTGCCAAAGTAATTTTCTTAAGTACAAGACCTTACTTTGTCACTACTCTTACTGAATCCATTCCACTGGTTCTCTACTGCCTATAGCATAAAACATAAAGACTTTTAAAAAATGGCCCCAACCTATCTTTCCAATCTCATTGAGCATTACATGACTGTGACTGTCCCACAAACTTAGAGCTTTCCCTCCTGACCTTTGCCTCAAAAAATCCTTCTCTCGAAGCTCAAGCATCACCTTCTACATGAAGCCATTCCTCGATTTCCCCAACTGCTAGTGTCCTTTCTCTTTTTTAACTAACTTCATTATATTTATCTGTATTTATCCTTTTCATATTTATTTTATATATACACTTATGTATGTACCTGTCTCCCCCACTCTAGGCTCCCTGAAAGTAGGGACTGTTCAATTCTTTGTATTGTATCCCCAGCAACTAGCACAGTACTTAGCACGTAGTAGGCACTTAATAAATGCTTGTTGATTCTCACCTTTGCCTTTTTTAGTTCAAGGGACCAACAGAAGGGTTATGTAGCCTACCATCTTCCTCTATATTAAAATAGTCTATGTATCATGGAAACTACTTATTATTTAAAAATTTAACAGAATTTCCTTGTGAATCCACCTGTGAATCTCCCCTTATTGGGAATGGGTTAGAGCAGGACTTCTTAAACTTTTTCCATTCATGACCCCTTTTTGACATTGTGTGGCCTGTACTGCACGCACAGTATAAAGTGCAAGCGCTTCATGTTCAGAACCAATGCTGCAGTGAAGTTGCACAATGCAACATGATAAAGCCCTGCCAGAAACACCCTGGATTCATTACACACTTGATTTTTAATTACTTTTGGTCATTTTGTGTTTTTGGCAACCTTTTATTGTTGCCAAATTGGGTTGCGACCCACAATTTAAGAAGAGCTGGTAGACACAAGTGTTCCCCAGGCTTTGGTCTTCCGGTGACACCGATCACCTTCTTTGCTTGCGTCACCCCCACTTCCTCATTTTACTAGCCTGATCTTGTGTATTTTTGTGGGAGATAGGTAATCTCCCAGCAACTAATCCTATAGGGGGCCTACCCCCTCCATAGTAACTGCTGGGGCTTAATGAGAAGGTTGACATTCTCTTTATATCCCTCGAATTAAAACAAACATCCTAGTTTATTTCTCCTCACATACTCATGTTTTTTTTTGGATAAATGTAAGAATTATAAAATTATTAATATCATTGACGGGATATGTATGAGGACTTACATTATGAAGGACAGTGGAGAACATGAAAACCACAGGATAAAATCTGTCAGGTTTTCACAAAGATGACATTTTTGCTAACAGACCAAGAACCCTAGAATGCTTCAAAACATCTCATTTGAGAGCCTTTGAGAAACTTACCTCCTTCATGGAGCTTTCTGACAACTAATTCCACATCTGCTAAAGACTGCATGCTGATTAGGTTACTGTGGTTGGATATGCATTCTGCATTTGCCTCATCCCAGGAACCACTTTCATTTACCAGCAGATAGCAAAAGCCATTGTTTGGCAGCCAGCCTGGATCACAGTGGGTCTCTAAATATGTCCAAACATCTGGGGGAAAAGCAGTTATTTATATTTCATTGAAAACACATCCATTTTGAACAGATAACTTCATGCAAGTTCTCTCTTCTTAAAAACTAACTCTTCTAGAAAAGCTGGGATGTACGATCTTAGGAGGTACAGAAATACGAACGTTCTTTGTATGGAATAAAACAATAAGGTGGATCTAGTAGGGGCAGACCTAACCTAGCCACACTGGGCACAGATCTATGTGGGGAGGGGCAGAATTAACAGGAGGTACCGAAAAAAAAGATATCCCTTGGTCTCTTGCTGGTGGAGGAAGACTACAGAATAAGTGAATCTTGCTCTGGGCACAGGACTGGCTAGAGTCACCATTAGTATCTTCAGCTTGAAGAGTTTATACTAAGTCAGTGAAGCAAACACCACCATTCTATTACATAATTAGCTTAGCAACCAGCATAACAGTCACTGGTGACAAAAGGAAATTTAAAGTTAGACTAATCTACTTAGACAGTACATTCAATTTCCCCCATTTATCCTCTGGCCAAGAGATGGCTAAACAGAGTAGAGGATAGTATATGAAGTTCTCTTTTTTTTCCTTCCTTCCCCTCAGGCTATAGGTCAGTAGCCACTTTAGGCATTCCTCTCAACTTCACCTTCATGGGTACCACTTGAGCTAAATTCACAAAAAGATATTCTGAGGAAAGGGAAATAAAATCAGGAAATGTGTACTTGGAATGTCTGTGGTTGGAAACAGCGATATCTATCAGTAAGCCTTTGCTTCCCTCTTTGAGACTTTCAGGGTCTATTTGAGACCCTTTAGCAGAACCTCAGTAACCTTAATTTGTCCCAACTTGAAATTGCCAACCAATATCCCATGCAACATGTTACAGTTTCCTCAAACAGTCCAGGCCAACATTTAGTGAGCCTAGCATGTATATGGGCACTGGGCTAGGCATTGAAGATATTTAAACAAAATGAAAACCAGCTGCTGCCTTTAAAGGCTTCCTAATAGACTGGGAGTAGGAGTAGGGGGATAATATTGAATAGATATTTATATAAATGATATTTTGAGGAAGAAGAGAAAAGTGGCTCTGAACAAAGGGGATCAGGAAAGGCTTTCTTCACAGAAGGAAACACATGAGTTGAGCTTTAAATAAAGCGAGGCATTCTAAGAGCTCATGATGTCAAGGAAGGAGTACCTCCATGTTTGAGAATAGCAGGTACAAAACGTCAGAGGCAGTAGAAGGAATGCCAACCGCAGGAAACAGTAAAAAAAAAAAGTCAGTTTAGCAGGGATACATAGTATATGAAGGGATGTAAAGTGAGGAGAGTTGAGTGTGACTCCAAAGTTGCCAATCTGAGTGATTGGAAGGATGGTGTGGCCCTCTAGAAAATAAGGAATTTTGGAGAATAAGCAAATTTGGGAGGAAGATGATGAGTTTAATTTGACTTGCTGAGATACAAGAAGGAGCTGGGGAAAAATGGCTCACTTTATAGCCAACCACTAGCTCACAATTTTATAGGGAACAACCTTACATTAGAATATATATTTTTGGTTTTGCTGTTTTTCTTCTTTTCCTAAATTAGGATTTTAAAATCTATTTTGTATCTATTATTTTGTACTCTAGATCATCTGCATTTTACCCTTGTGTAAACTCACGTAAAATTGTTCATTCTAGAGATGCTACGTTAGTCTAAACAAAATTAATCTGGGTAATACCATTGAAGGCTTAGTGACAGCTAAAGCATAGTGACAACTAATCTTGTCAGATTGATAAAGGGTTAAATCCCATGAAAATAACCATTATATTATTAAGTCATATCTCTAGAAACTAGAGAATCACATGTGCATACATATTGTATTTGTTGTCTAAAAGCTTTGCTTCCCATTTGCAGAAACACTGAGATGTACACCTTCTATTTGCCTCACCTTGTTCACTTCAATCTTAAAGGTAATTCAACAAGGCCACTATGAGCTATAAATGAATCCTTCCTAGAAAAGGAAAATTGAATAGCTACATCTTCTCTCCATTTGAAGTGTCAGCACACCTGGATGAAGACAATCTGGATAAAGGCCCCCTAAATTTACTGACTTTATTTTTCACAAAATTATGATTTTTAAGTCTTTTTGGTGAATGACCAAAAAAAAGGGAAGGAAGTATTACCTGATGACTTCGATGTTTCATTAAGTGGCTTCTTGCAGACATAAGGGAACTGAGCTTCACACGGAAAACTGTGCCACTGGCCCGAGTCAGCATTCATTATTACACAACTTGAGCCACCTACTGTAGATGAACTGGGAATTTCTTCAGAGTTTGGTGGAAGAACAAAAAAACGAAGTAGGGGTAGGGGAGAGAGGTTTTGTGTTCAGTTAGAAAAGGGAAAGTGACAGGTATTTCTAAACTTCTGCTTTTACTTAAGAGAACAAGAACATCATTTAGTAAAACTTTAGCTAATTGGAACCCAACTAACACCCCATAAAGAATCTTTGACCCTGGTTGAAGGAATGATGGAATAAAAAAAAAGCACAAGATCATTTCTAACCTCTAGGAGGGGTAAGAGAACACTAAGGAATATAAAAGCAGCTTTAAAAAAAGAAAGAATGAAACAAAAAGAGAAAGAGAGAAACAAAAAGAAAGGCAAAGAGAAACAGAAAGAAAAAGAAAGAGAAAGGAAAAAGAAAGAGAAAGATAGAAAATGACAGAAGCAGCCAGAAATGCTGGAGTGGGAGGAAGGCTTAGGGGAAGAGGTCATAAGGGAAGAAGCTGAAAGAGATTCATTTTCGTTTTCTTTCTTTCTTTTTCTTTTTTCTTTTTTTGGCTAGGCAATGGGGTTAAGTGACTACATGGTAGTGAGTGTTACGTGTCTAAGGCTGGATTTGAACTCAGGTCCTCCTGAATCCAAGGCCAGTGCTCTATCTACTGCATCACCCAGCTGCCCCCGAGATTCATTTTCTTATCCTCTTCCTCTAACTCCAACCTTCATCATAAAACCTCAAGGATATTATGTGGGAAGTATCAGGAAATCCCCTAAATGGGAAAGGATGGTGAAATGATGAGGAATTAAGAGACCCTTCCTTCCCACTGTTGCAATGATTTCACAAGGGTATTCACTCTGGAGATTTGGACATATTGAGCCAGAAGTTGGCATAAAAATGTGACCTTTGAGGCTCCATAAGATTGTGACTTTTATGGGCTGGAAGTGTCCCCTAAGCCTTTGTGGGAAGAGTGAAGGGGGTATAAAGATGGACAATAGGGGCAGTGTTAAATATTCTGTCTGTCACTCAGATCTTATTTTTTACTTTTAAGGCTGAGGTGTTCTAGAATCTGAACCACTTTACCTGGGCTCTCTCTTTTGTTCTGTTTTCCTGAGCTGCTACAATCTTGCTGCCTGTAGTTTACCTCTTGAGGTTCCCTTCCATATCCCCTGTATCCATCCTATATGTACATTTTTTACATGCTGTCTCACCTATTAAAATGTGAGAGTCCTGAGGGCAGGGACCAAGTTACTGCCTTTCTTTGTATCTCTAGGGTTTCACACATGGTAAGCACTTAATTAATGCCTGCTGGCTGACAGACTGCCAAACTTTCTCAGAACATGCACCACTGACGCCAAAAGGACCATGAGAAGGCAGAATTCATTTTCCTGGGAGTACTGCATATGAATGAACTGTTGGGATTTTATTAGAGCAAAAATATCCCCAAGTATTGGTATTTACTTTTCATGAGATTAAATTTGTCAGTCATCAATATGTTTTAATCCCAGGTGCTGGATAAGTATTCACCCCTATTTTCCAGAATAGATTTCTGAGTGTGTGAGTGATTTATCAGAGGTTATCTATCAAGATTTATTGATGATGTCAAAAACCTCCTGGGGCTCTGTTGGAGAATCTAAGGAACAGCTTCAGTAACAAATGTCAGGTCTAAGGTGTAAGTTTAAATCTGGGATCTTTTCTCAGAGGGCTCACCATTCCCACAAAATACCCAGCCAGGTGTCTCATTCTGACAGCTCCCCAATGGTTTCCTCAGACTATGGTGCTCCTAACTAAAAGTAGTAGTTAATCCAGTGGCCACCAAGATATGTTCAGTAGCTCCATCAGATAGTCCAAAACAGTCTATTAATAGTATTACAACTGATATATTGTAGAAGGAAAAGTTCTTTCAAGATAGGTAATACGAGCACAAGTCTAAAGAATTATGAGTCTCATAAATACTTAATAGTCTGGGGTGGGGATGGAGAAGAGAGTCAAAACCCATTTTTACTAAGGCCTGTACTATTCCTAATAAGGAAAAAGGGAAAAAAAGTTACCTGGATTCCAGTTGAGAAAATTTAATGGGGTGTGATCAGACCATTCCCAACCTTTTGAATTGTCTAGTTGATTTAAACCAATCCAGAACATTTTTGGAATCCCCTCTTTATCTGTAAAGATAAAAAAGACACCCATTGAGTTATCTGATTGAGGCTGAAGTTATTAGCACCACACAACAATCTAAAGAACTTTAGTTTAAGCTGAGATTCAATTTTGAATCTCCTAAAAATGGCAGAGTAAACAGGGCAACACAATCTGTTCAGGTTACTAACACACTCCCTGAATACCTGGTGAGTAGATACAACTTGGATTTCTGAGCACTATTCTCCAGTGAAATGCTTCTGACATGCTCTCCAAACTACTCCTAATAAAACTGAAAAGTAGGAGGCATGACTCATCACAGGCAGCTAGGTGGCACAGTGGCTAGTGCCCTGGTCATAGAGTCAGGAAGACTGACTCCTGAGTTAAAAGCCTGGTCTCAGACATTTACTGGCTGTGTAACCCTGAGCGAGTCACTTATCCCTGTTTGCCTCAGTTGCCTCATTCTATAAAATGAACTGGAAAAGGAAATGGCAAACCACTGCCAAATCAGGTCACAAAGAGTCAGATATGACTGAAACAATTCAACAACCACCACTACAACAAAAATTGGTAGAGGGAGATGCCTCTGGGGAGTTTCCTATAGCAATGAAATCCCAGGTCTAGACTTTTAAAAAAGATGGGGTAGCATCAGGTAGTTCTAAAGGAATCTTAGAGCTAGTGGAAATTTCTTGTCCCTGTTGGTAAGTAGAGGCAGCTAGATAGTGAAGTGGATAGAGTGCTAGGCCTAGAGTTGCAAAGATCTGAGTTCAAATCTAGCCTCACACATTTATTAGCTTTGTGACTCTGGGAGAGTCATTTAACTTTTGTTTACCTCAGTTTCCTCATCTGTAACATGGGGATAACAATTGCACCTACTTCTCAGTACTTCACACAGTGCCTGGAATATAGTAGGCAATTAATAAATGCTGGTTCCCTTCTTTTCCTTCTCCTCTCTGTTTTGATGCCCTAAGTTCTGGTTACTTAGTTATGTATAATCTGAGGTCTAGAAATCAAGGCTGTTAGCAGCATTTAGATTATGTAAGAGGACAGAATGGGAAAGAAGAATAGTTACAGTCATGATTTTAGCAATCAGACTGAACATCTCTCCATGAGTCCATGTAGAGTTAAGAGAATCAAAAGAAAAACAAAACAAAATTAAAAACGAAGTCGAAACAAAACAAGAACATTCCTGGCTTCTATGGTAAAATCATGGCTAAGCCTATCGATAGCAGCAGCCAGCCAGCAAGTCCAAGTCAAGTATGGGTGTTAGGGATAAGGTGGGCAGAGGTAAGAGCCTGGATATGGTGGGGCCTTCTATGCTAAATAAGAACTAGGAAGTATGCCCTCTGGGGCAATTCTACAGCTTTCTTTGGTAATAATAGATACCTAAAGACACATGGAAAAGCCCTAAGACTTTTGTTACTAAAGAATGCACCAGTTTGCTGATATCTCAAGTTTTCTTCATGACTGGTCTCAAATGATTACTTCGCAACTCTTCAGACCAGCAGACTTAATTTACTCAGTCCCTTCCACTTAAACCTATTAAACATTATTCAGGAAATTCATAGAACTATGGTAATAAAAGGACATTTATGGATAATATTTTTTGCTTGTATAGGGAAACATATTTCTGAAAATATAATTTTTTCTAACAGAAATATTAATTATTCAAGTCTCAAATTAAGTAGGAAAAAGCCTGGAACAATGTGAAGGTTTAAGAGCAGGGCATGGAGACTGAAGTTTTGAGCTTTAGAGCTATGAGACATGAAGAAACTTATGCTAGGGATGACTCTCTGGGCCTCAGCTTTGTCATCTGCAAAATGGAGCTAGAATAGGTGATTTCTAAAGTCCTTTCAAGAACTAAGTGTTATGATGTTATTCTTCTTAATACATCAAAGTACTGAGTGACTAAGTATTCATTGAATATCTAATATGTGGCATGGTACAAGTGCATACATACATATATGTATGTGTACGGGTACATATATACGTATACATATGTATGTGTGTATGTGTGTATGTGTGTATATATATACACACATATATATATACATATATATGTGTGTATATATATATATACACACATATGTATATATGGGAGAGAGCCTAATGATGGTGTATAAAAAGAAGAGAGAGGAGGGCATTGTATAGAGCTTTGATATGTACAGTCAAGGGATTCACAAGATCCAGCAAAAGAAACCAAGGATTAATCACACAAATAGCAGGTGAATGAAGAGAGAAGAGTCACAAAAAACCAGGAAGGAAAGAGTATTTAGGAAGAGAAGGCAATCAGCAGTGTCAAATGCTGCAGGCCAAGAGGGGTGAGGATTGAGAAAGAGCTATTATATTTAGTAATTAAGAGATCACTGATAACTTGAGAAAGAGAGAAGTACCAGTTGAATGATGAGGTCAGGTCAGAGTACAAAGGGTTTAAAAGGGAATTAAAGGAGATAAAGGGAGAAATCACTGAGTGTATATGACATTTTCAAAGCATTTAGCCGGGAAAGGGGAAGGAAAGACACAGGAGCGCTTGTGAGTTAGGGGTATGACTGATCTTGTGGAGGCTGAAGTAAAGCGGAGGCATAGATTGAAGAATTAGAAGTTGGGGTATTTAAAGGAATAGCAACATATTTGCTGAAGTCCTCCAGTATGAGGGTAGGGGTTGGAATGGGATAGAAGGCTTTGAACCAGATCCTGAACCTACTGAGGTAGGAGGGAGAATATTCGCACATTCCTACACACACAAGTTACATGTGTGTATATGTGTGTATATGCCCATAAAAGCACTTTCATAATGTAATGGTAGGCATTCACACATATATGTTCGCGCGTGTGTGTGTGCATATGTATGTATAAAACCTCCTTCTCCATCAATGGAGCTTATGATCTTAGGGGGGAATGCAGAAAGAGAGAAAAAGAAAAGAACACAGGCTAGAACATAATGCTAACTGTACGTATGCCAGAGAAAAATGTAGATGCAAAGAAGCTGAGTGGTCCTAACTCAAGGGGTCAGCGAGGTGGTGCAGTGGATAGAGGTCCCAGCCTGGAGTCAGGAAGACTCGTTTTCATGAGTTCAAATCTGGCCTCAGACACTTAAACAGAGCTGTGTGGCCCTGGGCAAGTCACTTAACCCTGTCTACCTCAGTTTTCTCATCTGTAAAATGAGCTGGAGAAGGAAATGGCAAACCACTCCAGTATCTTTGCCAAGAAAATCCAAGTCAGACACAACTGAACAACAACAATCCCAATTCAAACCAACCTTCCTCTCCTCAGTCTGCTCTCTCATTCCCATCTACTTCAATCCTTTTCTTGAGGTAGGGTATGGGAGGGAGGTACACAGTAACTGGGGACTTGCCTAGAGTCATACAGTTGAATTTGGACTCAGCTCCTTCTGACTCTGGGCCTGGACCTCTATCCACTGAGCAACCTAGCTACACCCATCCACTTCCATCTTCCATCCCAGGATACTGACATTGATCTCTCGACAGTCAAATAGAATGGGCTTTTCCCCATCCAGATCCTTCCTGATCACCCCATAGCATTTGACACTATTGACCACTTCACTACCCTGGGTTTTTGTGAGTCTGCTGCTCTCTTGGTTCACTTCTTACCTGACTGTTCCACCTCACTCTTCTTTTACTGGATCTTGTGGATCAACAAAATGTGGGTATCTTCCAAGGCTCTCTACATACTTTCACTATGTGATCTCATCAGCTCCCACAGGCTCAATTATCATCTCTACACAGATGATTCCCAGATCTATTTATTATGTCATGGTATCTCCCTTGAGTTTCTTCTCTCTCTCTCCTCTCTCTCTCTCTCATTTCCAACTGGATGTCCATGTGCATCTTATACTCAACATTCCTAAACCAGAACTCATTACCTTTTCTCCCAAACTTCCCTATTACTATCAATGGCACCACTATACTGGCAGTTAGCCAGGTTCACACGGCGGGTGTCATCCGTGACACGTTACTCTCACTCATCCTACACGTTCAGTTAGTTACCAAATCTTGGGATTTCTTTCTCTACAATATCCTATACATTCTGTATATTTTTCTATATTTCTATATATATTTCTAAAATATCCTATATATTTCTTTTTCTACAATTTCCTATATATCTTCTCGTTCAGTAGCCACCCTAGTTCTCCTCTCACCTAGACTATTACAATAGCCTCCTAAATGGTCTCCCTGCCTCAAGTTTCTCCCAACTTTAATCCATCCTCCTGTCTACTGCCACATGAATTTAGCTAAAACACAGGTCTGACGATTTCACTTCCCTACTCAATAAACTCTAATGGCTCTCTAAGATCAAATACAAACTCCTCTGTCCTTCACTGAAGGCCCTTCACAACCTGGCCCCTTCCATTTTTCTTACACATTATTTCCCCCTGTACATACTTCATGGACCCAGCCACACTGGCCTAATTGCTGTTCCTCACATCTGATACTTCATCTCGCATCTCTGAGCCTATGTACTGGCTGTCCCTCATACCTGGCACGCTCTCTCTCCTAATCTCTAAGACTCCTTTGCTTGCTTTAAGACTCAGTTCAATGCTACGAACTGCAGAACAATCTCCCTGTATCTCCAGATGCTAGTGCCTTCCCCTCTAATATACTGCGCTGAACATACTACATCGGACTACTTTCCATGCACTCTGTATTTATCTTGTATAGACATGTTATCTCTCCTGAAAGCACAGAAAGACTTTAAGGGCAGGGACTGTTTTTTGCTATCTCTTTGTCTATCCAATGATTAGCACAATACTTTGCAAATAGCAAGCACTAAAAAAATGCTTATTGATTGAATGATTCACTCACATTGTATGGCTTAAAGTCCTTAACCTTACCAATGTCAAACTCTTCCTCAAGTACAAAACTTTCATTCATACTACCTAAACATACTTAAGTCTTTCTTATTCCTTCTTACTATATCTAATTCCATGTCTGTTTTCATCCTCCCTTTTATCTTTAAGTGCTTTTCATTCCTTTTTTTCCCCAGAGACTTTAAATCTCATTTCTTCCACAAACCCTTTCAACTAGAATAGATGTCAATTCAGTATTTATATTCTCTATCCTTTTTTCCAATATGGAGTTCATCTACCATAATCATAAGCATAATTTTTTGTAAGGGAAAATTATTGTATAGGTTTCCATCACTACAATACTATTTATGAGTATACAGTGAGATTCCCAATGATTGAAATTCTATTCTGGAAAAAAAGGATTTTTTCCCCTAGGGTTTCTAGTAAGATGTAGAAGTGACTGATCTTGGCTCCCCTGAACCACCTCAAAACAATGACAAATATGCCAAATTAAATAAAGGTAACAATTATCAAAAAGAGAGCCATATGAAATGGGGAATAGAAAGAAATCAAAGTAGGAGGTCATGGAAACATAGATGTAGAGGTAAAATTCACCATCTAATCCTCATTTTTTAGATGAGAAAATTTATTAAGTAGTGCAAAGCAAACAAAATAGAAACAAAGGAACAATTCCAGTGTAACATTCTTTCTAGGGCTCACTGTCCTAGTTCTTCATACAGTGGCAGGTAGAGTCCCTAGAAGAATAATTAGTGCTACTCTCCAGGTTTCTCAGAGGAACTCTGAAGAGGTATGCTCTTTGAGCCCCCACCGATGTGCTTCCCAATAACATGCAGACAGCAGACTCAGTTCTTAGCAAATGCAATTACTCAAATGGATGGCAAGAAGAATAACAAATCATTCCCTAGTCATGCCCACCCAAATCTAGAGTGCACACTCCTACAAATACAGAGAGTGCATGAGGATAGAGGGGGAACAAACTTAAAGAATAATGGCAGTGAGTACATATCATCAAGGTAATTCACATCTGGAATTTCAGGACTAAGTTCAGTTCAGAGCATGGTGTCAACGATCAATGAAAAACTTTGCATAAGCATATTTTCAATGCACAGAATAATTTAAAGTGAGTGAATACCTATCTTAATATCCTGTTGTTTATAGGTATCAATATTGTGAGAGTATAAATTCTTCGAGTACATAGGTAGTGTGCTTAAAACTTATTTTGATACTGCATTCATCTGTTATTTCTTTACATTTAATTCAAATTTTACATACAAAATATTCTATCTATATTTCCTTGGAGTTAGCTTACCTTTTAGATGAATTAATTCAGCTGCACTTGAGATGCTTACTAAGTCTGCTCCTTGATTCTGACATGAAATTAATGCTTCCTTCCACGTAAGAGCTGCCTGGGTATTAAGCTGGTAGCAACTTCCAAATTGCTCATTCTTTTCCCAATTATCTTTACAGCCATCCTCTATTAAAAAGACAACATTTAAAGACTAGACATTTTTATATCCATTGTCTATCCTTGAACTTCAGTGTTTGCAGAATTTTCAGATGACGGAAATGCTGTCAGTTATGTTTGATAACCTAAATATCACTATAAACAACTGGGATGTATGCTGTCACTGAGATAGTGATATGAAAGAAACACCATTTGACTGTTTTTCTCAGAGATTCTAAGCCTACAATTCCAATTTTTGTTGTCATTGTTGTTCAGTTGTTTCAGTCATGCCCAATTCTTTGTGACCCCATTTGGGGTTTTCTTGGCAAAAACACTGGAATGGCTCGCCATTTCCTTCTTCAGCTCATTTTACAGATGAGGAAACTGAGGCAAACAGGGTTAAATGACTTGCCCAGGATCACACAGCTGCGTAAGTGTCTGAGGCCAGATATGAACTCAGGAAGATGATCTTCCTGTCCCACAGTTCAGCACTCTATCCACTACAAGAGCAACCACCAGGTAATAACTTGGGTTATGGAACACAGCTTCATGCATCCTCAAGTAGAAATGACTGAAAAGTGATGAATAATTTCATTAAGGTTTTCTACAAAGATAACCTTTAAAAATCAACATGGGATGAGTTAATTATAAGAGGAAGATAAAATACTAAGACGTATCTGTGGAGGCAGCACAGTACAGGACTAAGAATTAGGTTCGTTTTTAGTTCCACTATGAACTATCTGTATGACTTGGGAGGAAGTCAATTAATCTCTCCGAGCTTCAATTTCCTCGTCTATAAAAGGAGGCTCACAGGATGTAGAGTTCAAGGTCTGGAGTGGTTTAAGTAATTTATTAGTGGTCACAAGTAAATAGGCAGAACTCAGATCTGAATGTAGGTCCCCTGACTCCAAGTCCAATTGCCTCTTTTTTTCTAACATACCACATTGAACTAAATCAGTTGATTATTAAGGCCCTTCTACCCCTGACAATTCTATTATTCCATATATAGTAAGCTTTGGGGGCGGGGCTGGGGAAGAACACAGGCACAGTGTGGCATTTTCCTGATGCCATCATTCCTGGTATAAATTGCTGCTTAGCTAAATCTTTGCTTTTAATATTTTTGCCAAGAAATGTTTTACTCTGCTTCAGCTATAGAGTTGTCAAGGAGTGAAAATCAACCTGGAGTCTTGGCCTGTTTCTGGATCCCACAAGCCACTTGTAACTTTGATGTTACAAACTCTATATGTTTGATCTGTTCAAACATTTAGGGGCCTACTATGTATGGGGCAACTAGGTGGCACAGTGGATAGAGTACAGGCCTGGAGCCAGGAACCAGGAAGACCCAAGTTCAAATCTGGCTTCAGACATTTATTAGCTGTGTGACCCTGGGCAAGTCACTTAATCCTGTTTGCTTCAGTTTCCTAACCTATAAAATGAGCTTCAGAAGGAAATAGCAAACTACTCCAGTGTCTTTCCCAAGAAATTCCCAAATGGGTTCATGAAGAGTTGGACACGACTGAAACAACTGAACAACAACAAGAAAACTATGAACTAGGCACCATGCTAGAGGAATAGTATAGTTAGACTTAAAATAGGCATAATGTGAGATAAGTCTGCAAAGATCAGTTGAAACCAAATGGTGGATGGTGTTTTTATCTAGCTAACAACATTGAGTAGCCTGGAGTAGTGAAGGGTGTGTGCCTCTGCTACATAATATGTGACCGTAATCTCTTGGGGTCTTGGTTTCCTCAATTATAAGATGGCAAGACTGCATTAAATGATCTCTATATGAGCCTGTGCATCTCCACATCTATGTTCATGTAGGTAATGGAAAATTATTGAAAGTTTTAGATCAAGGCCACCCTATGAAAAAGACTACTCGAAAAAAGAAAGTCTTAAAAAAACCCAAACAAACCATATTCACAGAGCCCCAGCTTAATAATCCCCGGACTATATGGTCTGAGATTCCTTTCACTTTCACTCTCTGATCCTATGAGTTTCTCTAGCAAGTTTAAGAGTAGGAACAGAGAGAGCAGATGGTGGAAATCACTCAGGTCTAGGACTTGGAAAGGGAAGTCAGTGATCCCAGAGTGAGAGCGTGAACATCACTTACATAGCTGACTGTGGGATTCAGGCTAAGTGATGTCTGAACAAAACTGAGAGACAGGAAGGTCAGGATGAAGGTGAAGAATAGATTAAGAAATGAGGCAGTGGGATTGAGGGCTCCTTTGGAGAGATTTGGAGAAAAGAGTTCGAGACTTTAGAGTTGTAGCCGTTCCAAATCCCAAGTCTGGCCTGACCGGTGTCAGGCTGAAGGAGAGTTTAAGTCATTGGAATTAAAAGGATTAATAAACTTTGAGGACAGAGTAGTTGGAAAGGTTTTATATATATATATATATATATATATATATACACATATACATATACATATATATATATATATATATATATATATATGCCAACAATCAGAAAGACCTGAGCTCAAATCCAGCCTCAGACAATAGCAGTCAGAACCTGGGCAAGTCACTAACCATCTTTGCCTCAGTTTCCTCATCTGTTAAATGAGCTGGAGGAATGGCAAATCACTCTAGTATCATCGCCAAGAAAACCTTAAATGGGTTCACAAAGAGTCAGATATGACTGAAAAATGTCTCAACAAAAAAAGATTGCCTGGCTGCTAGGTGATACTGCTAGGCCTTGAGGCAGAAGACCCGAGTTCAAATACAGTCAGCCTGCCTCAGACACTGACTAGCTGTGTGACCATGGGGAAGTCATTTAACCTCCTTCTGCCTTAGACTGCTTAATGGTAAAATGGGAATAATAATAAATAGCATCTACACCCCAGGGAAGTATGGATCAAATGAGATATTTATAAAGTACTTTGCACCATGTCTAGTACATATTAGGTGCTTCATAATGTTTATTCCCTCCTCCCCTTCTTTATATGACTTGAGCCTGGACAGTACTGTGATAGGCTTTTCTAAGACCAGGAGTTGTTTATGTATGTGGTTGGTGAAACTGACCTAGTGGTCAGTAAACAGTGATAATAATGAGAGAAAGTAGGTAGGGTTAAGTGGAAAATAGCAGCAGAAACAAGGAGTATGGTGATGCTTTCTCTCTGAGAGTTAAGGGAATAGGAAAAGTGATCCCCTACTAGCATTGAAAGGAAATGGTGTTATCAGCAGTAAGACCACTTCTGATCCTAGCTTTGCTAATTAGAACTAGGACATCTCAACACTTTTTTATCCCTAAAAGATCCTAATTTCTTAAAACCCATAGCCTTAAAGGTTCCTTTCCTTGGGCCCTCCTCCTAATCCTTCCCATTTTCCTCCATCTACAGTCTCTGTCTTCCCAAGCAGCTGAGAGGAAGGAAGGAAGGAAGGAAGGGAGGGAGGGAGGAAGGAAGAGAGGGAGGGAGGAAGGGAGGGGGAGGGAGAGAGGGAGGAAGGAAATAGGCATTTATTAAGTGCCAGGCACTGGGGTGGGTGCTTTACAAATATCCCATTTGATCCTCTGGGAACAACCCTAGGAGGTAGGTGCTATTACTATCTCCATTTTACAGTTGAGATAGAGGTTAAGTGACCTGTCCAAGGTCACACAGCTATCAAGTATCTGATGACTCCAGATCCAGTGTTCCATCCACTGTGCTACTTGGTTGCTTCTCTTAGAGAGCCATCTCACTTAGGCCACAGAGGGCAGAGAGGTCCACTGGAGAAAATATTGATGTTCTACCAGTTCACAAGCTGCAACAACAGAGAAAATCTATCTACTCATACTATTTAAAGCACATTTTGTCACAGGGAAATTTCTTGGCATTTCAAGGTATTTCTGGATACTGTATTCAAAAAGAAAAATGAGATTTCTTTATTAAACACTGTCATTGAATGACGTGAATTTTTACATAAATTATGCAAAATGAAGCGGTATCAAATTCTTGTTGGGTGTATGGGGAGGATGGTGAGAAGTCACCATTTGGCTGGTTCTGGCCTGCTCTGGAAACTCTCGGCTCATGTGGTGAGACATGAGGCAGGGTAGACTGGGACATGTTCATACAGAGAAACTGCGTGTAGCAGACTTGTTCTGTCAGTTATGTACTGAGTATCATTTGGTAAATATCATTACTGTTTCTGATCTCTTCTCAAGTGTTTGCATACTTTGTAGACATTGATGTGTATGAAAATCTCAGAACTCCTTAGTCGATCATCAGAAACATTTGTTCTCAGCTCAGTGAGCTAATTTTTAAATCTCAGAGATGAAACGTTACTCCTCTAGTTAAAGAGAGTACATGAACTCTATTTTGGCTGAAAAAGAGGTGATCAGGTTGTTCTTGCTGTTTCCCTTTGCATTCAACTTCTGACCGGATACATGGACCTTGTTTCATATTATCTGCTGTTCCAATGATTTAGAGTGGACTGAGCTCTGGGCTTGGAGTCAGAAAAACTTGAGTTCAAATTTGACCTCAGAAACTTACTGTGTTACCCTGGGCAAGTCACTTAATCTGTTTGCCTCAGTATGCTCATCCATAAAATGAGCTGGAGAAGAAAACGGTAATCACTCCAGTATTTTTGTCAAGAAAACCTCAAATGGGGTCATGAAGAGCAAGGCATGACTGAACAACTCAACAGATTAATATTTTTGCTTAAGAAATATATACAAGTCTAAACATACCGTAGAATAACCAAATCTATCATTAGCTTTAATATCTGTTTTATATAGTGAAGGAAGAACCACTATGTAATCATCAAAAACATAGAATTTGGGTGAAAAAGATGCACCTGATGATTCAGAATATAATGAAGAGGCTCAGTATGACAAATGAGAAGTTTAGCAGAACGGTACAGTGGGATAACACTAACTCTGGAGTCAAAGACTCCACATTCAAATCTTGCTTCTGATATTCTTTACCTGTGCAACCTTAAGCAAGTCATGACTTCCTCGTGCCTCAGTTTTCTCCTCTCTAAAATGAGAAGGAAAAACTCAGTGGCTCTAAGGACTTTTCCATCTATAGCTTTATGAGTCTCTGATAAGCAAGGGGGGAATTTCCCATTTGAGGGAACATTTCTACATTTCTATTTTCAAATCTTCATTTAATAATTCAATCTGACCCAAATCACCTAGTTCATGATCTCAACTTAGAAAAAACAAAACAAAAAACCCAAACCAAAAACACATCCAGCTGAGCTTTTGAGTTCTAGACTAAAATGCAATGGGTTGAAATGATGCAGGGTTTTTTTTCTTAATCTGAAAAATGCCTTTCTAAGAATCAGTGAGGTTAAAATCAGAGGGGATATTTGTGAGGGCTCAAATCAAGGAAGTGATAAAAGATCAACATTTTGAAGAAGAATTTAAGAAAGTTATATGTAATTCATTTTTTCTTTTTTTTTTTGGCTAGGAAATGGGGTTAAGTGACTTGCCCAGGGTCACACAGCTAGTAAGTGTTAGGTGTCTGAGGCCAGATTTGAACTCAGGTCCTCCTGAATCCAGGGCTGGTGCTCTATCCACTGTGCCACCTAGCTGCCCCTATGTAATTCATTTTTTAAAGTGACCAAAAAAATCTTTTTTTTTTTTTTTTTTTAGAAACAAGGCAGAAAATTACCAAGAAATTGCCAATGAACTTCTCAAAACCATAAAGTCATGGTATATAAGATGTCACTTGAGCTCCATTTCATGTGTTCACAATTAGACTTCTTCCTAGGAAAACCTAGGGGCTTTCAGTAATGAATGCAGGAAACTCTGCCATCAGGAAACCTCCAAGTTGGAAAAGTGCTAATTTGCCAATTGAAAAATAATTGCTAGCCAATTATTGTTGGATGCTGAGGAATGAGATTTTATGAGTGAAATATGACAGGAAATCATCAACTACATTTGGGCAAGTTAAATGAACACAGTTCAGTTTTGTTTTAAAAAAAAAAGATGTAAAATTGAAGATGGTGAGTTAATAGATGAAGTGTGAGCCACATTTGAAATCAGTACAAAACCTCCAATACTATAAGGTTAACATTTTGTGGATGTGACAAAATCTTTTTTGTTGTTGATATCCAGTGTTATTAATGTCAATTGAGACATAAAACATGGAGATGTAGGCTTGACATACACACAAAAGTGTCTGGCACCATCTGGAAGGTGTCCAGAGCAAAGGAGAAATGGTAGAGGTAACTTACAAATGTTGAAATCCTCCTGTTTGCAAATAATATTTTATTTATTGCATCAAAATCCTAGAACGTTGTATATTTTGATTTTTAATTAACTTAGCAATCCTCCAAAGAGTTCAGCTTGTCCATGCATCTTAACAAGATCTTCCAATATATTATTTTACTAAAAATGACATGAGGATTTTAGATGTCTTGGTTGTCCAATGGGAAAATAATACTTTTGGGGCAGATGGACATTTTGGCATCTCTCAAATCATACCATAGAGGGGGGGCTACTTATGTAGCCTTATCCATACATACCTGGTTTTAAGCAAATTCCCCACTTCTGGTCATATGGATAATTTAAAGATGTAGCACACCATGTCCCATTATGATTTCCATCACTAATGCATTTGTGATGCCAGACACCATCATTTAAGAAAGGAAACTCACAAGGCCTCCCATAAGAGTTCCCATCCCGAGTATATATCACTGTTTAAAAAGAGAAAGAGAAAGAGACAAAGTAGTCAGTTTCCAATGGTTAATTTCAGAGACAATAAAAATGCCATGTGATTGCCATTGAGAACTGGGTTGTTCTTTTTAAAAACTTGACAAAAGCTAGATCAATGTGTCTGTCTATTGTTTTACTATTTCTCTAACATACAGTACATTCATTCAAGATGCTGGTTACACCTAAAGGAAATGCCAGCTAACATACCAAGAACAATTAGCAAATTCATGAAGATCTTTCTGTTTAGATTTCTTTTCCCAAAACTAATAATTTGTCTGAAATATTTTGCCTTTTCCACAGTCTAACAATGTAAACTAAATCTTCCTGCTATGAAATAAGACCCATGGAAACAAAATCAGTGTATAACATAATGAATGTGTGAATATTAACTAGGAAGAGTCCACCTCAATTAACCAATTAACAAAATGTTTACTAAGTCTACTATGCACTTATGGAAAACATGAAATTATAACACATAGTCCCTGATCTCAAGGAGCTTACATTTAGGTGGAGAGACAGAAATATAATTATAATACACGGTGGATAGAGCCCAGGGCCTGGGGTCAGGAAGATCCAAGTTCAATCCAGTTTCAGACACTTAGTTGCTATATGACCCTGGGCAAGTCATTTAGCCCTCTTCATCTATAAAATGAATTGGAAAAGGAAATGGCAAAGCATTCCAGTATCTTTTCCAAGAAAACTCCAAATGGGGTCCCACAAAGAGTCAGACGTGACTGAACAATAAAAAGTTTTACAAAATAATTTTATCATCAAATTGTGTGGTACTAACAAGAGCAATAGAAATCAGAGAAGAGAGAGACAAATATTGGCTCCAGCAGTACTGGAAAGTATCATTAAAAGAAATTAGTCATGGAAACGGAATTATTATTCATCAATTTGTTATTTATTCTCTATGGACATCAGCCTATATTTGGCCTAGAGCTGAGACAACGCCAACCATTAAGGATTCAGTGAACTGCTATGTCCCAAATCTACCCAATAGTCAGTTTTTGTAGGCCCAAGAGCTAGTAATTGTTTTTGCATTTTTAAATACAAATAAAAATTTATTTAAAAGTATAAAAACCATTCTTAGCAGGCCACCCTGCAGTCTGCAGTTTGCAGACCCCTGCTACCTATAGATAAATTTTAATTTTGTGAGAGGAAGGAAGTAGGGCTTTCATTAAATAATTATTTATAATTAATTAAATAAATAAATAATTGTACCTACTATGCAAGTAGTGGGGGAGACACAAAATTTAGATAAGATACAGTCCCTACTTTCATAGAGTTTATAGTCTAGTATAAAGATATAACTATAATGTATACTATTATGCAGCAAAGAGCCGTCTCCCTCTCCAAAAGGGACCTATGGGAGTTGGGTCCTAACAAGAATTGTCTCTTCAACATAGTTACCAAGTGGTCATCCAGCCTTTAGGACCTAAAATGAAAGAGAGCCTACTACTTCCCAAGCCAGCCTATTCCAATTTTGGCTACTGCTGTTACGGTAAGTCGGCCTCCTTTGTAACTGCTACCTAGGTCTCCTACTCCTAGTTCGATCCACTCTAATCACCCCTTCAAGGTCCCTTACACACCTGAAAGTGTCCTGAAGCCTTTTCTCCTCCAGACTAAATGTGCCCAAGGTTATAGAAGAGATTCTTATCCAGGTATGGATCATATTAGATGACCATTTTCATGCTATCCAACTCAAAAATTATGTAGTTTGATAATTCCGATGTAGCAGAAAGGAAAGGGCCAGGAAGGAAGGAGTTCTCCTTGCTCTACCACTAATTAGCCATAAGACCAAAAGCAAATCATTTTTCTTACTCTGCAAAACAAGGGGTCTTGACTAGATGAAGACCAAGGTCCATAGGAACTACAGCATTTTATAATTACACATACTTTCAGTTTTGTGACTAGACAGGTTTGGCAGCCCACAGAAATCATAAAAAGTATGCCAAAAGTCGCTGATTTTGTAATACTACTATTGCTTCTGGTACTGATAATAATAATAGCATTCATCAAGTGCTTTAATGTTTGCTAATTGCTTTATGTATTATCTCATTTGCTCCTCAACAGTACAATCCTGTGAAGTAGATGCTATTATCAGCATTTTCCAGATGTGGAAAGCTGAGGAGGAAAAAAGTTAAGTGACTCGCCCACAGTCACACAACTAATAAATGTCTCAAGCAGGATTTGAATTCAGGTTATCCTGACTCCAAGTCTAGCCTTCAATCCACTGCACCACCAGCTACCTACGTGATTAGGATGGGATGACTGTCAATATCAATGACACTTTGCCTAACCAATGTCTTACTGCCTGTAGAATGAGAGGTGTTCCAAAGCGGGGACGTGCAGTCTAGTTCCATTAGTAAAAAGAAAAACCAGGTCAAAAAATAAGTATAGAAAGCGGCAGACAGTATTATGAGTGTAGAAATGGACCATTTCTTTTGGTCCCTTACCTTACACCAGTCTTCCAAAAATCCCTACTTTGGTCTAAATAGGAACAACTGTCACATAAGATAACATACCCAGTATCTGAATTACTATGCTCTGGGACTAGGAGTGGGATATGTAGGATTTAACTGAAGTGTAGAGGATGTTCAGTCTAGAGAAGGGGAGACTGGGGAGGACATGATGGCTGTCTTCTAGTATCCAAGGGGCCGTCAAATGGAAGGGATTAGACTTGTTCCCCTTGATACTACAGGCCAGAGTACGGAAGGAATTAAGTTTAACTTTCACTGAAATTCATATGGCATGATGTTGAAGACCCTTAACCATCTTAATTGTCCCCCCCCATAGGAGTTCTTCCTAAAATATGGCAACTCAAAGCTGATCACAATATTCTAGACATCATCTGACCAGGGCAAAGAAGAGTTGGGGGGACTCATTTTATTTTATTCATACTCATTTTGGATACTGTATCTTTGTTAATGCAACTTAAAATCTCATTAGCTTTTTTGGCTGCCATATTACCACACAGATCTGACGGATCTTAAAGTAACCTCAAACTATTGTAGCAGCAGATCAATATATATCTATATCTATAGATATAGATATATAGATATATATGTTGATCATAATTAACAACTCATATTGACATAAGTTTCTAAAAGTGTTTTCCTCACAACAACCCTATTAGGCAGGTAGAGCAAGAACAATTATCTCTATTTTACCGATTAAAAAAAACCCAACAACTTTGAGAGGTACATTGACTTGCTCAGAGTCATATTGTTAGGACAGGAGGTAGGAAGATGATGGTAATAATACTTCCATCAATGACAAACATTTTAAAAAAGCATTATAGGATTCAATAATTCTCTTCATGTTCTCATAACTCCTCAGTGTATTCAAAACTTTGCTAAGTATCAGATTAAAAAAAGTATCACAGCTCCAAGAAGGAAAGAGCCATGGCAGTCAGAGGACTTCACAGTTCATTAGAAAGTCAAAAAAGCAATTACCAGGTCATTAAAGACTTTCCAAAGGAGCATCAAAACATCTTTCACACAATTTCAAAAGACAAGCATAAAACAGTAATACTGCATAGGTTGGGTTGCCATTAATATTCTTGGACATTGCACAAAGAAGCCAGGACTGGCGTTATATTGTCTGGGCAATAGTGAATGTGTTTGAGCAAGACATGCACAGACGCACACTCACACAATCAGAAAAGGCAGGGGTTGTCTATAGGATTTTATTTACAGCTAATTTTCTTATGTAAAGCAAGGCACACCAATCTATACCATAGCTAGTCTGAATCTCTCCAGAGTAAGTTTTGTTTTCCTATAATATAATGGAACATTGACTACAATGGAACAATGAACAGAGTAATGCTGCTATTGAGTAGATATAATTCATCTGATTATCAATGTGAGAAACAAATAACCCATAACTGCACTTCTTCCCACTTTGCATACATGAAGGCTGTCCTTTTATTTATTATAATTTCCCAGAAGCATAGAACTTGAGAGTTGGAAGGACCTTAGTGACCAATCTAATTCAACCTCTTTGTGACCTTTGCCTCTCAGGCTACAAAAAGCCTATTTGAGCAAAGGTGTCCTTAACCCCTGTGGAACATGCTGGCTACTTTCTTGGTATCCTAAGTTTTGATTCTACAGAATGAAGTTGGAAGAGGGGCATAACTGACACATGCTAGCAAATCTGGTTGAAGAATGTTAAATAAAATGATCAACAATAACAAAAACTCTGCTAAACTCTGCTAACCATAATTATTTTTCTGTTTGCATCCTGCTGTTTCTGGACTTCTTAAGTCCCCTGTGTTTCCTGTAGCTAGATAATCAACTCTCAAGGGGAATGCTCTCTGAACACACCAGCTTGTGCTGAAAGGAACCTTAAAATAATAGCTCTCGGGTCAACAGAGCAAATCAACTATTTCAGTGGTTAGACAAATAGTCAGCTTATTTGTTAGAGGAAAGAGGCAAATGAACAAAAAGTTCTATCTGCAACCTCAGTCTGCATCCATGGTGCGTATTCTGTTAAAGACACCTGGAATGGTTAGCCTAGACGCTCACTACTTGTGACAGTTCGTTCTATCTGAGCCTTTCTTGCCATGAAAGAGTCTGATTATATTAGCAGCAGCCCTTCGCTACATTATGACTCCCTTGAATAACCAAATAAATACCAACATATAAAAATGTTTCCCTATATCCTAGAGAGCCCTGGGTCAGAATTTACAGTTATAATAATTATATAATTAGTTATAATTTGCCTTGAGAAAAGTAAGAAACAGGTTTGTAGGTCATAGATTTTGAGCTCAAAGACACATCGAAAGGCCTCTAGTCCAACCTCTTCATTTTAGAGTTGAGGCAACGAAGTTAAAGAGAAATGAAATGATTGGCTCAAGATCAAAAAGGTCATTAAGATAAGCGTTGGGATATGAATCCATGACCTCTGACTCCAAAGTCAAGAAACATGCCACTGTGACATGTTGTTATAGAAAAGGATATGTAGGCAACATGACCATTGTTAAGTATCAGAGTGAATCCATATTGACAATAAAATATTTTATGGTATAGAAAACCTATAATCCCTTTATATTATACTTTGTTATAAGTGTTTTTGTACTTCCCAGAAGAGGAGGGAAAAGTAAAATGCCAAATTTCTTGATTTAAAGGTCTCTAGTTTCATCTTCTGTTCACAGACAACCAGGCCCATGGTTGGGGTGCACATTGATTCTCTTGATTCAGGTTTCTAGGATCTTTGTTTGCATCTTATTTCTGCTCTGACTTTAGGTTCCTTGTTTCTTAATTTTGCTCATCAAGGAAAATAACTATAAACTTTGGTTGAATTAAAGAGCCTACTCGGAACCTTGCTTGATTACATTCAGTGGTAAGAATTAAATAATTTACTAGATAGGGCTCTGGCAGTCTCGATACTTGGTTAGCATCTATGTTATCTAACTAGACAGTCTAAGCAAAAGCCAGAGACAAAAACAGAAATAAAGGGGGAAAGAAATGGAAGAATACTACCAATATACAATCCACAATGGAGAACAGTAACGGATTTTGCCTAAAGAACTATGATGCAGCAAGTTAAAAATTTTATTCAATGTTTGTTCTGTTCTGTTATAATTTGGAGACTGTAACCCTTTTCTATTTCCAAATTAGAGTGAGGTTTTTACAGCACAGACTCCAAACACTAAGCAACAAATGGTTGCCAAATTTAAGAAAGAGGAAGGGAAATGAAGGGAAAATTGTTCTTTCCCAAAGAAGAAAGGGGAAAACAGCCAAAGGAAAACACAATTAGGGGAGGTAAGATATTTTTCCCAGAAGCAACTATGGTCTTATGGATAATGAGAAATGGGATTTCCTCACAGAGAAAGAAACCCACACTGAAAGATGGAGACAGAAAGAAAAAATTGCCAGGGCAGGCCAATATCACTAATGGATCATGATTCAAAAGGTCTGGAATTTCTTTTATCATGACCCTATACCTTATCAGATAGTCTCATGAGTAGCTGAAGCTAAAAACTCACCACTTGGTGACCAATGTTCTAGGAAAGGGATTCTCTGTACTTTAACTAGGCCGATTCTTGGACAACAATCACCATACCTAGGCTTAGACTTAAAGCTTGTCCCCTGCAGTAGGATCTGCAAGAGCTGACAATTTTGTGGCCTAGTTTCTGAGATCCCAGATTCTGTCTCATGCCACGTTGAGGTAATAGTGTCAAACATAAGTGGAGGCATTAATGAATACAGAGACAAAACTGTCAAATCAAATACTGATAAATAGTAGATAGCAACAGACTACAAAATTATTTTATATGACCAAAAAGAACGTATATAAAGAATGCAGTGATGATTCAATATCAGGAAGATAAGTAATAAAAATATATGATTGTAATAACAGAGACAGAATAGGTTTTTAATGAAGTATATTTTCCACTTATGTTTTAAAAAACACTGAAAAATATAAGAAGAGAAGGATTTTTTTCTTTAATATGACAAAGTATATCCTTGAAACAAAGAGCTAGAATCCTGAGTTATTCTTCACTCACCACCCTTTCCCACAGCCCTCATTAATACAAAATGGCATGGTCCTATTTGACCTAGTTTTAGAAATGAATGCTATAGCAATGGGCATGAGAAAGAAAGAATAAATATCTGTAAAGAAGAGGTTAATAGATCTATTTGCATGTAACATGACTGTTAATCAGTCAACAAGCATTTATTAAGTGCTTACTATGTGCCAGGCACTGCGCTAAGCTTGAGAGTTCAAAAAAGGAAAGGGAAAAAAAGCCTCCTTCTCAAGATGCAAACATTCTAATAGCGGAGACAACATGAAAATAATAAGGTGCATACAAGATATAGAATGGATGAAGGTAATGATACAAAAGAGGAGGGCTAATTAGTGTGGATGGGGCAGGGGAAACAAAGTATTGAAACAATAGCTGGGTTCAGTAACATAGTAGGGGATATGAGATAAATATCTCATCCATCTACAATTTTATATACAAAAGTCCATCTACATTTTTATATACCACTAAAAATTCATGAAAATTCAAAGGAACAGAAATAGAAATGTAATTTATGACAAAGAGTATATACACCAAATATTTGCACATTAGCTTGCCAGGGCAGACATCAGACCTACATAAAGGCAACTTTTAAATGGTTTTGATGCAAACAAAGGAAGAAACTCACTAGTTAGTTCATGGATAGTTCAACCTGATGTGGTAAAAATAGCCATATTTCCCAAATTAATTGTGTGGATTCAATGCACTGCCAATTAAAATACCAATAATCTACTTTATGGAATTATGTACAATATTTAAGATGTATTTGGCAGGCAGGTAACATATTTATTAATAGCTTACTATGTGAGGGGAGCTGTGCTAGGGACATAAATATGAGCAAAATATGGGAAAATAGCCAAACATATCAAGAGGAATATATTTTAAAAAATTTATTGGAAAACTGACATTTGGAATCTTATAAGGAACTGATAACAATTTGTAAAAGTAATATTCATCCTCTAATAGAGAAAAACCATACTGCAAATGACTATTTGGAAAATTAATCATTCTCTAAGAGAAACATCCATTAAAACATTCCCTTAAAGCTATCAAATTGGTAAAAAAAAATTAAGAACTACAAAAATCAGTGTTGGCAGGTTTATAAGGAAAACGGACATTCTTTTACATTATCACTTGAGCTTTTAGTAGGTACGATTTTTTTACGGAACTCTCTGGCAATATCTGTAAATGCTTTATAGTAGGATAAGCACTAGACTTAAAGTTAGAAATTTCAAATCCCAAATTTTCCATTCACTATGCAGCCTTGGGCAATCACTCTGCCCCTCTGGGCTTTGGTTTCTTCATCTGTAAAGTGAATGTGTTAGAAGAGATGATTGCCGATGTCCCTTTCAGCTCAAACATCCTGTGAATCTGAAGTAAGAGTTACAAAGCTGAAAAATATCCCCTTTGAGCAGGCGATCTTAACATTCGAAAGAAGATAGCCAAAAAGGGGCATATTTATACAAAAAATTAATAGCTGCCTTATTTGTAATATCCAATGTAATGTCCAATTAATGAAGAAAGGCTGAGAAAAAGGTGCGCCATAAAATGAAAATTTTGAATGTAAAGAAATATGGAAAGGGATAAGAATTTTGCAAGGGAATCAGAATAACATATACGTGAACTATGAATATATTTAAAAACAATAGTAATAAATACACAGGTATAAAAATGTGTACTGACATTTCCAAAAAACAAATGAGACCTTTGTCTAAAAAACAGTTACTTTGCTAACGTATACACACTCCAAAGTGTAAACGGTTTTGAGTTTAAGATAAATTTGGCAATTTTTTCCCTTCATTTCATGAGCTTATTAAGCTTATAATTCAAAATTAAGAGGAAAAAGCTGCTAGGGTTCTGAAGTTAAATCAAATTTAATTTAGTTATTATGAGAAAAAAACTTTCTGCTGTTGTACATAAGTTTTAGATGGGAAAAGGGTAAGCAGTCAAGAGTTAGCTGGTAACGGATATCTATCTTAGGTATGAGTGTCACAGAGTACAATACAATAAATACATTATATAAATATATGTAATCTATAAATATAAAGCAATCTAATAAAAAAGAATCAAAACTTTGTATTTTGTTTCAATATCGAAATACACTTAGCTGTTTGTTTTTTTCAGGAAATTTGTGTTAATCGAACATTAGTCTTATAGTTTGAATTACAACTGATTTTTCTCTGTCTTTTCAAAAAATTCAGTCAATAATGAATCAATAAACATTTATTAAGAGCCTGCTCTGTGCTAGATAACATAAGTACTGGGGATACAAGGAAAGGTAAAAGAAAGTCTGCCCTCAAGGAGTTTATAGTCTAATAGAGGAGACAATGGCAAACAAGTAGGTACAAACAGATATAAGCGTGACAAATTGGAGATAATCAATTATGAAGTTGATATACATGAACATGTGCACATATAACCAAAAGAAGAATGTGAATTACATATGAAGCTATATACTATGTATAGCTTGGGTTTTTAAAACATATAATAAATTTAACACAGTAGCACCAAGAATGCCCTGCTTTTCAAAGATCCCTTCTGCACTTTTGTCTGTATTTTTTAAATGTTTCATTGAAGGTCCTCTTTTTTTTAAGTATTACTATCACAATGGGCAATTAGGTTGCATGGTAGATACAATCTTGGGCCCGGAGTCAGGAAGACTCATCTTCTCAAGTTCAAAGTCAGCCTTAGACACTTACTAAGTGTCTAAGCTGGGTGACCCTGGGCAAGTCACTTAACCCTGTTTGCCTCAGTTACCTCATCTTTAAAATGAGCTGGAGAAGGAAAAGGCAAATCCCTTTTTTTGTCAAGAAAACCCCAAAAGGGGTCACAAAGAGTCAGACACAACTGAACAACCAAAGTGACACCCATGTTTCTGACTCTGGGCAATTTTATTAGTTGTTCCCTATGCCTGAAACATTCTCCCTCCTCCCCAAGTGGGGTCATGAAGAGTTGGACACGACTGAAAAACAACCAAACACAACTTGAAATGGTAGTAGCCCTCAGTTAAATAGGTTAAATGTTAAACAAAACATGAAAAAGTGTCTGTTAACTAAATAACAAGTTATTATCAAATACTCACCATGGTAAGGCTGGTCACAAAGGTGTTCATCAGAGTCTCCTTTCTTCCAAATATCTGACGAATTTACATGTGCTGTCACTTGTCCATCCTTCAAAGTCAGTCTGTACTGGGAAGCACTGTACAAAGAACCATACTCACATTTCCACCATAACATGGCATTTGAATCACAGCTGAACATTTTCAAGGAATCTTTAGGTTTGGCAATATCTATTCCAAGGCACATCTGGGATTCCACATGGAAGAGGCGATGCTGTGATACCCACTTCCATTGCATATCATTGGTCTTCTTGCAGTTTACTGCTACTACCAAACCATTCACAGTTTTAAGGCATTTGCCAGTGCTTTCATGGCGGATGGTAAATGGGCCATTATCTGAGGGAAAAAAAAAAAAACAATAAAAACTGTTCAAAAAATTTAATGACACATATCCTAACCATTGCTCTATGAAAAGTGCCTGAGCACAAAGGGATGGTCTCAATAGTGCTCCATTAACGTAGAAAGTATCCTTCTATCTGAACAGAACTATCTTCTCATGTGATGAGCTAGGAGCCCCTTGGTTATCATATTTCCTTAAGGCTTGACTTTGATCTCATTGCTCTTCAGAGTACACCTAGAAGTAGAGAAAGTTCTCTACCATGCCTCCAGAAACCTCCTCATTCTGGAAGCTCACTCCAGCACTGAAATTTATACATTGGAAGCACCCTCCATCCCTGTAGTCTGCCTTCTGATTGTATTGCACCTCTCAAAACTATGCTGGCCATGTCTCTCATTCCTTTCCTGGCTTCACTAAACTTTCTCTACCATTACTCATACTCCAAGAAAACTTCAGCACCCTCAAACCCCCACTTCAGTTTCGTTTTATGTGTTGTCTTTCCCCCGCCCAATAAGCTGAAAGTTTCTTGAAGGTAGGGTTATTTCTGCTAATATTTGCACCCCCCAAAGCTTAGGTCAGTGCCTGGCACATAGTAAGTGCCAAATAAATGCTTGCTGGCTGACTCTTAGTATTCTAAAGCCATCTGGAATTCAAACTCTGACTCTTACATGTTCACGTTGTTTACTGGTAGAATGTAGCTGGGAGTGTGGTACAGCAGGTTCAGAGTGATAAGACCTATTTTTAAAAATCTTGACTGTGACACCTAGTAGGACAGCTCAGTGGTGCAATGGATAGTGTGCCAGGCTTAGAGTCAGGAAGACTCATCTTCTCGAGTTCAAATCCGGCCTCAGACACTTACTAGTTGTACTACTCTGGGAAATTCCATTAACCCTGTTTGCCTCAGTTTCCTCATCTATAAAATGACCCAGAGAAGGAAATGGCAAACCACTCCAGTATTTGTGCCAAGAAAACCCCAAAGGGGTCACAGAGTCAGACACAACTGAACAACAACCAAAATGACACCTACATTCCTGACACTGGATATTTTTTATTAGTCAGTCCCCATGCCTGGAACTCTCTCCCTCCTCAGCTCTGCCTCTTAGCTTCCTTGGCTTCCTTCAGATCCTAACTAAAATCCCACCTTCTACTGGAAGATTTTTTTTAATCCCTCTTATTTTAATACCTTTCCTCTGCTGATTATTTCCAATTTATCTTTTACATAGCTTCTTTGTACACAGTTGTTTGCATGTTTTCTCCCCGTTAGACTAACTCCTTGAGATCAGGGACTTCTTTTTTTTTAACCTTTCTCTGTATGCCTTGCACTCAGCACAGTGCCTGGTACATACTAGTTACTTATTAAATGCTTACTGACTACCATTAGAATCATGAATTTGGAGTCATAAGGACCCTTAGAGGCTATCTAATTGAACCCCCTCATTTGACAGATGAGGAATCTGCGGCTCCAAGGAATGAAGCGACTTGCCCATATAATCATCATTATTTGGCAAAGGAATTTTAAAAAATCAGTCATAGTACAATCATGAAAACATAAATAATGCTAGAATATGTTAAACAAATTTAAATGACTAAAGAGATAAGATTTAAAAAAAACTCCAGAAGAAGAACCAGTCAATTTTCAGTATTATAAGGGACTTTCCATATGATACACACTTCACAGGGACTGGTTTCATTTACATAAGATTTCTTCTCTGAATACAAGTAAAGCAAGGGCTTTAATGATGAAAATAGCCTGATGGGAACTGGTGACTTAATATTTAAATGCTGAAAATTCCGATGGGCAAAAAGTAACTATTACTGTTCGGTTAAAAAAAAATCAAGATGACTACCCTTAATAATTATTTTTATTTCTATAAATACATGAACATATATTTGCTACAAGGCTATGCTTCTGAATGATCAGGGCAGCAACTTCATGCATCTCACTATTTGTTTTCCCCACCACTATCTTCTCGGGGGGACTCTATTCCAGCCTTTACTCCCTTTTATCTTCTAGGTAGATACCAGTATCAAGTGTTACCACCACGAGACCTTCCGAATGACCCTGACAGTTACATACTTGTTCTGTTATCATGTCATAGTGGCATTAACTGTAATTTCTCTAGACACCTTATTCACGGGAGCCCTCCGTCCTTCACTGTTCCACATTTAAAAGGAAGCCATCCTAGATACCTCAATTCTAGGTATACCTATCATTTGATTTTATTGTTCATAGTATCACAGACTTAGAGCTGGCAGGGGCATCACGGCCATCAAATCCAGTCTTTCATTTTGTAGACAAAGCCCAGAGAAGTTTAGTGATTTGGCCAAGATCACACAGGGTAACTAAGTGGCAGAATTTCAAACTGAGGTCTCCTGACTTAGAAGTTCACTGCTTGGAGCCATATATCCTTGAGAAGGTGAATTCCTGGGGAAATGGTTGTCCATCATCCTTATCCTATGACCGTAGAGGGTGGGTCCCGAATCAAATGGTACTACCACAGTCCTTTTATAGGAAAACTCCCACTTCCTGTTCCCTGAAGTCTTATGCTACAGTTACAGTTATGAGAAGCACAACTCTTCTTTCAGGCTACCTCTACCCATAAGCTTATACCTATCTAGTCTGACTCTTATATTTCCTAGTTGTTGTCCTTTTATGGTCTTTCCTTCCAGAGTGTTCTATGGAACCCAACCTCCACAACCCCTCCTAGGGGTAGCTAAGTGGCTAATGGATAGAGCACTGGCCTTGGAATCAAGAAGACTTATTATCTTCATGAATTCAAATGAGACCTCAAATACTTACTGGCTATGCCACCCTGGATGAGTCACTTAACCCTGTTGCCTCAGTACGTCACTTGCAAAATGAACTGGAGAAAGAAATGACAAACCATTCCAATATCTTGGCCAAGAAACACCCACCCCCCCAAAAAGTAGAGTTATGAAGAATCGGACAGACTGAACAACCACTCCCACCTACCTTCATCTTAGATCTCTTCCTTTCACTGAAATCTGCCTCTCTTAGTTAACCTGTCAGGGCAGGAGGAAGAATTCGCTGGCTCTCAGAATTAGAGTCTCTGAGTGGGTAAGAACCACATCGAGATCAGTACATAATCTGAATGAGAATCCTCTATTTCAAACGTAAGGTTTTTGAGGACGAGGACCTAATTTGTGTATGTTCCTATCCTCACTTCTGATGGCATTTAGTATGGTGCTTTGCATGAAGTTGGCACTATATATTTTGAAGTGAGCTGAAGAAGACTCTGTAGTTTCTTGAGATAAACTTCATAATTCCTCCAGGAAAATCAGAGATAAGATTGATTTTCACACGAGGCTTATGAAACAATCTCATTACATTCACACCTCATACGGGACAGGACATACAGACTTACGCAAATTGCTTATTATTAAGGGAGTAAAAAGAAAGCATCCTGAACAAATTTAGACTAAAAATCTGTTGTGTTCACAACATCCAACTTTGTCAATCCCTGAATTAAGCAAAGTTGCCCATGCACAGCCTCTCAGCTACACTAAGAATTTATGAAAAGGAGCTTTTGTTTTTTAAGCCTAATTTTTTAAAACTTCAATTTACAACAAATAGAGTAATTTCAAAATAAATAGCAAATACTTGAAATAAACCCAGTCCACGACATTTCATAGGATCATAGATTTACAGCTGGAAGGAACCTCAGAAGTCATTGAGTACAATACCCTCATTTTAAAATGAGGGAAACTGAGGCTCACGATAAGGCGTCATTACCCAACGTCTCAGAGTATGAATGTTAAGGTATGTGAGAAGCTATTTCATTCACCATCTAACAACCATTTTTTAAAAAAGTACTTAACATGGACAAATAGTATCAAAAACACTTCTGAAACCAACCCACATTCCACTTTGCCAATAAAGAACAGATTATCACAAAAGGGAAATCCTACTAACCCTTTACAGATACCATGTAAAAAGCTCCACAGAAAAAAGTAAGCAAACCTCACTCATCCCTTGGAAAGAATAACAAATCTCATAAACCAAAACCATCACGCTGAGCTTCTTTGAAGTTTACTCATCCATTTACATCCTCCAGTCCAGATCCTTACTGCTGTAATTTACCAACCTCTAGATAATTCTCCCCTGTCGTGAAAGGAGTTGAGTACCTACCTCAGCCTTCATCTCCACTCAAACCCTCACCCTCATAGTTGGGCATTTCACTACACACATCAACACCCTGGCCTCCTCGATCAACTTCCTTAAATCCCACGACCTATATGTGTATATAGCTCCTCAGGTACACACAACAGAGTTCATACCTTAGATCACACTATCACTGACACCTGTGCCACCTCCATGATCTTGGACTATGAAATGATCTTTTTTGATCCTAATTTCTCATTTTTCCATCTCTCACTTTACCTCAGCCCTCCTAAACCTATGGTTTGTCTTCACTGAGTCCTTCAGATCCTCTAAAATCTTCCTGTTCCCCTAGTCCAGGGGTGAGGAAGCTGCGGCCTCGAGACCACATGTGGCCTTGTAGGTACTTGGGTGTAGCCTTTTGACTGAGGTCAAGTTTTACACAACAAATCCTTTTATTAAGGGAATTTGTTCTGTGATGTTTGGATTCAGTCAGAAGGGCTGCACTTGAGGCCACGGAGGGCCACATGCGGCCTTGAGGCTACGGTTCTCCACTCCTGCCCTAATCTATCAGTCCTATTCTGGTCTCACTTTCCATCCCTCAATCTTGGCCTTAACTGTTCAACTGTAACCTGCCTTCATCTTTGAATCCCGTTTCCTTGCTTCACTCACATTCATACCCTGACAATCACCAAACCTCACCATCTACCTTTCCTGCCCCTACTCCTGAGTTGTTGAAAGACTCTGGAGAAGTCAGGGTTAGGCCCACTACAAATTCATAGTATCTTATCTCAACTGGGCCTTCACTGCTGCATGGAAATCCTTTCATTTTTTCCTTTACTCTTTCTATAAAATTCCATGTAGGGCAGAGGTTTATAA